GTGTGTGTGTGTGTGTGGTGTGTGTGTGTGTGGTGTGTGTGTGTGTGTGTGTGTGTGTGTGTGTGTGTGTGTGTGTGTGTGTGTGTGTGTGTGTGTGTGGTGTGTGTGTGTGTGTGTGTGTGTGTGTGTGTGTGTGTGTGTGTGTGTGTGTGTGTGTGTGTGTGTGTGTGTGTGTGTGTGTGTGTGTGTGTGTGTCTACAACGTGAATAAAGGTTACGCTAAAACCTTCTTGGCAGGAGCGCTAACGTCCGCATAAAAGAAGTCTATTATATTTCTTAAGTATGTTGTACATTTCTGCACCGACTCTTACAACAAAGCGACTAAGACTAGGATTCCATTTTTCTGTGAAGTGTGAGCAAGAACAGCGGAGCACTTGCTGTTTATCGCACGCTATGCTATCTGAACCGCTGGCGTACGTTTATATAACTCCAGATGTATTGTGACGGAGTGCAGATACATACGAACAAGTTTTCACACTGAACGTTGTTCGTACCTGGATCAGAGCTTTTGCTACTGCTGCTGACATCAGTGTGATCGTGCTCGTCATGGATCATCCTGAAGTGGTCTCTGGCACTGGCGAAAGAAGAGTGTATGAATTCTTAAGACACGGCACGAGTAAGAGGACTCAAGATTCTCGCTTCGTCTTCTATGCACTCTGAATGCTGCACATAAAAGTAGATATCTTGGTCAGGCTGTTAGACTACTTTTGAACGCACCTTCGAGAAAACTTTCCTCGCACTAACTGACGCCTTTCTTGGCGCAATGCAACTTATGTATATGCACCAACGTGCATTTGCCCCTCAACATCCGACGGCTTAAGGTGACATCTATTAAATTCGTAGACAAATCACGTTGTACGAATTGTATTCTCGGCTGACCAGAGTAAGGCAGGTGGCATGCTACTAAACTGTATATGAAGTCATTGTCGCCCGTGCCTGCTGTATCAGGTACTGATGAGATTACATATAATATTATCAAGAGTAATTGCCAATAACGCATGTTTTACTCATCTTAGCTGCTTAGAATCATTAGCCCTTAGAGTCTTGCGCAACTTTGGCATCTTTTCATACGACCCAGATTCAACACTTACCAGAGGAGACAAGTTTGAGCATTTTAAGCGCTGATGTCGCAGCACGGACAGTGCTGCTATCCTTCTAACCCATTTATGTTCACTGGCATCAGAATCTAAAAAATCCACATTGCTCGTAACCTCTTGAAAACTGGCCATGGTTCTCGGTAAGACTTGCAGTCTACACGAGATAGTGTCTCGTCACGAGACGGGCAATAAGCTAGGAATATTTACCCCAAGTGTTGCGCTTAGCGAGATATAAGTCAATTGAGGCTCACTCCATGGCTTCCAGCTGACAGACCACTAGCTGCAGGAACGCGCAGAAGACCATGCCACTCGTGAAGAGGTGTGCGCCTTGGGGTGCCATTTTCGGTTTTGTCCTGAAGGTACGTGGACGCCTTCTCGAAGACCATCCACCTCGTCAGGCTTCAGCTTCTGTGCGCGATCAACGGTGAACCGTGGCCGCAGGTGAACGCGTGGAACGAGACGTGCTGACACGCACCACGCTTCTTCTTCTTCTTTGTCTCCTCCTCTGATGACTCATACTCGATGCAGGGGATTGGCCGAGTAGTAGGTGAAACTTTTTTTTTCAGTATTTTCTATAGTGGCATTACTCGTATTAGCTAGAATTAACTAATATAACGAATTTAAGTACGAATTATTAGCAATGAAATATTCTTCCTCCTCTTCGTCTCTGATAGTGCATCGTTGTGTCTCGTTTTCTTCTGCCTGACTCTGCATTCCGAGTGCATGCTGAGGATATGAGCCTATTTTTGCGTATTGTGAAGCAACAGTTGAAAAAGCTAATATCGCTCGACTAATTTATTAGAACAAATGACTAGGTAACCTCAACAGCAGATCAACTTGAAACAACTATATAAATGTTGTTCCACGTCTCAACAATGATTCATGCATGTTATAAATGTTCAAGAGAGGAAGATAAAGAATGCACCAGTATTCAAAAGAAATTTTCTACTTTACTGAATTTTATTTGTTTATATCAATAATGATGCAAGCCATATTGTTTGGCTTGTCGGTTTGTAGGTTTAACATAAGTTTAAAGAGCGCACAAAAGGCATTGTTAAAACAGAAACACAGACGTGTATCATGTGTGCGCCTTTGGTCATACTTTCTTTTTGTCTTATTCACGCAGTTTAAAATTTGCTAAATCAATAGTCTGTCGCCAAGCTGCACGCGATTGCGAGCCCAGGGAGAGAATATTGTCAACTCTCCAGAGGAAATGGAAGATAGATAAATGGCCATGCCGCATGAAAAGAAGCCGCATATAGCGCAGCCCAGAATTTTTTTTCGGGGGAGGGAAGGGGGAGGACACGTGACCGGTGTGCCATCGCCTGGCTACGCCCTTGCCAGGGTGGGAGGGGGGTTCGGGCACCAAAGTTTATTGTTTCTTTTCAGTTTTGCATGATATCATGATATATATACAGGCACACGCACACACGTACACACACACGCACACACACACACACACACACACACACACACACACACACACACACACACACACATATATATATATATATATATATATATATATATATATATATATATATATATATATATATATATATATATATATATATATATATATATATATATTAAACACCTCACACCCTTGAAAAATTATATACGCTACTGCGCATTACTGACGACGCGAAAGGGGTCCCATGTCGGCTGTGCGTCAAGTAGTATAGTAGTAGTAAACATTTATTTTAAAAAAATTAACCCCGTATCTGCATGTTACACTGCAAATGTCATCGAAAGACGATAGTCTTGCGTCTGGAGAGAGTGAACAAAACATTTATTTGATGTTCTGCGCAAGAAAATCGGTGAAATGTATTCTGGTGGCGCTGCGTTAGAGCGCCTCGGGCGTGCAGCGGAGGTGAACGAGGGCATCAAGTCACGTCACACGTGACACATGAGTGCTATCTGCCAGTTATATTGGAAAACGAAGGGCGTGGCGTGCGCGCCCGTCTTGGAGGTGATAAGGTGTAGAACGCAAAGCGACGGGTAGGTGTCACCACAGCGTCGTCTTTGCAAAGCGTTGAAAACACTTGCCTTTTCATGAAAACGTTGCATTGTAAGCGCAGCGTGATAAGTGCTACGGTCCTTTTGTATACCTTTTCTCTTAAAAAGACACACATACAGAATATTGACGTGTTGTTATGGTGCCTCAAATATGCGCGATAATTTCTTTTTGATTGACAATCGCGCAAGTATGAACGCTAAAACTTGAGCAATATTGGTGCGCGGGCGCTGCGAATGAGGTCGGCCGTTTATAGTATTGTTTGGTGCCGTTTAGAGTATAGTTAAAAGCGGCCAAACGGGCAGACAGACCAAAATGTTTGCCTCGAAGGTCCCCAAGAAAGACTATCGTCCTTTAAAAAAAACAGAGGTTAATTGCCAGGGAAACCAGCCTCTAGTGGGCCAGCCTTCCTACAGTACTAGGTGGAGTTCCTAGTCAGGGACCCCATCGGTCGTGGCCGCTGTCCTGGCATGCTGGATCATGGCTCGTTGGGCCGGAAGGTCCTGGAAACAGAGCAGGGCGGCCTCCCAGTCCTCTCTAGTTGGATTTGGGTTCGGGGGTAAAGAAGGATTGAGCTCGCATGTCCATATCATGTGGTAGGTGTCAGCCACCTCTGTACAGTACTGGCAGAGGCCGGAAAAGGAAGTGTTTAAGCACTGCGGGGCACTGTAAAGTATGGTAAATAGCCGGAGCAGAATTATCTTGTCCGCCCTCCTGAGTCCTTTGCAGGGCGGAAGAAAACGGTGGTGGTGGTGGTAGTGGTTAGAAGATGAGAAAAGACACCTAATTTCTGCAACCCGGTCGGGAGCACGGCGCAGTGCCTAACGGCGGTGGGAGTCCCGGTAAAGGGTAATTATCCCTCTATAAGTTAGCAGAGGAGCGTTTTCTTCTGGAACACAGGGGTAATCGGTGGGTGAGGCAGTGGCGCGGGGAATGATTGCGCGGGCGGCAGCGCGCGCCGTCACATTGCCTGCGAGGCCCTGATGGCTAGGAGCCCAGATTAGTAAGCGGGGAGAGCGGTAACCTACTCGCGGACAAGATTCAAAAATTTTGGCAGCTAGGGATGAGATCCATCCCAGTTGAAAATTTCGGCAGGCTCCTTTGGAGTCTGATACTATAATTTTAGAACTGTCGTGTGATCTAGCTAGAGCTATGGCCACCTCTTCAGAATCAAGTCTCCGGCGCGTGGCGTGCAGGCCCGGCGCCGCTTCGGGTGCCTTGCCAAAACGCGATCCGGCCACCTCGACTGGTATATACTGACGCTTAGCACCATCTGCTGGCTCGTTCCAACGCGTACGTGTGGTTCAACGTTACTGGAATTCTAGTAACGTTGGTGTGGTTGGCGCTGATGGCTGATGTCTGTATAGTAACCATGCTAGACTTGCAACACATTGCAGTTCCCTGAACGTTCTCCGCTTGGCCTCTTTGCAGGCATTACTGGCACGGAAGAAATATCGAAGTGCGATAGGCACACAGCTCATACCACCAGCAAGTGTAATTGGCAGGCGTCGTAATGTGATCCAGAAACGAAGCGAAACAGCACAAGCTTCCGGCGCCGAAGGCACGCCGAACAAAGATGGGGCAAGAGAGCCAATTAGGCGCCCAGCCCGCGGCTCACACTTTATCTCTTCCGAAGAGTGCGAGCAGGAAGCAGCCATCATTATTTGTTGACATTGTGGACGCGTGGCAAGCTGTTTGAAACTCCGTGTTAGCGACGGATATGTACAGCAGCAATAACAGCCAACACCGGGAAGTGAAATGTGCCGGATGATAAGTGCAAAATTGTCCTGAAGAATGATAATGTGAACAAATGCAGTTGTGAATTACCGCTGCATGCATGTTTCAAGCTCAATAGAAAAGACCTCCGTGTTCACAGAAGGACCTTACTCGACATCGAACCATTTGCAGTTTATTTACAGTTCTGACAATACACGAGACACAAATTGTCATGGTACTGGAGCAAAAGACGCGTTTATACCCTCCTGACAAGGCACCTGCCACCTGGTACCACAAGTCCAGCATACAACAGCGGACAAATCAAACAAAAAAGACGAAAAAAGAAACAAACACACACAGGCCTATATACATGTATGGGCGTGTACATAAATGACACAATTACCAATGTACTAGTTCAGGATACCATAATAAAAGTCAATAAACCGAATAATAGTTTACGAGCAAATTCAAACAAATTTTTACGGCGGAGATAATTATTGTGAAAGTGACTAAGTGACCTCAAAACTCACGTAGAAAAGTTTTGCAAATTTAGTCGCAGGAATTCTAGACAATTGCGCAGCCTGAATTTTGTATGAATGGACACGGAGCACGTGAGAATAATTCGGCAAAAATGTAAAAAGCACCAAAATATAAGCCGCGATGATGGCGGAGTTCTCGTGAATATTTTCGATCGTATATATGTCGTTCCTTGCCGTTGGCTGCCCACCTCGTTCTTTAATACTTTTTGCTGCTGTCATGAATGGTTGTAAGTTACTGTAATGAGCTATTCCAGCGTGAGATGTTTTCTCGAATATAGGACACAAGGTTCTTATGCATATGGAAGGCATACACTCTCTCTATTTATGTATGTATAAGTGATGAATGACTCTGTCATTTGCCAACGTTTACTTACACCTCACTCTGGATTTCAACTTTCTATAATGAGATATAAGTGTGCGATGAAAGGTGATCTGATTAGATGAGCGCTAGGACAGCTACAAAGCTCGGCAAATATACTTTAAATCTTCAAACACACACCTGGACATTTCCAATCAAACATGTCAAATCAATCTAAAAAAAAACGGCCGACTGGGTCATTTCAAGCTACCATTCTTCCGATATCAAACAAAGACGATGGGTGCGTCCAGTCCTGTAGGACTAGAGAGAGAGAGAGAGAGAATGTAGGGAAGACAGAGAGGGAGGGTCTTCCCCTCCCTTTGCCCGGTTTTCCCGGTTTGCTGCCGTGCAGGTGGAAGAGGGAATGAACGGGCAATGGAGATGGGGAGTAGGCACGAGGATAGGTATTTCACTTTACATATGCGCAGTGTTTGACTAAGCACGCAGTGGGAGAGGCCCTCACTTTTCACTACGTAGGCGCGTGCCATAACATGTCCAGCATGTCATGATGCCAACCATCGCTGTTGCGCTTGAAGGGAGTTTGTTCCCTACGAAATGTCCCGTTAGTCAATGCGGCATTGCGAGTGCCACGAGGACGGCCAGAACAGTCCAACAGCCACGCGCTCGCATTGAATCCTGAGATGCAGTGAGCACGCCGCTGAGTCGTGCTAGCACCTTCCGCGTGCCTCGCGTTTCGACGTCTTCATCAACCTGCAGGTTCCGTTGGCCGGCACAGGCTCGACTTCGTTCATATTCAGTCCGTCCAGCGGAGGCGGACCAACGCAGAGGCTCGAGTTGATCACCGCGGCTGCTTCGTAGACGCTGGTGCTACCTACCACGGTTTTGCGCCTCCACAGCCACGACGCGTCGCACGAGCACAGGAAAGAGTTATTCGCAAATTTCACGGCCGGTCCCGATGGTAGGGCGCCTTCTTTCGCGGTTCGGATCACGTTTCGGGCAAACGTGACGTTCTTCGCCGACGACAGCTGCGCCAGAGCTTCCGGTCCCAACGACGTCTATGCGGTTGTTCTCGAAGACGACTGAGGTCGCGTTGGGACCTCCAAGCAGAAGCAGGCTCCCGTGCCCTCGGAGTTCGTCGGAACTTGGAGTCACGGACGATCACCTCTGTCGCGTTTGTGGCCGACAGAGGGGCCCCGCTGACGTTTCCGAATGTGCAGTTCGACACCTCGATGGTGCTGACTGAGTCGAACACGAAGGAGCCGTTCTGCGCCTGGTCCACTAACGTGTTGGAGAACCGGAATGACTTGCCCTTCGCAAACAGAAGCGCCATGGAGTGGACCTGCATCCGCACAGTGGCAAGCCGCACACACATTACAACAATGTCAGACAAGACTGTACGCTCTCGATAGATCGACTGTCGTGAGCGTGGCAGTTTTTACACACACACACACACACACACACACACACACACACACACACACACACACACACACACACACACACACACACACACACACACACACACACACACACACACACACACACACGTATATATATATATATATACAAAGACATATGGCAGAATAAGTATATGAATGATGTCCACGCAAGCATTCATCGTACCCAGGGTAACAGCGCCAATTTCGACGTTAATTACAGGGTAAGGAAAGCTCGTGCAATGCTTTGTCCTTCCTCTGTTCGTGTTAAATGTTGTGCTGCTACCTGAAGTACAATTAATCAAAACCATGTGCCTTGCAGCCTTGCTTTAACACTATCTGTACATATACCGCATTTACTCGATTGTACGTGACCACCATTTTACCGTGAGGATTGACTTTTCATTGCGTCCAGGAAGATAAAGTAGTTATTTAGGTTTTCGATTGTAATGCGAAGGTCGACTCAAGGCAGCGAAGATTTGGGGAGAGAACGTGCTAAGTTCAAGCAAATACACTATCTATCTATAGCATGCGTGCGTATACCAACCTGTCCGAGATGCGAGTCGCGGATCGCCAGCTCCTGGACGTCTGTGAAGCCAGCCAGTGCAGCAGGCAGAAGCTCGGCCACGGTCACGTTGTCCATCTCCAGCAATTCGGTGCCGCGTAGTCCGTGCAGGGCCAGGTGCTCGAGGGTGAGGTTTCGCACATTGTGAATTCGCATGGTGCGCACCGCGGACACCTTCTCGAAGGCCATTGAGCGAACGACCAGCTGGCCGATGTCGCTCAGCGTGAACTGCGTGCACGCCACGGAAAATCCGAGTTGGTGCTTGTTGTCACTGTGCTGATTAATCAATGCGGAACTAACAATAAAATATGTGGGGTTTAACGTCCCAAGAGAGAGATAAACATTTTATTGAGCGCATGTAAGCAAAGTGCGTGGGAGGGAACTCTAGTCTGGATTTTCTATGATGATATAGGGCGAACCAACCAAGCCCGTGGAACCAAGGCCTGGCGGACCTCGGGAGGCCCATCGCAGAGGGCATCGTCCCACAGCTCTTTGGTGCGGAAGGGGTACAGGATGGCGGCAAGGGGAGGAAATAATTTTGTGGGGCACTCCACCGTGACATGAATACTGTGTGGAAGCTGCCACAGCCCGGGCAAGAGTCTGCGTAGTGGTCAAGGTAGAATTCATGCATGAAGAGGAGGCTGGGGAACGTATACGCGTTTGGATTTGGCAGGAATGCCACCTCTTCCTCTCGCGAGAACGACAGGTGAGGGCGGATGCATGGTGCGTCTAGCTATAATATGCCTAAATGTCTCGGTATGTAAGTGGAGGGCCCACTTGATCGGGACTCTCGGCCTCACCATGCCGGGCGGCTCAGTAAAACCACCATATGATTATGAGAGACGCCGTAGTAGGGGGTAGGGGGGCTCCGAAAATTTCGACCACCTGGGGTTCTTTAACGTGCACCCAAATCAGAGCACACGGACCTACAGCATTTTCGACGGATGAAGCCGCCTCAGCCGGGATTCGGTCCCGAGACCTGCGGGTCAGCAGCAGCCAAGTGCTTTAGCCACCAGACCACCACTACGGAGCATGTGAACTTACAGGGGTGTGGTTAGACTGAATGCAAACAGCACTAAGTTGCTATAAGCATTGTGTCCTTCGCCTCCGTTTTGTCCTCGTCAAAGTGCGCTGCTTCACTTATGCAGTATAATGATATATCACCGACTTAATCAGCTTTCAACCTTAAAAATTAGAACACTAATGGAATGCTAAAGTGCAACAATATATTGGTTTAGAATGGCGAATTGCACTCTGAGTGCTCAGATGTAGTTAATTTCACCACCACCAGTTTATTAATACAAAAGGAAATCAAGATCATAGGTTCATCTTTCAATCTCACGCAGACATTTCCGTGCGCAACGTCACGAATTTCGAAGTGCGTCTCTTGTGTTTTGGTGGCACCGCGGCTCCACTAGATTTCCTTTATGGCCCACGCGGAGGACAGTGCATGTCATTTTTAGGTTTACTACATAGGACATTGCGGATGCCGTTAAAATTCATGACATCACTTAGTTTCGCGCGGAAATTTCAGGATGGCGTCACCACCCTCATTTATTTTTTGCGCGTTTTCACTCTTACCTAGTGTCTTCTTGAGGTGGGCATTTTAGAATTGTGAAAGAGTGGTTCGCTAATGTTAAAAAAAAATCTTTTTTTTTTCGCATTCAGAATCGTTTTCGGAGAGTAGGGGAGGGGAGATCAACCACTTTTATATATGTGTGCGTGTGTACGTGTATGTACGAAGTGTAAAAAATTCAAGTTTGACTGGGGAGTTGGCTTTCCCCTCAGCTTGAAGTCTCAATGACTTCGTGTGCCCTGTATTAAGGCTGCTTGTTTTGCTACAGCCTTTAAAGGCGGTAGGATCCTGCTACGTTATGCCAACATGTTGCTCCCACCCGCAGTCTCGTCTCCTAGCCGTGGCGGCCGTTATTACGACGGTGCAATGTGCAAGGAAACGTTGGTTGATGAAATTTAATCTGGAGCAACTCAAAATCATAGCTTCGGATTTAACTTGAGACTCCGGTGTTAGAATAGTGCACTTGATCGAATGCAACATTTTTATAATAAGCCATTCAAATAATATTGTTAACGGAAGCATTGTCCGCGCTTTCAATATTTGACAGAAATGGAAAAAAAAAAGAAAAATTTATGTTCGTAATTGAAGCGGAACCTCCTGCAGGACGCCTCAATGGGGCAGCGAACGTCCACTTCCCTTGTCCAATGGCCCGATTCTCATCAGTTTTCTTATGGTCCGCCCAATTCCCATCATTTTCTAAATTTCGAACTATAACGACGTCTACCAATTGTATCGTGAAAGAGATAGCAAAAGAATAGATTAATTACGCTTTCAAAGCGAATAGGTAAGGTGGCGAACAAACCTCTTCGAGTGACAGACTGGCAACCAGATACGGCGGCACGTGCACGACTCCGCAGTGCCTGACGCTGATGTACTCCACGTCAGGCTCGAACAACGCGAACAAGTCGAGAGCCTCGTCCCCTAACGGGCACGCGCAATCCACACGCTCCTCCACACAGCTGCACAGTTCCAGACTCGGACACGAGAACGGTCCGCTCGACGCGGCCACCACGCTCCACGCAGCTGAGGCAGTCACCAACGGTGCCCACCACATCTTCGAAGCACGATCTCTGTAGGGGTGACCTTCTGGCGTTGTGCTCACTTCCCCAGTTGCTCGTCGACTAGGCAGGCAACATACGCGAGACCGGACACGGATCTGCTCCCGGTCGAGCAGCGGAGCTCATTAAGTTGGCATACGGCGTCGAAGAGGCCACTTCCCTTTCCGGAACTGCTCAGCCGCGTTCAAGGGCTCCAAGTTGTCGAAGCTGCCACGGCTCCAAAATAGATCATATCATGCGTTCACTTTATTACACGTCGTGGCTGCCTGAGGTTCAGTCTACATGAAAGTCGATGGGGCTCAGTCCGAGTCGGGGACCGCACAACAAAGATATCCTGTAGAAGCACAATAGTATATAAGCTGAATGTCTTCAAAAACTGTTCCCACCCAGTACGGCGTAAACTGTTTCAGTATTGTTGTGGAGCTTTAGGGCCCCTCAACAGCGCTGATAGGGGGCGCATTCGAGACGTCTTACTGTCACCTGCTCTCAAATGCGTACTGCACTGTTCTCGCAGTAATCATTAAATGTTATCGGCGTCCGCTATGGTCATCGGGAGGTTTTGAAATGCGAAGCATTTCTTAGCGAACTTCAGCGACATTGAGCGTATCTATCTATCTATCTATCTATCTATCTATCTATCTATCTATCTATCTATCTATCTATCTATCTATCTATCTATCTATCTATCTATCTATCTATCTATCTATCTATCTATCTATCTATCTATCTATCTATCTATCTATCTATCTGTCTGTCTATCTATCTATCTATCTATCTATCTATCTATCTATCTATCTATCTATCTATCTATCTATCTATCTATCTATCATCAAGCCGCCTACGACTATTATCTCTCTGGCCGTTTCGATAATGGTATCGATACCAAACTTGGTATGGCATAACATAACTGTATGAAGAAAATATTTGACTTCTCACAACATAAAATCATGACATGTATTTTATGAATGTCATTAAATACATGTGATGGTCCTGCAGCTCCTGCGGTGGTTTCGTTCACATGGCATGTTGCAAAACTGGAATGGTATGACATGATTGCATGGCGAACTCAAGCAACAGACCCTAACATGAAAATCCTGACATGCGTGTCATGTAACAACATGACTACATGCCACGCTCATGATGCGCTCGCGGCCATTTCGCTAGCGTCGCATATACCAAATTTGGTATTACAGTACGTGAATGGATGGTGAAGGTATGTGACTGGTGCAAACATGATAATCATGAGATGCGTGTCATGTAACAACATGACTACATGCTACGCTCATGATGCGCTCGCGGCCGTTTCGCTAGCTTCACATCTACCAAACTCGGTATTACGCGACGTGAACGGACGATATAGGTAAAAGACACGTCGAAACGTGATAATCACGATATGCGTGTCATGTAGCAACATGACTACATGCCACACTGATGATGCGCTCGCGGCCGTTTCGCTAGCTTCACATATGCCAAATTTGGTATTACGTGACGCCAATGGATGAGGAAGGTATGTGACTGGTGAAAACACGATAATCATGAGATGCGTGTCATGTGAGAGCATGACCACATGCCAGAGTCAAGGCGCCAATACATTTCGACGTGGCTCGGTGTCACGGACGGCTATTTTTTGGCGACACCGCGTCACGGCAATTAACGGGCGCCGTACTCCCCGACTGACCGTGAGAAACGGCGGCGCATGAAAGGGAGCCGAGAAGTGCAAAATGGGGTGCTCTTCTTAGAACGTCGCCGCCGATGGTTAATCCTTTTGTAACTGTGGCGGCGTCTGCAAGGTCGTAGAAGGCCGCGGTATACCCCGAACAAGGATTAGACTACGAGACACACCGGCTGAGAGCCAAACGTTTGACCGTTCCCACGGGGAAAAGCGTGGGAAACGCTCTGGTGGCCAAGCCGTATGACAACAACCCGACAGGTTGTTACTCTCGCTAGTTGAGGGCCCTCCCCCAATTAAAAAGGGGTGGGGTCAAAATATTTTTGGGGCGGAGTTTCCCATCCATTAAACGCGCATGATTGGACCCAGGTAGAGGTCTCTTGTCCCCAAGGAAGAGAGCGAGGAGACACGAGGGGGATTTAAGCGCAGGATTTTGCCCTGCTAGGCAGACTAGTCGCTGACCAAGATGGTGTAGAAACAGATCAACAAGCATCTCTTCTAGAAGTTTTTAGTGTGGCTCTGTATCGGCTGGCCACCTAAACTTAGCCGTTCGTCTAGTTGTGACGCGATATTAACGTCTGCAACGTAGACATCGGAACTTCGCCTCGAGTTAGCTCAACCTGCTCGAAGTCACCTGCAAGCACTAGCCTCCCGGAGCCACCAGCGTTGCAACACCGCCGACATCGCAGTCGTGCCAGAACTCTCTTCGACTTCTCGCATCTGATCGTCGGGGACGCAACGCTGCCGGTCATCACACGTATGCCTTCACCTGTTTATATCTTCGAACTTTCTCCTCCGTCGTTCTATTAGATGCGGAGCATCTTATACTCGCGCCTTGTAGTGCGCCGTCCGCGCCGTCCGCACCGCTTCCCGAACATTCGACAGCTGACGCGCGCGCATGCGCCGTCGCGCCGTCGCCCACTCTTCCACCATCTGTGCATCCCTTCCTCCTCTACACACCGCGCGCGCTTCACTCCTCCACCATCTGTGCACCCTTCCTCCTCTACACACCGCGTTCGACATCTACAATTCTCCTGATTCTCCAGTGGACGCGCATGTGGCGTCGCGCTTCGAGAACATTCAACAGCTGACAGTGCATGCGCCGTCGTGCTGTATATATACTCAAGGTCGGCGCTCGCTCGCTCAGTTGCCGCTCGTCGGTTGGTTTGTACGGCGCGTCGACGTCCAAGGTCGCGGTGAAATGAATTCCAACGAATCCACAAACACAATGATCGACGTCCCTTCGACCAGCGCCGCCCTTTCGCATACGTGTGTACGTGTTCACTCATTTAACACCCCCTCCTACAACCACGTTAACCAATTTAGCCATCGACCCAAGTAAGTCGCAATTTAACACCCCATTTCACAACCACGTTAACCAATTTAGCCATCGACCCAAGTAAGTCGCACTTTAACACCCCGTTAACCAATTATATGGTCCGCATCCTCCTCAGTGTTCCCCCGAGGGAAGCTGCGGGCAATTTTTCTTGTTACTTTGTGTAGTTTGTAATAGTTCTCTCTCGTAAGCTGATTTATTGTTTCTGTTATATATCTCTGTAGTTGTATCAAGTGTCAATGTATTTTGTTAGTTGTATTGAAGTGTTATATTAGATCCCGTGTGCTGCACTATCACTAGAGTAAAGTTTGTTTTGTTTTCCCACGTCTCTGATCTCTTCACTGTCTCTGCTTGCGTACGGAACGAACCAACCTGCTGTCATTCCCGTCGCCAACTTCGCGCTGGCGACGCTAGGGTGGCAGCTTGTAACACTCGGTGCGCATGCTCACCGGCGTTCATTTCGTCGCGTCACGCGAGCGCTGCCATGCCAGGCACCGCGCCACGCTGCGTTGCTTTGGCGCATGCGCGCTTCAGCGCGTGCGGTGTCCCTCCGTCACGAAAAGAGGGAGACGCAGTGTTGTCTGGGTAACGCATCGGCACGAAATGCAGCTTGTCGCATTTCGCGCTGGTTGTCATGGGGCCTTGCTGACGGACGCTGGTCGCGCCTGGCGTGAGACAATAGAGTGCTCGCGTTTTGCTAACGTAGCGTCGTGGTGCCCAGTGTGCGCGTGTGTCAACGTTATACATTGGAGTATATTGGGCTCTTCATGATGCGATCGCGGCCGTTTTGCTCGCTCCACACATACCAAATTTGGTGTTGCGGGATGTCAATGGATGACGAAATATGACTGGTGCGAACATGATAATCCTGACACACGTGTAATGTAAGAACATGACAATATACCACGCTCATACCGTGCTCGCGGCCGTTTTGCTAGCTCGACATGTACTAAATTTGGTATCACGTGACGTGAATGAATGACGAAGGTGATCTCTACCTCGTAACGTTGTGCTGATTTTAAAGTGGCATATCGATATTTTTCATTCGTGCTTCGCATATAATCGATTCCCACTACACGTGGGATCTGCCAATTTTTGTGTTTTGGGCATGCAAACCAGTCTTGCGTCACGTCTGGGGAGGGAGAGAGCACTGGTGTAGCTTGGGTGGGGGCAAGTGCTCGTGAGACTTGAGGGGGGCAAGCGCCCTTATTGCACCACCCTGCCAACGCCCATAGTGTCGGCGTTAACTGCCTAAAGAACGGATTTCCGCAAATACTTCTCGAATCCGTCATGAACGAAAACAATTAGAGGGATTTAAGCCCTCCCTCTTATCTTGTCTAACGAACATGCTGGAAGCTACACAGGCAAAAAACGCACGAGTTACGTCAACGCTCGTGAAGAAATGCGACAGATGTCTCACGTTGCGATTCCTGTGCACCTTATATGCTCTGTAATGTTAGAAAGTTATATGGACAATCTCGACGGGTTTTTGCCGTTGCCGCCGTCATGTTCCACGTAAACTCCAACTCGATAACATCCCCCCACAGAGCGGGGGCGACGAAAGCGGTTAATCAAACGATCAGGACTAAACCAATCTCCGTCCATGCGAAATACCAACACCTCGGTAGGCCCGCCGTACAAGCAGAGGAAACACCCTGTCCGTCTTGAACGAGCATGAAAAGATGCGAAGGGGGAAGGGGGCGGGGCGTTTGCTCGAGCAGCAACAGTGAACGTTAACTTAGCTTCTACTGCGGGCGCGGCGGCGAGTTCAGCAGCCATCAGTAAGAGGCTCGCATACATACATACATACATACATACATACTACACACACACACACACACACACACACACACACACACACACACACACACACACACATATATATATATATATATATATATATATATATATATATATATATATATATATATATATATATATATATATTGCTGCTTCTACGCACTGCACTCTAATCGCGATGAGATTCGAGAAGTGTTGCCCTCCCTGGAGTGGCCATATTCCAACTTTTTGTAAAGTTACCCGAGAATGGAATGGATCCAAAATAGCCGCTAGGCCTCAGTTCGCATAACATTACAATTGGTCGCTATCGCATTCATTGCTTCGCTTTTGCGGTGGAACTTACTTTTTATAGCTATGTATAGCCGATAAGCGCCGTTTGACGGAGCAGAGCGGCAAAATGAACGAGAATACACACATGCACTCAATGAGCATCGTGTGGATTCGCTGGGCTGTTTGGAAACAGAACACCACACCCCCCTCTTTTTTTCTTTACTATTGTGACCGTTATCCTTTTTCGAATGCTGCCATCAGAAAATCAGTTCCACCACAAGGAGAAAGCAATAAATGCTATAACAACAAGTTGAAATTGGCTAATTCTTTTTAATACTACATCGCACGACTCTACAACACGCTGTTGAAAGAAAATGCGTCCACGCCATGGAGAGATGCCCTTTCCGCAGCCTCCTCACGTAAAAAGCTCAGCATGTGGAAGGGAGCCATTCGCACTGATGCCTTCAGAGACAGCTTGTGCCAGTGATTGCGACCGCGAACTTAAAATCAAACTTCACAACTGCTGTTTGATTAATCATGACGAAACCAAAACTATAACCATTTCGATGAAATCGAAAACACGATGTTTCGGACACGTTTTCGGGCTTGATGGCCGTCGCATCTTACACCTAAATTAGGGCACTGCGATGCAGTACGGCGCTGATAAACGAGTTTGACGCAACAGGGGTGGTTCGGTGTAGGACGGAGCAGCCGTTACTTATTGCAGGGCTTAGCACTGCAATTTGTTACTTTTCACGTACAAGGAAGGGCAGTCACACTAAAGGTAAACGGCATAACCAACGTTTTCTATATGGCAAACCGTGTGGTCTTCCTCATTGAACATTTAACAGCAGTCTCTGCAATAAGAATGACTAGAACACGCACTCCCTTTCCTTCTTTTGCGAAAGTCCTTAGGTGCCCTCACCAATGCCTTAAAAAATGCAGTTTTCATTCGCAAGTACATAGGACTGTGTTGACATAAATTTATTCACCACAATATAACAATTTCTTTGTTTTTTTTTTTGTACACAAATCAAGGCTGCCAGTTTCAGAATATGAAACTGTTCCCATGCATTCACAGCCAAGACGAGACAGCAACAAAGAAACGTCAGCTTAAGAGACAATAATAATAATAATCATAACAATAAAACTATGCACATGGAAATGCTAATGACACCAAAAAAAAGAAATGACTGCATGCAACATTTTTTCCTGCATCTTCTTAATTGCTGGCTGTAGATTGTACTCACATAATTTTTAGCAAAAACAGCTGTTTACAAAGAACTGAAAGCATTACCTCACCATACCATGCAAAGCGGTTTTCTTTAAATATAATATTGTCACTATTCTGTAACCAAAAAGGCATAACAGAACAAGAGCAATTATATTAAGCATTTTCACAATTTGAAAATATAACAAGTGCACTTTTGATTTTGCCTTTCCTCTCACAAAAAGAACACAGTGGGTCAATAAGTTCACAATGTACAAGTTATCTCTCCAGAGGTTCACAAAGAGTGTCGACAAACATGGGTATATATAATGCAAGATGCTTGGTACGAAAAACCAACAGTCCGTATCGAAGCTAGCCTAACAAACTAGCAGGGCATTACAAATGGCAATATGAGCACATCAAAAGTGTCAGAAAATCAACGACTAGGTTCACAATGAGCCTACAGTGTTCTAAGGATTGGCAACTGGTTTGAAACACAATATCACGCCTCCCGGAACACACTGCAGGAAAAGAGCTTAAGTGTACAATGTTAAGTACTGCACACCAATATTAATTCATCCATATTTATTTCTATTCAGTCACCCGCCTGCTAATGTGAACCGATCAGCTCCATAGCAGATTGTTGGCCTGCATTTGCAGGTAGTTGCCAACCCTTGTTCTACACCATTGTACAAAAAAAAAACAATAATAAATAAAAATTATTTTAAGGGTCTTACAAAATACAACCATGGTAAAGCAGAAGCTTAGAGTTGTTCCCCAAGTTTGTGAAAAATACGTTTAGATATACCGTATTTGCACGAATATAACGCGAGTTTTTTTCCAAAAATATGCGAGTGAAAAAGGCACCTCGCGTTATATTCGCGTTCGTGACAAAAAGTGGCAAAAATATAACGCGAAAATTTTTCGAGCCTTTCTTTTTTTTCTTTTAAATCTTCGTTCTTGTAAGGCGCGCCGCACATTCCACGAACTTCGTGGTTTTGTCGCCCCATATAGCACATTTTATTCTGACTTGCGCATCCAGTGACAGCGCGTGGCAAGGCACCGTGGCGCCGACGGCCGCCGGACGTCTCGGAGCACCGCCGCTCAGGGCGCCGGCGACGTGCGCGCCACTACGGTAGGCTGCGGCGGTCGCAATCTGCGCTAGCGCTGCTAGCGCCACAGCAGCCCCAGTGGCAACACGTGGATAACAATCATTTCGGAAAAACGTGTGCATCGCCTTCCTACGCCTTGCGGTCGCTCGTTGCTGTGTTCTTTCTTCCGCTTGGCCCGTCATCATGTACAAACGGAATCAATACACTGCCGCGTTCAAAAAACAGGCGATCCTGCTGGCCGAAAATAGGGGAAATTCAAGTGCGGCACGGCATCTCGGAGTGACGGAGTCTACCATTCGAGGTTGGATGAAGTTTCGAGAGCGCATATTCCAAGCCGCACCGACACGCAAGGCGTTCCGTGGGCCTAAGACCGGCCGTTTCCCGGAAATCGAAGTGGACCTGGCGGAATTTGTGCGTCAACGTCGTGGCCAGTTTTCTGCCTGTGAACGCCGAACTTGTGCAGATAAAAGCAAGGGAGCTTGCACGTGAGGCCGGCGTGCCCCGTGACACCTTCAAAGCCAGTCGCTCGTGGGTCCAGAAGTTCATGCGTCGGGCGGGATTCTCGCTTCGCCGAAGGACGTCAATTTGCCAGAAACTTCCGGCCGAGTATGAAGAGAAACTCGTTGAGTTTCAGCGTTACGTTATCAAGATGAGGAGAGAGAAAAACTACCCCCTAGGCCAGATCGGTAACGCGGATGAGACCCCGATCTTTTTGGACATACCGGCTGGCTATGTGATCGATCAGCTCGGCACCAAGGAGGTGCGCGTCCGCACAACGGGTAACGAAAAGACCCGGGTGACGGTGATGCTGGCGTGTACGGCGGACGGGCGTAAGCTGCCGCCATTTCTCATATTTAAGAGGAAGACTCTGCCCAAGAATGAGACATTCCCACACCGGATGCACGTCAGGTGCAATGATAAGGGCTGGATGGACAGCACCATGATGACTGAGTGGATCCGTGTTGTGTGGGGAAGACGTCCGGGCGCACTTCTCAACACTCCAGTTATGATTGTGCTGGACGCGTTTAGAGGCCACTTGACCGATGAGGTAAAAGAAGCGCTCGCCAAGGCCAACACTGACCTTGTTGTCATTCCCGGAGGAATGACGTCGCAGCTCCAGCCACTGGATGTCTGTATTAATAAGCCTTTTAAGGACCTCGTACGCCGGGAGTACGAGCAGTGGCTGGAGGCTAGCAATCGCCAACTGACTCCATCGGGTCGCATGAAGCGAGCTTCAGTCAGCGAGGTCGCTCGCTGGATACACAATGCTTGGGAGGCCTTGCCGTCGGCAATAGTGTCACGGGCATTCCTTAAGTGCTGCCTCTCGAACAGTCTGGACGGCACGGACGACGACGCGGTTTTTGTCGACAGTGACAAAGACTCTAGCAGCGATGATGACTGATCAGGCAAGCCAGTGATAATAGCATTTCTAACTGCTGCAAATATAAATAAAGCCTCTTTGATTGCTGTTTACAGTTGCATCACCTCGCGTTATAATCGTACTAAACTTTTTTTTTTTTCGTCGAGACCTATAGTACCCCCCTCGCGTTATATTCGCGGTCGCGTTATATTCGTGCAAATACGGTACTACAAAATCTTTTTTTGGGTGTAAGCTGTGCTACAATCATTTTTGAAAAACAGCAGTCCATTTCGATGGCTTTAGGCAGCAAGATCGTGCACGGACGTAACTAAACGTGCAACAGAAAAAAGTAAAGGATGCAGGCTCAATTTTTGAACAAGCTGTAAGCGTAACTATATTGAAATGTCAGCAATTGAGCGATACTGGCACGCAAATATTGTATGTTACATTTCTTATATAGACCATCACAACTGACCACTACACATAGCCTTAAAAATGAATTTACAAGGGCCTCCATTTTTTGAATTATTCCCTCGTGATGAATGCAACAGCCTTTCAGCACACCTGCCATTAGGGACACAAGAATCCATGAAAACCAAAGAGAACCATTTTCTAGACTCGGCAATCAGCCATGACTTATTCACAAGCAACTCCCCCCCCCCCCCCCCCCCCCCCCTCCACTTGATGCTCCAAACCATGAAATGCATACGAAAAAATATAGTACACAGTATGCAAACACAAAGCAAGTTTCCTCACGTGGTGCAGGGTGCAGTGGCACATTGCTAAAGCAGGATAAATTGCACAATATGTTGCATAGTGCCCCGTAATAATCAGCCCCTACACTGCAATATCTGGAGTCATTGCATGGCCCTCTGCCCCTACCCTCCTTTTTTGCTTATTTCATAATACAAGTTACCTCAAGTGATACCCCGAAATGCTACATAAATATCCAGCACTGTCTCCCAAGCAACAGACGCACTGTGGACTATACGATGCCCGAGTATACTTATGTTCAATGTTTTTATGCTGTCAATAGGTCTTGTGTATCTAGCGGAATATTGCATGTGCATGCCACCCAGACACATATAAAAATATTCGGAGTTAACAGCTTCTCTTAAATAACTAATCATCCTTCAGTTACTTGTTTCCCCTGCTTTTGAACAGAGCCATGACACACCAGATAGGACCACGGGGATATTAAAAAGTGGGCATTGTTATGAAACAGTTTAACAAAGTGAATTTGTTCTCTATGATATGGCAAGCCATGACGTGTTCATGCAAAACACTTGAGAGCATACTTTTCTTTCAAACATTATACCACACCTGTGAATGAGTCCAAATCCACACAAATGCGGCCTTGGGCGACTTCCGTTTAACAAAGGGGTGCTGAAATTGGGTGCAGAAGAAGATGCAATGCAGATAAGAAAAAAAACCTCGACAGTCCTTTTATGTCTTGTCCATTAGTGTCTGCTTCAAGGATATCTTTTACACATGTTGTCCATTAATTTTCACAGAGGAGATACTGAAGTGGGGTATCACAGCGCAGCAGAGCAGCGGCATCGCATGCCCCGTTCCTAGCTTGCTACTACCGCTTCTTGGCCACTCGAGTAGTCTTGGCCTGCTGCTGTCTCTTGTTGCCTCCCGTGAAGAGTGTGGTCATCATTTCGGACAGTTCGGGCATGTCGTACTTCGGCATCTGCATCTGGTTCATCTCCTGCAATAGCGAAAGATGTGGCACTCGCAGTCAGAACCGAGAACAAAGTTCTGCGCCACTAAACCATTCTCGGTACGAACGGTGCACACAAGCATCTGCCTAACCAGGACTACGATGTGGCGTAGGCATACTGTTCCAACTTGCACCATACGCGCCCTTGTTTGTGCCTGCTTCACAAGATCTAATTTACCCATCAAACACGTAAAGAAACAGCTCACCCACTCCCCGGATTTCTCGACTTATGTTTCTCAAAGCAAGCAGCATAAATTGAAAGCCCGTGCCCCACATGCTGCATGAATTTAGACCCAAACCAGCAATGAGTGGAATCGTCTCCCTTTTACATTACTTCAATTACCGGTGTTGCCATGTGCAAGAGTTGCAGACTGCAGACCTTAAGGGTAACGAAGTGAATAAATAAAGCCAGTGCTAAATGCTGAAACACATGGTGCTATCTACCAAAAAAAAAAAAAAAAAAACCAGCTAAAATGTAAGGGTACATACAACCTACAACGAAGCCATGCACAGTGTCTACGATGTAAGTGAAAAATATTTTGCGAGTGCTGCCATGCAATTCACTGCCTTGACAGTTATTTTGGTGCAAGAAACACTAAAAGCATAGTGGGAATGGTCAGCACTTGCACTGCAACTTAATGCAGAAGCAGTCTTGCTGTTTGGCCTGCCACATGACATGGCACAGTCACAGAGTGAGCAGCTATGTCGGAACTAGGAGGTGCTGATGACCTGCATATTGACCAAAAAGTACGCTGGTAGCTGACGCACTGTGCCTCTTTTTTTTTCAGCACTCGTAGCTAGTCATAGCTTGATGAAATACACAAAGTGATTATTTTCCTGGCAATCTCACCATGCTCCATAAAGAACAAAGCATTTTAATGACTGCAGAGGAAGGATAGTGCCAATATGATGTGTAGCTTTGACACTCTCTCGCGACTCAATACCAGCCAGAGTGTGACATAAGACTGGAGAGACATACATGACCTCAAACACACAGTGAATGTCCTTTTTCAGTACAAAGGCAATTTTGACAGCCCAATCCAAAGCTTGAATGGCTTCTCAGAGACAATAAAACTTAAACACCTTTTTCTACATTTAACGCAGAATGCTAAAATGTCACATCGCAAGCACTTTCGAAAACGCTGTCATAGATTGGCACGGTATTCGGAGCTTCAATAGACACACCGAAGTGCAAAGATCACATAGGCAGAGACTAGGATAACTTGTTTATAGCAGTTATGAAAACATGTTGGAGCTCACACAACATATTGCATAGTTATCATTATCAAACTGTGCTGTGTCACCATAAAGCATACATGAAAGCGTTATGCGAGTGTTCAAGCAACACTCCCTTTCTGTAGAGGCAAACAAAAATCTAGTATAGTCAAGTCAACAGAATGGTAATGCCAATTCATAAAGATTACAGTCATTTATAAATGGCATGCACTTGTGATTATGCAATCATGACATTAGAACACAGATCAATTGAAACTGTTGCCATTCAATGATGTTACATTGAAGCTTAAAGCCTAAAGGAGCAATCCTCCTTTGGGAACCTAATTCAGTATACCAAACTTCACATGTACAGTACTCAGTGACTGAAAGGTGAAAATTTAGAACTAATTGGATGCACATACTTTACTTATTAGCATGTACAGTCTGTGTCATATCAGCCTGCCTTTGACTCAAACACTTACATCAAAGCCAACATCACCTCTAGTGGCCAGATTTGCAGCGACATGACTCGCTATGGGTCACAGCATTAATTATATTAAAAAAAAAGAGAATAACAATGTCGCATTTGAATCTGTAAATACTACTATACTTTTTTTTCGTACATTTATTTATATCTGAATCCACCAACACTTGCTCTAACAGGACAAGGCATGGTTCCGAATATGTGCAAGCCATTGCAGAAGTTAAGTACATTGGCCATAAACATTAAGCAATATTTAGGGTAATAACTAAACTTGATAATCTAATGTCACTGGGCTTCCTCTTCAACACGTGCTAGCAAGCAGCAAATTATGAATTATCATATTAATAGCATGCTCACTTGCACGTGCACTTTGTGTATCAATTAAACTTCTATCAACGAGTAAAAATTTCACCTAAAAAATTTTTCAGTTTTTATGTGCGCATAAGCCACTTTGATGACTAGAGAAGGGTGAGAGTCCCTTGTTGGATTAAAGCACCATAAGCTTAGTGATGTCAAACTAAAGCAGTAGTCATGTGCCATGACATTTTCGACATTTCACATTACTTGCTGGTGTTGTTTCAGTTTCCCTAACAGTGCCTACACAAAAAGAACTTTTGGTGCGCAAAGACAAATAGACTGACAGCTTCAAACAAATTCATATTTAAGACTGCAGGTTTGTAATAACTGCACTTTGAGTTTGACAATGTCAGGCTAATCTCTCAGTCCGGGTCTGGATGCACACAACAAACTAAATCAGCAATTTACTGCGCTAACCAATCATGACACATCTCAGTGGTACAACATCAGGCTGAATATGGTCACCCTATAGCTTCTTCCCGAGGGATGTGATTACATACAGGTGAGCCTTGTGTCACTTGAAATGTTACGAGATGATTCTGTGAACAGATTTATATGATTTGGCACACACTCATTTTCCTCTGCATCAAGGTATTTGAGCAGAAAGTAGGGAATAAAAAAAAACTGGCAGAAGATCAGTTTACTATGTCCTTTCAGGCACTATAACTTCCAAGATTCTTACCCTTTGTGTCTCCGGGTCGGCTGCATTCATCAGTTTCGGCAAGACCATGATAAGCAGCAGAGGAACCACCATCATCAGAACCTGGCAATCAGAAACCAGAGTAACAAAAAGATATGTCAGGGTAAAGTACCAAAAAAATCTTTCAAGTGCAAGCATTTTTTATGCCAGCAAAGCATATACGAACGTTGCTTTGCTTTAATTTAAACATTGAGCTCTATAATAAGACTGCATGATTCTTTCAACGTACAAAAAACAAAACATCGCTGTATTGCTTGCTCACAGATTGTGTGCATTAGCTAACTACTAGCAGTAAATTTATCCACTCAACAGAGCAGTAGTGTGCTTCTCTGACGACAAAGCGTGCATATGAAACCCACTTTTCATTTATGTAGGAGGGAAGGGGCAGTAAATGTCTTTTGGGAGATAAGCATTGATATTTCACAAAAAACAAAGTAATAGTACACAAAATATCATTATTTTGAAATCGTTACAATGAAAGAGTTAGCCACTGAACACTAGGAACACAAGAACCTATTTGACATGTTCCTGCCAACAATACGCAACTGAAAATATGCACACATGCTTGGCTTATTTAATTCTTTTTATTTATGAAAAGTACAGTGCAAAAAAATTTCATATCAACGAGGCCCAGTGGAAGACTGTTGGAGTAGTCACATCGATAATCTAAATTAGGCTGACACATGTTGTTCAAAGACAGTTATGTCCCCAATTTACACTGCCTTTCATTCACGGTAGGTAAAATAATCCTTTCCCTCAGCTGCCAACTTTGCACTAATTTAACAGATGTAGGTATCACAATATAGGTTTCCACTAATGTGTGGGTCTTTAACTTTATGTGAGGATTGAATGATAGGCACAATTGACATTGGGATAAGTAACAAGGCATGTTGCTTTAAATAAAATGTTCTGTGGAGAAAAGTGTGAAGAATTCTATAAAGGACAAAGGAGGAGTGAGAGACAGAGAGAGAGAACAACTTGATTTAAAAGTAAGCCCCAGTTTGGGTCCATAAGTAAAATAAACATATCAAAGCCTAGCTATAGGCAAAGCCTAGATTCTAAGAAAAGATCAAGTAAAGAGGGCATCGTTATGTCCCAGAACAGTAAGTGACATCTGTCTTGTGTTCCTTTCTGTACGTTATTGCCATGCGCCTGACACTGTCAGGTCAGGAACGACATGTGTGTTATCATCGTGACATAGCATTCTTTAAAGAAAGGTGACCAGCACCTAGTTTTCAAGAAAGGAAGCGCAAGCAAGCCACTAGACGATTATTGTTGTTGTACACAAAGACACACTTTTTACTCTACCCTTTTTTTTTAGAGCGTCGAAGTTTCGTATGTCTGAGTAGTGCTTTCATGATGTCTGGGAAGCAGTCCGCAACAAAGGGCGCGCAATGAGAAACTGAATAATAAAAAAAATTGGCCCTGCATCTGCTTGTTTCGCTGCAGAAGACTTCTAAAGACAATAGTCTTCTGCCTGCAGGCACTGCGTTAGAGTAGCTCGATGCCCTCTTTGCTCGCCTATGGTGAGCTCAGCGAGGAGCACATCAAGGCACTCCCACCTACGGAGAGGTGAGTGAGGAGGATATCAAGGCACTCGACGCTGCGTTAAAGCTGCATAAGATCCGGGCTTCATCTGGCAGTGACAAGAAACTGAAGTATCTTAGAATGTAGAGCAACTGGTGCACTTTACTATATGATGATCACACCACATGAGATGTATGGATGGATGACAAGCTGGGCACATAAAGTGCTCCGCACTTAAAAGCATAACATCAAGTCATTTCCTAATCTCTCAAGCATTCTGCTGCTCTTGTAACATTTTGGCGCGTACACAGAGGACGGGAAAACGGAAAGCTAGGAGACAAACAAGTGCCTTCTTAGTCTTCCGTTTTTCCATCAACTATGTGCGTGCCAAAATGTTACCAAGAATGTTTTCAAACCAACTCGCCCAACTTTCCATTTTATTACATTCTTGTGCATCGTTCAAAGAACACTAAAGGCTAGTAACAATTTATGTCAGAGTGAAAGCTCAATGTATGACAACATATAAAACAGCAATATTATCAACAACAGTGCCCTACTTACTGAGAAATCAGGTTTCGCATGACGTGCACCACGAGGAGGACATTTCTTAAATGATCCAAACGACATAAGAACATCCGACTACAATTAATCGTGACCGATAGTGACTAATCAAACTAGCTGCAATAAAATCTGCCATGCATAATGAGATGTAATAACATGCTGCTTGTACGTTTCTGTTTCATATATATAAAACAGAACCGCCTGGCGTTACTTTGGGGAATGGTGAGAGAGGTTCAAAAGTTCTGTTTTCGCCTAGTTAGACAAGACAAGTGGTGCCATCTAGTGGGGCCCAGTTGAACCAAGCGTGCAGAAAATTGTTCAGAGGCCACTGTTGCTGCTGTGGCTCTCGCTATTTTTGCAGTGCTGCCACTGGTGTTGGAAGCCACACAATAAAGGCGGACAACGTTGGGCAAGGCAACACTGCTGTGAGAATGGGCAGTTTCAGACGGGTTATTTGAAGTGCACTAACACAATGCGATCCGCTAAAACACGATTTCATTTCAAAATAGGCACTTCCTTGGCACAGAAGTAGAACTACAAGGTTTCTGAACTGCTATTTCAACAATTATTATAGAGTTAACATTTGCCTTTAGTGTCCCTTTAAACCTCTCACCCAATGAAGAGATACAAAGAGGCTGACAAACGTGCACACTAAAGCTTGTAAGATGGTAAAGGTGGCATGTGCAGGCCGCACACAGTACAAGAATTCAATGAGGGCGATTTCAGGGACCACATCCGAAGCTTTCAGTGTCGGCATATTATCACTTGAAACATTCTGGGCCAAGGATATAGATTTCACATACATTTCACAAACGTTTCACATAAGTTTTTTGAGTTTTTACAAGTCCATCAGTTGGAAGATAGCACTCTTCTCTCTTCCCTTTCTTGTCCCTTGTCCGTTCTGCACTTATTGTTGAAGACTGATTATAAACTAGCCCAATTTCCAACTTTGCATCAGACCCTGGAGTTTCACAACACGTGTAGCACCACCTGTCAGAAGTGATGCACAATGCCACTTCACATAATCTGAATTGGTCGCCACCAAACAGAATCGCGCACGTACGTTTTTAAGGCTCATTTTTCCGGTCTTAACTAGAAAATATTAACAGGTAAAATATACATGTAAATCGCAAACTGTTGGAACACCTTTAGGTTTGTTTTGCCATCGCCTGTACCCCGTGAAAGCGGTCACGCACGTATCCCCATATTCAGAATATGCATATGGTAAACAACTATCAACAGAACACTCGAGGATGCATAATAAAACAGTTTAACACACGGAAAGATCCATTTGAAAGGAGACTGCAACTAAAAGACAAAAATTGCCAGAACCATTCAACGCTGATAAAGTTAGCTTTGTACCACCCATTGCAATGATACAGAACCAATTAAATTGAGCATGTATGTATTTCACCACGCTGACATTATGTACACACCTACATTTAACGCATTTGTGCTCTACAGAACGGATGTCGGACAGCGTGCCTCGAAGATGCTCGCTTGCACTTGCGAGTTGCAGCCCACAGAAATAACTGAAAGTTTTCTTTGCGCTGTACCCGCAGTTCTCACTTGGATGAGCTTCCTAGTTTTCCAAGTCCTTGATTTTTCAGTAGAGGGAAGTTTTGTAATGGCCAATGCACGTTTTCTTGCAGACAACTCTCTTTGAACTACCCAGTTTGGGCCAGGGCTGTGATCAGGGCACCAGTGGCGGTGTTTTTCAAAGCGCCGTCTGGGCTGAGTGTGAAGCCTACTGGAGTGGCAACCGACGTTTTACTGTTCCCAGATATTGTGCCGGCATTAGCTACAGCCAATTAGGCCTGCACAATTCCCCACCTTAACCCACAAGGCGCGAGGGCCGAAAGGCCGAATTCGTTGGACGGCTGCGTACAAGTGCCGGCATCATAACTCCGAAAGATGATGTACCGGCTGTCGGCACTACATTCACTGCCGACATTCGCGTGGTGCGGCTTACCATAGGGTTCAGGAGGAAGTCGGTGATCCTCCATGTCTCTCGAACTTGGAAATACTGGAAGGGACCACGACTCTTCAGTTTCAGCGGGTACGCAACAGTCTGGATCAAGTTTGACTGTATGTAGTTGACTCGACGAGCTCGGAATTTTCCCTTGGAATTGATGTCCACTCGCACTGGCTCGTACACATGGTCAGGATTAGCCACTTCGACAACGTACGACCCAGGAGCTAGGTTGTGCACCGAAAAGCTGCCGTCGCTCCTGGGAAGTTAAGTCGAAAACGATTAAGTCAGCACTTCAAGTTGGATGAAAAAAAAAAATCGGAAAAACCTACCGCGAGATACTCACCTCAGGAAACCGAGTTGTTCCCCTCCGTTCACGAGAATTCGTGTGGACGTTAGCCATTCGGATGTGGCAATTTCTGGAGGCACCACTTTACCTTCGATCACATGCTTCTCGGGCACAACGTCCTCATCGCTGGCTGCTACACCGGCTCTACTAATAAGGAAAGCAAGATGAAAGAATAATGCGCAAACGCGCCGTAGATACACCGGTTTTAGAGAATGAAGCCGCATATCTTATTTAATATTTAAAGACACAAATCGGTCGAGGAAGCAGGCCACCATTCAATAGGATGGCTGACGCAAAACAACCAGCGATCTCGCGCCACCTAGCGATTTGACAATGTTGGTTAACTACCGGAAAGGAAGTCAGTACTTTTAAGGGTGGAGTTGTAGTGATTTATTCAACCCTAAAAAGATTAGGTATGTGTTTCGTTTTGTCAGTGTAGACTCCGCAGTCGCTCAAAGCAAGGCTGTAATTGGCAATATACGCAACCTACTAATTTCTGTGCACTTTTTGTGTGTGTTTTTTTCTCGCCTGTGACGTCGCTAACAACATGGCAGTGGCCGCTTGTTCGTGATGTGTGGTGATAACTGTCTCTTAATTTGGTCATGTTCGATCTCTCTGCTTGTCTTATGAAGACTGTGCTGTGAGCTGCAGTGACAAGTCGTGAGGACGCGTGCCTTCAGTATTGAGAACCCGTGATGGTGGTGTCCTGAAAAGCGAGTGTCAAATTATCATGGTGACGGATAGGTTAGGCCTTGGGCTGAGCTGAGCGACCGAAATACCCGTGTTTTAGTCGCCCCGAGTTGGAACTTGCCGTGCATCTTGCCTGAAAGTAATTCTGGCTCCTTTTCTCGACATCGCTTATTAGTGTGTTTTGTATTTGGATGTCTCGTTTTGTTGCATCGAGTGACGAGAGAGAGCTGCGCGCACGAGGCATTGTGTTGGATACAGTAGTTGGCTGTTTTTCTCACGCTCTTGACAGAAAAGAACGTGTGGTGCATGTCCTTTTCGCGATCTATTTTCTAGCGGTGGCGGAGAATTCGTGCATGGGGTTTGGCGAGACTTGTGTGCCCTCTGTTCCTTCAGTGTCAGCGGGTGACCATAGGGGGTTGCCTTAGAGCGTCTACTCTCACAAAACGTTAATTCAGCATGGTAACATCGACATTCTTCCCCCGATATGCCGCTTGTGCGTGGTCTTCAATTTTTTTTTTCAAGTGCAACTATAGAGATAGCTGCTTTTTACAACGATGTTTTGCAACGATGCGAAAGCGGCTGCTCCCACACAAGGTGTGGGCTCTGGTGTGCCTATTGGGCGTGTGCGTTTCGCGAAGCGACCTACGGTGTGCGGCGCAGCCTACGTCGACATTTCGACGACTTTCTTCGACTTCGCTGTCCTATGTGAGAATCGCGCGGTTCTGGCTGTTTTCTTCGAGCACGTGTTCGTCTTGGTGTAGTAGCGCTCGCATGGTTGGGCGTCGTAGATTCTGGCGCAATACAGTGGCGAAATTTGCCTACCCTAAGCGACAGTTCCGAACGAAAAGATTTTGTAAGCATTTTTTTCTTTTTTTCTGTCTTTCTTGCGTGATGAGAAGTTCCGTGTCGTTTAGTTCACGTTGTTGCACTCCGGTAATCGACGCGCCCTCTCATGCGCACGTGGCACTACCTTTGCTTGATTGTACGTGAATATTTTGTCACATAAGAGTTACCGTGCTTTCAAGCTTTTGTGTTATAACCCTTTTGATGTATGAGTACCCAAGGGTTACAGTTTTATGTTGCATATGCATCGTCTTTGCTGGTGTCTCCGGTTAAGCAAGCTTCACGGGCACATGTTTGCAAATTATTCAGCACTATCATTCGCACAATGATACCTTTTTTTAATTGGTCTAAGCAGTAGGCCCTGCATTTTAACGCAATCAGTTCAAACCAAAGTGGGTGCATATTTGTGAAATCAGGTTTCGTTCAATTCAACGACATCCTGTTTTCCTCAGTGTCAAGGAATGATCGCTTGGGCAGGGTTTTTAACCACTGTTTTGTCTTGTCGAATGAGATGCATGAGTAACATTCAGCAGTGTCCGATCATGCATGATTGAACATCCTGACAGAGGTCATGATCCTAGACAGAGTGATTGAGAATAAATTTGTTTAATGCATTTTGGCTACTAGGTACATACCTTTAGCTGGTTACCCAACAGATAGATGCAGACCTATGTAGCTGCTTGAGGCCACGTGCAGAAAAATTGACTGTTGGGCAAGGGAAATAAGCAGTGTATAATAAATTGAATTAAAATACAGTAAGAGCACTTGATTATTCAATCATATAATGACCTGATAGCATAGTAGCCCAAAAATTTTAAACAGAAATAGCTTCCTTCGTACTGGCCTCTTTTACTGTCTTAAGTGTGTTGTTTCTGCTGAGCAGAAGTGATTGACTCCTCGTACGTTTATCCTAGAGTTGCTGATTGTGCTAACAAGCATTGTTTCAGAAACATCAAAGCATTATACACTTAATGCTTGATGTTATTCACAGAAAAAAAATTCACAGAAAAAAAAAGAAAAGAGGTTGCGAAATGACTGATCAGATTGTGTCTACATTATTCATTACTGTAATCGAGCTGTTTTTTATAATAAGCTGCTGCACATTCACTCTGAAAAATCAAAGGTTTTCGATTCACAATGAAGTATGTGAAAGCACTGGTGCATGATAAAGAATGAAAACTCAACTGCTTACACCTTTGATGATTAACTGTGCAGATATCCATAGGATGGTAGTTTTAGGGGACCCTATGGGCAAATACCAAGTCAATGTATATTTCGAAAACAGCTTTCTGGAAATCTTGTTCTGTGCCAAGGAAATGCTTAGTTTGAAATAAATTGCAGTTTAGTGGTCCACAGACAATTAGCACAATTTAAACCACCTGCCTTTGAGAATATCCTTGTTACGTAGCAGTTGTTGTACCCTCAGTTTACTGAACAACAGCCGGTGTTGAGGAGCACAGCATGGCAAAAACGGGCACTTTTGTCGTTCTCAAGGGTAACACAAAGTTCTTCTTTCATGAATCAAGCTCTAAAGTGCAAGTTGCATTTTATGCATTTTATTCCATCTTGTAACGCCATGCAGTGTTCTTTTCTATTGCGACTAGATTGAGTACTAGAGATAAATTGTGCTGAAGGCTTTGTGCATCATTGTTCTAAATGTCCTTCTGATGGTGCAAATCGTGTCCAACATATACTTTAATTTCTCGATTACTAGACTGCTTCTGTGTATCATTAGCGGTTCTCAAGCATTGACTTCTTACTCTGACATTAAATGTGCCTTCAAGTATCTCTGTAATTGCAGTGAAAAGGAATTGGCCTTTATGGCCTTCAAAGAGTCTGCTATGTCTATGTGCTTGTTGTTCAGGCCCTACGCTGCGTTTTGATAATGGGAGGCGGTCCCCTGTACGTTGCTCTATTTGGGGTACTGTGCAAGAACAACGTTTTCCAAGAGCAGAGATCAAGATGTCTGAATTTCTTCCTACGTTTAGTCTTAAGTGTTCATGCCTGGCATTATCAAATTTGTCTTCACGTGAGACCATATTTGACGTAACATAAGCTCAGTAGTGTGGCACTGCTTGTAAAACTATAACCAGAGAGAGCTGCATCAGCTTAATGTGTTGCAGGCAGTTTGATCTTGGTAAACGGAGCGGGAGCAATGTTTCCTTCTGCATTCCCATTGAAGGGTTTTCATTTCATTCATTTTTATTGTTTGAGGGTATGTGCCCCTATCTGAGAAGTCGCTCATTTAAATCATGGCGGTACTGTTTTAGAAAAAACATGAATAGTCTCGTAAATTAGTTTGGCTTCAATATAGCAAATAGCGTAAATACAACATTTGTACAAACAGATCAAATATAAATAACTTTACTAAGGTTTCCTGATAAACGTTTAACGGTCACATTTTTTTTGAACAGTTTTGTTTTTATTCCTTTATTTGTGTTTGAGTGTTGTTCACATGTTAAAATAAACTGGCCCAATTTTCAACTTTACTGGTCTTTTTGTGGCTTGGTACTGATGCCTCCCCCCCTCCTTTTCTTTGTTTTTTTTTAATCTAGATGCTTTTCTGAGACTGCGGACGTGGGCGGGCCCATGTCTGCGGAGGAACGTACAGGCGAGGGGAATGATGCCAAGGTGGACATCAACACCTCTTCGGTCGACGACCTGGCAGGGGTCGTTGGCCTGGGGAGGGCAGCTGCAGAAGCCATTGTGGCAGCTCGCAGAGTCAGTACTATGTGTACATGTGTGACATGTGCCATATTTTGTTGTTTTACACTGTCAATTAGTAGTACGGTGACCTGCATGTCTGGCTTGATGATGCAGAACCTTTGCTACGGCTTCGTTAAAGGGGTACTGAAACGATATTTCGCGGCTGAGATAGCCTGTGGGGTCGATTCTCATGAACATCTGTATGTGATCTGAAAAATACCAACAGCGAATATAGCTTGGAAGGTATTTTAAAATTAATTTTGAAGTTTACGTGAGCCATTGACGCCCTCGAAAGGGACCCCTTTGGGGACCCCCTACTTCCCTCACGTCACCACGCTGCAGTCAATAACACAAGTTATTATGACGTCATAGCCGCCATTTTTCTTTTGTTGCATTAGTTCCCACTGTCTATACTTCTCGACGCCTTGTTGCGTGTGCGTGACCGTGGCACACATTTTGAAAGTTTTGTGTTTAGTAAACTACAGTCCCGTTTCCTATTCGAAAGTAATTCTTGATGCGAAAGTGTGTAACAGTTCTGTGTGCTGATGTGGTTGATAGGTGCACACGTTGGGCAGTGATAGTTACACCCGGTGGCTTCTTGTTTTTAGGGTTCTCTCAAACCGAAACAGGAACTGGTTGGTAATGAGGGGCCCGTAATTACTTATCTGTCATGTGCTGCAGCAAATGATGCGTCGTGCTACGACTAATAGGCCTGCAGAAACACATTGTAACAGAATAAGGCGAAGCCAAAGTTTTTGTTTCAGTACCCGTTTAATACCCCTGTCACACTGCAAATACCCTGACTGTCATTCGTATGTAATGTCATCTGTTTGCTGTCAAACGGGAAAATTAATGCCATGTGACGAAAATGACATTTTTTGTTGAATGAGTTCCCGAAACACATCCGCATTCGATTTCGCACCGAATGAGTAGTCTCAACGCCAGGGACTTCTAGAGAGATGACTGTTAAATTATGTGTACACAACTTTTATCATTTGTAAATATTTTGTTTTACTAGATAACCTTATTATCTGTTTGGTGACATAATAGCATGCGCAAAAAAAGCTACTCTCAACTACAGCGGCTGGGCGCCGGCCATGTCTCACTTTTCAGTTGTCATAGTTGCCTGTATTACGGATGTTGTGGTGGCTAAGGTTGTGACTATGCCCCGCCACGGTGATCTAGTGGCTGAGGTACTCGGCTGCTGACCCGCAGGTCGCGGGATCGAATCCCGGCTGCTGCGGCTGCATTTGCGATGAAGCTGAAAATGCCGTAGGCCTGTGTGTTCAGATATGAGTGCACGTCAAAGAATCTCAGGTGGTCGAAATTTTCGAACCCCTCCACTACAGCGTCTCTCAGAATGATATGGTGGTTTTGAGTTGTTATACCCCACATATCAATCAATCAAGGTAGTTACTAAACGAAATCGATGCTGCTGTCTCATTTCTGCAGCCTGGAAGTCAGTCATGCGTCCCGCTTCAGTTCACTTTGCAACTTTACTCACGCCCAGTCATATCGTTGGCCATGTTGGTTTTCGAGTGCGTCGTGCAGCTGTGGAAAGTTCTGTAAAATGGCCACATTTATATTCTAGGAGCACATTTTTATGCATAAAAATTAATTTTCTGGATACACGCATGTTACATGCAAGCTTTAGTACCTTTTTATTTTTCCCGAAATTTTAGGCTCAGGAGGGCTAAAGGTCATGATCATTTCAAACTGACAATTGTTATCGTCATGTGACAGCACGCAGGTAAAAGCACTTAGGTCTGCTTGATGTCATTCCTAGTAAATGACATTAGATTTGTCATGTGACGAGGGAATAAAAAAACACTGAGGAAATTTTTAAGTGACTGCTGTCAGAGAAGCTTTCACTGTCATGTGGCAATGTTTAAAGGGAAATATTGCTGAAGCAATGACCATCCCGTCTGTGCACTAACTGACTGGAAAACAGTGTTGATAGGTCGTCCATGTCTTGTCACATTTGATTGAAGGTTAAACGAAGATACTACCCTCACATCAATTTTTCCTTCTTAAATTTAAAAGCTTGTTATGCCAGCTTAAATTCAAGTATAGTAAATTTTGAAATCTAACGTACTTTACAAGTTATCGCATGCGTTCTACGAAAAGTTGTTTCAAAAGTTGTATCAAAGTTGCTTCCAAGGTCCTTTGAACCAAAAAGATTGACATGTACATGGTTTGTTTTAGTTGAAAAAAAAAAAAATATTGTGCAGGTTAATGGGGTCATGACAAATGGGCTGTTTATTATTATTATTATTATTATTATTATTATTATTATTATTATTATTATTATTATTATTATTATTATTATTATCTGTGATGCATTCTATTCACTTCGAATTCATTTGAAACCTACAATTGACTATTCACATGAAATATAAGTAATGTAAATGCCAATCTGTCGTCGCGTCTGGAAAAGGTTCCAGGGCCAGCAGAGGTTGAGCCGTGGAACACCTGCGAAAATGGGTCGAGGTATTGTTGTCAGTAAAGAACAGTGTTAACCTTTGAGGCTTGTGGTTAAAGAAGCACCAAGTTTTCAGAGAGTTTGTGTGAAGCTCTCTGCCACAGCATTTTTCGTCAACTTGTGCACATTTTTCTTATGTGAAGTCTCCATGTACGAAATTTGTTCATTCGCAGTTGCAGGGAGGTTTCAGCAGAGTTGAGGACTTGCTGGCTGTGCCTGGAGTGGACGTGTCTTTGCTGCAGGAGCTACAGCTCAGCCTAACATGCAGTCAGAGGGAGAATCTGCCCAAGGACACTCAGGGAACCAGGTTGGGTGGCAAGATTCTCTTGCGTGTTGTGACTCAGCGTTTTTGTGTGCTTGGGTTTAGAATGTCATGGTCACTTTGACTTTTGAATCTGACATTGTTTCAATTAAAGAAAGGCTATCTAAACTGTAGGATGCACTTACAGAGCCACTGAGTTGCGTCTGTCGTCGCCTCGCGTGAGCTAGCGTGCTGCCGCTGCACACATGCTGCAAGGGCAGGGTACTGCTCTCAGAAACTTACAACACTTCATTGCCTGCGGCAACACCATGCCTGCTCCCATAGGTCACGTGTAAAGCAAAGAGTCCAACCACACCACTAGTAAAAAGACACAACAAAGGGTGCGGCTAGCACATCCTTGCGTGCAGTCTCTCACGGCGACACGCTGCTAAGAGAAGAGGTCGCTTGCAACCATGCTGCGCACTTGTAACGAACAGCGACGACCACTGGGCCTGATTGTTCCAGGGAGGGCAACCTTCATTTTTGTCGGCTTTCAGTAAGTGTGGCTTTGTGTAGTATGACAACGCTCATACACAACACTCTTCGACCAAGTGTTCGGAAGGAGAAACGTGAGCTATACCTTGCTGCTGGAACGAGGCACCATAACTCTGTCCAAGCGAACCCCAAAACAAAGGAGACGACAGACGAGGAAAGGAAACCTGCTTACCCAATGCTATCCGGAAAAAGCCTCTTCCCGCAGTGCATTAAGCCTCGCAAAATTTGCATGCAGCCCCATTGTTGAAATCTGGCCTCGAGTGAGGAAACGTTGAGTCACTCCCGCTCTTCCAGCAACGTAGGACCGCACGGAGGGGAGAGTCATGATTGGACGTGTATGTGGATGGCAAAATGAAGCGAAAACCCGCACAATGGCGTCGGGCAAACCGCGGTCCCCACAAAACATACGGGAAAAAAAAACAACTTATGAACCCACAAATTTATACAGGAACTGCATGAACTTGGTAGTGATATAACTTTACTGATTGCGGTCTTTGGAAAAAAGAGCTCTGACAAAACCTTAAGTCTCTGAACACACAGGCAACATGGGTTGACTGCTGGAAAGGCTAATAATTTGACATGTTCATGATTTCAGACAACAATCTAGCCGAATCCTCTTCGCTTTGTCATCTGTGGTTGCATTAGTTTCTTTTCAATCTTCCAAAAATGTATCACTTTTTAATGAGTGCTTGCGCTGTGCCCTGTCTTGTCTCTGTTTTCTTTTCAATTTTGTTTCCATAAGTGCGGCATGCGACTAAGCTTGACCTCATGTTCAGGTGGGGCAGTGGGAGCAGCAGCAGCTGTGGCAGCAGAGACGAGCTTGCCACTCCTTCGAAGATCGAGGCGACGTCACTGGCAACTTCGGTGAACAGACTGCTCCATTCAGAGGGGCTGCCCGCGAGCGATGACGACGAAGGTAGCTGCTCCTCCATGGACGACATGGCCGAAGGCAATGATGAGCAGGCGGCACTTGCTACACCAGGCGTGAGCAGCATCTCTTTTTCTCACAAAACATGGTTTTGCTTCATAACACTGGTCGTGGGTGCCAACAACTTCGGTATTACAGATTCTTGGGCGAGTTGGTCCTGCATTTTTGACAAAGTGAAATTAGCTCAATTGAAGAGGTACAGAAAGACGAGGCAGACAAAGGCAGGTGCAGTCCATGTGCGCCTATCGTCTATCTGTTCATCTTTATGTGCGTGAATTCTACTTTGTTAAAAAGATTGTGTACAAAATGAAGGCTCATTCACCCCGAAGGCAGCCGACAAAAAGTTCAAGCGGGCTATTTGAAGCGCAGACTGCATGCACCTGTCCAGACCGCACGTCGGCTTTTGTCTGGCTGCGCGGCAGAGGCAGGCATCTCGCGCTTTTGTGCACGTGTTGCCATCACGTGGCAATGCTTTTGCCAAAGGTATACCGGCGCCACCAACGTGCCTCCGCACATGGCGTTCTGATCATCTGCGACAAAATGAGGCTCGGCGGGTGGCAGGAAATTGCTCTGGGTGAGGTCGCACTTGGCACCTCGTTTTCTGCGCGCTTTGGCCGCCTGGAGAGGAGGTTCTTCCCACTTTTCACTTCGCCACCTTGTCGCATTGGCTGGCCCGCCTTCGGTGTGTACGTGTTTTTAACGTTTGAAAACATCAGTGCCAACTGCATAACTCATAGTGGCGCTCGCCAGAACTACTGCGAGTGGAAATGACGCAGGAAGGTTGCCGCCATAGATTGGATATATGTAACGTTAAATGTGATCGCGGCATAGCATCAAAATAGGGATTACTATTGGATTTATTTTTTTTCACTAGCATGATTTTTCGCTCAAAGCAACAGAGAATAAAGCTTTCCCACTTTTCCAGCTTGAAAACTACAAAGCTGGTCAAAGAATGCGCTCAACGTCATGTGCTTGAGTAAATGTGCCGGCGACGCTCTGGGCGCTGTTATTTGAAGAAACTAGAAGGAAAAAAAAAAAAAATGAAAGAGCATTGATATATATATATATATACGTCATTGCAAAAAAAAAAAACAGTAAAGCTACAAAACATTATAGAAGTGTTCGCAAGCTGACTCGTTTTGCACGTGTCGTTCCCTCTTCAAGTACCACATTGTTTGTTACCATCGCAACAGCATCCTTCATACGCTGGACGTAACAGGCATTATGTCATGCGAGCTTCTTGTACGGTAGGGCTTTTAGTTCATTTCATTGGGCAGTCTTCCGACGTCAGATGGTGAGGGAAACACGATAAGGTGAGCACGCGAAAATCGAGTTAAGGGTATGCATCCACTTCATTATATTTTTATATCCGTGCGCTGAATAACTTAGCACTGCGTGGCCCTATCACTGCCATTTTTGCGGCACTTATCTCTTAAGCCATCAGTGTACGCAGCCGGCTAGAAAAACATGTAAAAACTATGAAGTCGTGAAAAGAGGGCCCCTTTAACTGACTCGTGGCAAGATAAATGGGGTTCATAATATCTGAGGATAGGGCTCAGTTGACCCTGCAGCAAGTTCATTGTTTCGTCTATACTGCTACTGGTTGGAATTGTAGAAAAAAGAAAAGCATGTTCTTACACTGATGTGGGCACCAAAAAAAGATGCATCAAAAATCGTACCCCCCCCTTACCCTCTTTTTTTCTAAACATTAGACGTTCGATAGGCTATGAGCAGATTTACGTATTTTAGAAGGCTCAATTTTACTGGTGCACTTTATTCACTTCAAAATAGTTGTGGCTAAGATGACCTCTCCTACCAAATAATTTCACATGTTGCTTCGGACAGTAGTACACTATTGATCTTTTCCTGCTGAGCAAGAAGCAGCTGTATATTATCTCTATTTATGGCACATCCGGTACCCGGTACACTGATAATAAAATTTCAAGAAAGGGGAAGTGAATACTTGAAGCAGCACCTTTTCAACTCTGGATTCACACTGACACTTCCATTTCTTTTCTTAGTCAGGGGTGCTGCGCTTCTGATAGGAATTGTTCGAAGCTGCATTTACCTGTCATTCTTGCCATGCACGACTTCAGAGAAATATGCATCCTTTCTTCCATAAAGATACAAAAGGAGATATATAAAACACTTCCTATGCTGAGGCATCCCGAAATGTGTGAGTAGACTGATGTTGCCATCATAAGCTGCCTATCGTGTGCCAATTTTTTTTTTGCCTGTCTGCATTACAAAAGGCAAGGCCTAAGGTATGTGTTGAGGCTATGGTAACCTGTCAATTATTTTTGTTTCAAGATGTCTTTTTTTCATAATCTTTGGTGTAAATTGAAGGCAGTGTTGTGCTCTGCACGCAGTGTTGAAAGCAGTCAAAGGTGAAGGGTCGTAAAGTTGCATTTCCGTTATGCCACAAACATATTGCAAATGTATCATGCAGAGTCAGCTGAAGCGCAAGAGGGAAGAACTTAAACGTCCGGGAAGCAAGAAGCCATGTGACTGGGAGGCAAGTTACACGGCTGTGAGCGAGGATCCTGCCACTGCTGCCGGAACTGCTGCTGGAACTGCTGCTGTCACACCTGCACAAAGTCGAGAAGTTGCACCGCCTACCCCTACTCGGCGCACGCGGCACCCATCTACACTAGTTCAACCACCAAAGCTTGATGCTTGGCTCAGCACCTTCCAGGTGAGGAGTTTAATTTTGCTGAAAGCTTGTGGCAACTACACTCAAACCTCAATACAATCGAGCGCACATATAACGGCCCCACTTAAAACAACTTTCGCTGAAAACAAACAATATCCGCGTGACCGTGAAAATATACATTGTTTCAATGACACAAAATCGCACTTACAATGAACAACTCCGAGCACTGCCGATCGGTTACAGCGAACAGAGTCGGTGCTCTGCCGACTTTATTGGAAACCACTTCTGACCACGGATGAGGCATCGGCAAGGTGCCCATAGATTATTATTGTTGAACGCGGACCCTGCCTCCGCGCCCCTCTAGTTGCCGCTCTCCCCGACCGCTTTTTGTTACGCATCCTTCCGTCCTTTGTCCCCTTGCTACTTAGAGCACCCCGCATTGCCAGACGCGGCCCGTGTTTTCACACAGCCACCCATTTTTGGAGGATCAGTCGGCCATCTCCCCAGTTTTCGATCACTGGTACTGTCGTTGACGTCGCCGGCCTGGACCGGAGTGACCAGACCATTTGCCAACATCGTTTGTATTCGATAGTCTGCGTTTTATCGTATCGTTCTAGTGCACGTGCGACGTACGCTACTCCACCCACTCTGATAATTCACAATTATTTTCGTGTTTAGGACCTGTTCTCGCTCACTTTGCACTCGGCTCAGCATGCCCTCCGCACGCGTGCGGAAGTGTAAGAATGGCTGTTGATTTGCGCTGAACAAATCGCGAAATATCGAAGTCAGTGAGGCCACGAAAACCCACCAGCGCAACAAAACGATTCTTTGACCACGGCTGCCGATTCTTTGAACACCGGCTCACGTGCCGATCCAGGCGGCCATGCTTAGACCTCTGCGCACGCAAGCACTCTTTCAATTTTTTCGACGCGCGAGTTGTGCATTTCGCGGACCTTTCAAGCAAGCTGCCTGACCTGCCTCCTTCCCACGTGTTTTGGTTTTCAAGGTCACCTTCCCACCCTATTCTCCCCTCTCTTCACTCTATCGCAACTCCTTGCCCTTCTCTCGCAAATCGACTCCTCTCTTGACACAACTCCTTCGCCCATCTCCACCGCTCCTTGACGCCAGCCACCCTGACTCAAATTCAGAACTTTTGTGGTTTTGTTTTCTGACTAGAAACGGGCCCAGAGCTGTACCACGTGTTCTGGCATGTGTGTTGCGTTTGCGCGTCTTGCTCGCTCTTGGTGTGCGTGTGTGGTCAGGATGGGGGATGGGAGGCCTTGCATGCTTTTTTCTGCCGATCAACGAAACGTTGAAACTGTGACCTAGGTCACACTGTGGCTTAGGTGTCATCCGCGCGTTAGGTGCCGCGTTGTGGAGCGCTTGCTGATAGCTGTTGTTCACCTGGCAGCCAACTTGCCGCTTCGGGCGTTTGGTATTCAGCTGTGGAGATAGTGAATATTTCGTGGACGGCGGTGACGGCTACATGCGCGCAAAACTGATTTCGCGAGGCCGACTTCGTCGACGTCGGGCCCGACGCCGGGCCCGAAGCTTCCGAACAGGACCACTGCGGCGGCGATTTTCGGCAGGGCGTCGTCGACTCCGACCTGGGAGAGCGGGTGGGACATCTGTTGCGATGGTTTAATTACGGCCGATGATAATGCCAACACCGCAGAACCGTGCACATATTAGGGCATTGTAAATTAGGTACACGGCAAGAGCAATATGGAGGAATCGGATTGCGAGAACGGTGAAACTTTGGAGCCAGTGCCTCATGCAGCTTAAGCCACAGGTCTCGGCGAAGAGCATGCTGCCGTTTGAGCTCGAGACCGCCCTTATCGCTTCTGCTCTTCGAAACACGTGCATCATGGACTTTTTTGCGCAAAAAAATTTGTGTTTTCACTCGCAACTTTTTTAAAAGCTGTGTTTCACTTACTACGAACTTCGGGATACAGCGAACGGATGCTGCGTCAGGCACCGGTTCATTATAAGCGGGCTCAACTGCATAACAAACACTCTTATAACAAAATATTGGCTATGATAATGTAAATGAAACAGAAAAAAGTCTTGCAGCAGATACAGTGCCAGGAATAACCTTTATAATGAATTTTTAAATATAACAAACTTACTCTCTTGTAAGACGCAACTTTGTTGTAACGAGGTTTGAGTGTACATAGATACCATTCGGCTTCTGCATTATTTTTGATGAGACAACTATGAAACACAACCCACCAGTGCTTTATCAACCTAGCGAAAAAAAGCACTTTCATGCTGCTATCCATACTTGTCAAGTCTCCCGGATTGGCTGGGAGACTCCCGGATTTTGACCGTTATTTCTGGTTGTACGGTTGTCATGAAAATCTCCTGGAAATCAATTTCTGTGCGTGATCTGGCCGCATTGACAAAAAAGCAGCTCAATCCGCTCCAGGCTTTTCGAACCTATATACCCCATTTTAATATACATGAGTTTAAGAGGCATTCATGTAAACATACAGTATAATCAGTGATGCGAAACCGCGGCAGATATGTATTCTTGAAATTCCCCAGCCAAATTTTACTATGTACATTAGGCCTCAATTCGAATGTTCCGAACACATTTCCTAATCGCGGCGGGTGATACGAACTATAGTACGGAAACTGTCAAACGAAGGCCGAGAGCAGCGTACTCGAAGTTTCGGAAGTGCGCGTGCGAGCGGCGGACGCACTGTCTTCCACAGTGCGTGTGATTGTCGTTGCCACAACTGTTGTGGACGAAATCGCGGTCGCTCTTGACACGAAAATGTATGGCGACGACGTAACTGACAGAACCCCGAAAGTGTGCGCTCAACCAGTCAAAGCAACGCTGCTTTCCGCAAACTCTGCGTACAAAACTGCAGCAGATGCTATCGTAGATGGCATAAAATGACTTAATGACTTAGTTTTGAAGATGCTTGTGCAGCTAAACGCATGGGGATTCTAAAATGAACGCAACCGCTGTGCACAAAACCGTGGTCGTGGCGACGTGATAGTGATCTACGAGCCCCGAGGGCATGCAGCAGTAGGTTAAAGGCAGTAAATACATTAAAAAACAAAAAAGTTACAGTTTCGCCGCAAGGGCGAAGCAATAAATGCGACAGCAACAACTTGGAATGTAACGCTGAGAACGGCAAGCAGATCGAAACGTGCAGCGCGCTGCTCACACACAAATGACGCCCGAAAATGATACTCGCAGGAGGAGAGCGAACTAACAGCGTTTACCACTTGACACGTAACGCGCTCTTTAAACCAAAACGATGCACGATACGTAATCACAGGTACAGATGAGTACAAACTAACAAGTGCCCCAGTTGTTATACATCGCTGTGTATGAAAAGCACGCTATTTTCTCAAAGGGGGCTTGTGCAGAGACCAAAGTGACCTTTGTGGGCCCGGCAACTAAAGCTTTCGTTTCAGTGAAAGCCGAAGGCACACGATTCTTCCACCACAGGATAAGCGCTCGCGCACAGGCATTCACCCCCCCCTCCCCCTCCATGGGGCGCGGGTGGCTTATTTTTTTTTTTTTTGAGTGTTTATACATATAGATACGTATACATATACGGTGAAAGACGGGGGTGATGGGGATGTCAAAAAAAAAACAGCCTGGACTGTCCATATGAAATAAAAAGGGACCAGACGCATTTTGGCGTTCCTGTCAAAAGAGTCTAGTAGTGAGAAAAGCTTTGACCCGCGCTTTTGCGGCAGCCAGCTGCGCCATCCGGTCCGTTCACGTGTGTCCCAGGAATACACACGTGAGTTGCTTTGACTGAAATAGATTTTGCTAGTTTGTGGATCCTTTGAGACTCTTACCTTAGGGAAAAACTTTACCCTCGTGTGTTCGGCCACTCTTAGCCACTTATAAGACCGCAACGCTGATGCTGGCACTTGAGATTGAGATCTCCTTCCCACCCCTTTTTGTTTTTCCCCATGTTTGTTTGTCTGTTTTTTTGTGCCCCCCCCCCCCTCCCCTCGTTGCGGAAATCTCTGGGATTCAGAATCCTTGAAGTTGGCAGGTATGCGCTATCTAAAAAGAGTATGCCTAGAAATCTTCTCCACTTTTTTTTTGCAATTTTGCTTTGATGTATTGCAGCAATATTCGGTTCAATTCGCACTCTAAATTTTACTATTCGCACAGCTATACTTATTTTTCCTGCTACTTCTGGCCACATAGTAGATATCCAGAGACGTTCACACTGAAACATGACCTTTTTCTGTTTGCAGTCATGGAGCCATTCGGAGCGACTTGTGGCACTCGACCAGCTGATCGAAGGCTGTGAACCAGGCCAGGTGCGTCACATGATGAATGTCATCGAGCCACAATTCCAAAGGGATTTCATCTCCCTTCTGCCGAAAGAGGTACGTAAAGCTTGTTTACGTAAGCTCTGGATCCTCACAAACTATGTGGGAGCAATGTGCACTCATATGAGATAGCCTTGCTAAATATCGTTTCTGCATAACTCACATGGTCGTGAGTTACGCGGAACACAACTCTTAATTGGGCTAATGTGAACCCGTTAAATGAAAAGTCGAGGTACAAGCGATTTGTGCTGTACACTGATAGCAGCGACCATAGTCGCCCACCAGTAATCTCATAGGCAAAACGCATCGTCTTTTATATATTAAAAATAGAAAATATCATCTGATTGTAGAGTATCATCCCCAGTCTGTGATTCATTTCATCAACATTCCAAGCATGTCAGTGGCCTAGTGCTCTGTGCAGAGTGTTTTCTGGTTTTCTGTAATGTGTACGTGCAGAACTTCTATTTTATGTATAATTAAATATGACTTCTTTGTTTTATACTGATTTGTATTTCTTTGTGGTTATCATATGTACAGTACTCACGGATTGAAACAGGACACTCGGAGCGTGTGGCCGACGGTACATGGGCCGCCGCTCGTGAGTGCGTGTGGAACCAATGTGTTGCATTGTGGTATGGGAGCGAGGGAGAGAACATTTACGGAGCAGGATTACTCCTTCCATTCGCCAAATTGTCGGCCTGTAGTTCACTATGTACACTGTCAGCGTGGCGCTGCAAGGCTCACGCGCATTTGCATGTCGACCGCACTAGGTCGCAGCTGCGCACCACTTTTATTGCCACGCCAGAAGACGACCCTCTCGTTCTGCGTGCTTAGGCGAAGTAGTAGGCATGCTGTGCAAGTAAAACACAGAATTCAGTTAGAGGTTGCGCCTCGCATCCGTTCGTAGACATGATGAACATGTGCACAAGATCACGGAAAGTTTACTTCTGGTTTCTGCCTCGACAAGAAAGAAAATGAGTGCCAGGCTTGCCTTCATGCAATGGAAATAATGTCATGTATTAGCGTCGTGATTGCAAACTGTAGCCTATTGTTGAATAAAAAACCAAAAGCTTGCTTGTTCTTCCGTGGTCGACAGCTCTACAAATGCTTGCCATGCAGAATAGCCACACGCATTATTGGCTGCTTGGGGCAAAACAACAAAATACTAAGTCATTGTTCTGATGCTGCACGGTAACAGGCCAGCGGCAGCTGCTTTTCTTTTTTTTGTCGTGACCACAAGCTTGAAAAACTTTATATGCTTTTGTGCAGCCATTTATGCCTGCGAGCGCATTTCAGATGCGACATCTTAGCGGTATCTAATTTCTTACTTGCGCAGCCTACATGCCCCATCGTCGAAGGGTGCCAATCGAGAGCGTCGTGCGCTTGCGCCACAATATGAATGGTTCGCACCGTCCACTGAGTTCAGTCTGCACGCATGCAAAAGCGCGCCAGCCTTGCAGCGCCACACTGGCAGTGTGCACATGGTGAACTACTGGCCGATTATTTAGCGACCGGATGGAGTAAGCCTGCTCCATAGCTGTTCTCGCCCTCACTCTACACCATAATGCAACACCTTGGTTCTGCGAGCACCCACGTGCGGCGGCACATGCACCAGCGGCCACATGCTACGAGTGTCCTGTTTCAATTCGTAAGTGCTGCACAATTGAATACAGTGAAAGCTCGTTAACTCGAACTTCAATAATTCGAATTTATGGATAATTCGAACTGTAAGTTATGGTACAGCCAAGCGCCATACAAGCCTGTAAATAAAAAAGCCCAATAATTCGAACGCGAGTAGGTTCCGCCGCGGATAGTTGGAACTATGCACCACCGTGCCGGCGGCTTGGCTAGTCACTTGATAGGGCGGCTGCTGAGTTACGAGGCGGCGTTGACAGGAAGCGGAGAGAAAAACGGAAAAACTGGCACGGAGGCTAGAGTGCAGAAAATAGCGCCACTTACTCTTCACCCCCTCCCCCTACAATCTCTCTCTCCTGGCGGCTGCCTGCTCTCCGTCCTACATAACCTCCAAGATTTCTTTTTTTTTAAGCGCCAATCTCGGAGCCTTTAAAAATCCTGCATAGTTGTCTCTGTTAGACGACAGATGGCATGACCAGCACACAGCAAATCGGGTGCGTCGTACACCTCTGTTGTTGGTGCTGGGAGTAGCTTCCGATAGTCGCGATTCTTTGTGTTGGTGTTAGGCTTCGGCCAATGTTTGTTGCGGTAGCACTGGTAGTAGCTTCCCGTCTGTCGCGACTCTGCTGCTCCGACTTGATGGCGTGTGCCCGCGGCAAATACTGTGCCAAAACACTTCAGGAGAAAGCTGATACCCTGCGGGAAGTGGACGCCGGACTCTTGCCTAAGCAAGATATCGCGAAAAAGCACGGAATACCGAAAACGACGCTATCTACTTATATAAAAAATAGGAGGACTATTAAAGATGCCTTGGAGGCAGAAGTTGCGAGCAAAAGGAGGAGGTTGCGGCCCGCAAAGTATCCTGACCTCGAGAAAGCGCTTCTCATTTGGATAAAGGAATTGCGTTCGCAGGACATACCACTGAGTGGCCCAGTGATACTGGCAAAGGCAGCGGACTTCGCCCTGCAGCTAGACTACGACGACTACGCTGCTTCAGATGGGTGGTTGCACCGTTTTCCCGAGCGCTGTCGACCTCGTTTTCCGTGCTGTGTCGGGTGAAATGAACGTCGTCAACATGGAAACGTGTGAAGGTTGGCGCTCCGAAGTGCTTCAAGGCTACATGGAGAAGTATTCTCCGCAGGACATATTTAATGCGGATGAAACTGCCTTATTTTTCAAATTACTGCCCGCCAAGACTATCACGCATAAAGGCGACAAGTGCACGGGAGGGAAGAAAAGCAAAGAACGGATAACTGTGATGGTTGCTGCAAACATGATCGGGACCGAGAGGTTGCCTCTGTTTGTGCTAGGTAAATTGAGAAGTCCTCGTTGCTTCAAGAACATCCCGTCCCTACCATCAGACTACGCGGCCAACAAAAAGGCCTGGATGACGGGGGAATTGTTCGCGCAGTGGCTGGGGAAACTTGACAAGTTCGAACGCTGTGGCCGCAAAGTCCTGCTTCTTGTGGACAACTGTTCAGCTCATAAAGTCAACGTTGAGACGAAGGACATTGAGGTGGCCTTCCTTCCAGCAAACACGACAGTGGTACTGCAGCCCATGAACCAGGGTATAATTAAAAATTTAAAATCACTTTATCGGCGTCTTATCTTGGAACGAATTATTTTGTGCACTAACTACCAAGTGACGCTCCTAAGTGCACTACACATGCTTGTGCGTGCTTGAAAGCAAGTGACAGCGCTTACGATAGGAAATTGCTTTCGCCACTGTGGCTTCAGCACTGAAGCTCTGCAAGCTTACGAGCCATGAGTGCTAGAACGCGGCTTCACCGCCCCCATGGAAGACATCTGCTTTGCGGACTATGTCGATGTGGACTCAAGTGCAGTGGTGTGTGGTGCACTCACTGATGACGACATAATATGTCAGACGAGAAGTGCAGAACCTGTCGCTGCCAGTAATGATGATGAGGAGGAGGACGAAGCACCAGTGCAGCCCTCTGCTGCGGAAGTCATGGCCGGATTGAATGCCGCCCGTCTTTTCTTAAGTTTTGAAGAAGGCGAAGAAGAGGCCTTCCGCCAAATTCGCTCGTTTTTAGAGCAAAAAGTGCTGGCTGTCGCCTTCAAGGAAAGAAGGCAGATTGCGATCACAGATTTTTTCAAAAAATAAATTATGCCCTACTCGCAGTGTACTATTGTTGTTCTTCACTTTCCTTTGTTCGAAGTTTTGTTAATTCAAACTGAGGCAGCTTCCCCTTGCGGTTCGAATTAACAAGCTTTTACTGTATTCCTCGACAGTTATTGTTGACAACTTACATTGTATACCTTTGTCATCATAGCACTGCATTCCTGCCAGTTTTTTTTTTTTTGTATGTTTTTTTACCTGCTTGTCCAATTCGTATGCCCACCTGCTATGATCTCGGAAAAAGGCTGGTAGTACAGTAAAAGCTCGTTAATTCGGTTTTCACGGGACCGAAAAACTGTCCGAATTAACCGAATGCCAAATTAACGAATGAACAGGGAAAACAACATTTAAAATCAAGCTGCAGAGGCATACCTTTATTTGTTGAAGTATCTTCTAATTGTCGTCTGCGTTTTCACGCAGATTCCGACTGACATCACAATTTTTCTTAACTGTTCCAAATGGCCAGCAGCACGCAAGCTGTCGGGAGTGTTCACGCAAGCGTCCTCTAATATTAACAGCGCCTCCGAGACTTTCCGTGAGGTGCGATGAGGTCGCGGCTGTATCTCCTCGCATGATTCTTCGTCGGAATCGTGGTCTTCATGGGCACCCGTGACATCATTAATAATCTCTTGATCGGTCAGGAGACCACTCGTGGCGACACCATGATCAGTCGCGATGTAGTCCTGAAAGGTCACATCTGTGGAAAGGACAGCATCGAAAGTCGGACAGTCGTCGTCGGTGGAATCGGCTGACACCTCCTCGATGCCATCGTCAGCTACTGCTGCATGCTCGGGCCTCACAAAACCGCTGTGCCGAAAATAGTTGGCGATGACTTGCGGCGGAGTGTTTTTCCACACGTGGGCGATGATGTGCACTGCACCGAGTAAGTCCACTTGATACAACTTTCCAGGTTCTAAGCATAGGATCATTCGCTCTAGCAGGTGCTTGCGGTACTTCGACTGCATGTAGTGAACGATACCCTGGTCCATCGGCTAAAGAGCAGACGTAGTGTTGGGCGGCAAAAAAACTACTTTGATGCTCTTCAGTTCGACTGTACAGTTATGGGCACTGCAGTTGTCAACAACCATAATTATCTTGCGGTCCTTCGACGTGAAGTGCCGGTCCAACTGCTGCAGCCAGCCGCGAAAAATGTCCGATGTCATCCATGCCTTCCTGTTCGCTGTGTACTCGACAGGAAGGCTTTTCACGTTAAAACAATGTGGCTTAAGCGCCTTCTCGACGACAAGTAGTGGCAAGCGCTCTGTTCCAGTCATATTGGCGGCAAGAAGCACAGTTATCCTTTGCTTGCACTTCTTGCCACCAATGCACACGTCCCCTTTGAAAGTCACCGTCTTCTCGGGCAGAGCTCTGAAAAATAGAGCAGTTTCATCTGCATTGAACACGTCACGTGGTTCATATGCGGCGATGTGCTCCAGCAGCTTCACATTTCTCCACTCGGTGGTCACGCTTTCGTCAACACTGGCCTTTTCGCCGCACACACTCCTGAAGACAAGTTCGTGTCTCTCTCGAAACCTCGCAAACCGCCCTTCTGACGCTTTGAACGATTCAATGTTCATCATTGCAGCCTACTTCTCACCTTGCGCCATGATGAGAGGTCCGCTCAAAGGCAGATGCGCGTTGCGACAGTTAGTAATCCACCGGAGCAAAGCTTCTTCGAGCTGAGGATGAGCTGCGGTTCGCAACCGCTTTCTAGAGGCATGAAACTTCTCGCTTTCGAAGGCTTGTCGAATCTGTTGTTCATTTTTCACGTACGTTTCCAACGTGCTCCGCTTCACGTTGTACTTGGTCATAACCTGCTGTCGCGATTTGCCGTTCTTCAGTGCTTCCGAAATTTCCACTTTGGTCGCCAAGTTCTTCGCGTCGTAGTTCTGCCGCTTTTTTGGCGTTGCCATCACTGTAGCGCACGATGGTGGTGGCATGCAAATACAGTTACAATGGAAGAAAAAGAGAACTCCGCAAGAAGAGATGGTTCCGACACGACAACACAAAGGGAAATGGCGTCAGAGGCGCTGAGTGGAGAAGAAAGAAGACGCCGACGTTCGGTGACGCTGCGATCGCCCCCACTAGTTGATGATGATGGCAATGCCACTCAGGTTTCGGCTTCAGTCCAGTGGTGCCAGCGCTGCTTTATCACACTTTTGTGTAGCAGCAGCCGTCAGCATTTGTCCGAATTAAGCGGTGCGGAGCCGAATTCCGACGAAATAACGAAGGTTTGGTCCCATAGATTAACATGCACTTTGGCCGGGACCAATAGAGCCGTCCGAATTATCCGAATTTCCGAATTAACAGGTGTCGAATTAATGAGCTTTTACTGTATTCTAAATAAATAAATAAATATATCAGTGCTCAAGCTTTCCAGCAAAAACTGGTGTTTGCGTAGGCTCTCAAATAAACTTGTCTATTGACATGTTGCGTATGATCTGAACATAGCAACCTCAAACATTCGGGAACTTTCCTAAAGTTACAGTGCAATGGGCACCAACTGCTGTTACCGGTCGATTTGAGTGTGAGGCCCAGATACATCAAATTACAGAAAGTGGCACACTTGGCAGTATTTCAGGGATGTGCCTGTGCAGCTCGCACATTGAGTTTTCCTTTCTCTTGGTTTGCAGCTGGCACTGTATGTGCTGTCGTTCCTGGAGCCTCGAGATCTGCTGCGTGCGGCGCAGACATGCCACTATTGGCGCATCCTGGCAGAGGACAATCTCCTGTGGCGCGAGAAGTGCCGCGAGGCTGGCCTGGACGATGTGCAGGAGGTGCTTGGCCGACGGCTATCATCCTGCTCCGCATCTCCGCCCTCTCCGAGCTCCGTAGGTCCTATACCCTGGAAGCTGGCATTCATGCGGCACCACTACGTTGAAATGAACTGGCGCTGCAAGCCGATACGGGAGCCCAAGGTAGGTCAGATACTCTGAAGCAAAGGTTGTTTTCAACAGGCTTGCTGTTTGCCTGAGCAGTTTTTTTTTTTTTTTTTTTGAGGGGGGTTGTGGCTTTTTAATCGCAAAAAATAGCAAAAAAAATTCATTTCCCGAAAATAAATATTTAGTTTCTGGAACCATTTCTCTATTTGAATTCAAAACATCTACCGTAATTACTCGAATCTAATGCGCACCTTTTTTCCTAAGAGAGTTCATAAATTGCATGCACGTTAGAATTGAGTACGAAAAAAAAAATGAATACGGTCATTCTATTGCCATCGGCATTTTCAAAATGGTCGCCTCCTACGCGCGTCAGCCATTTCTGCCTATGTGTTTCCCATGTGCGGCACTTCGTACGTGTGCTGAGGAGGTCGTCATGTTGTAGTGCATTAACATCGACGGCATGGAAGGGCCGACTCCAAAGACTCGAGTGCATCACGATGCCGCTTTTAAAAGGGAAGTCATCGCGTGTGCAGAAACGGACGGGAATCGGGCCGCATCGCAGTCGTTCAGAGTTTTGAAACGTGCGTGCGGGAGTGGCGGAAACAAAAGCAGAAGATTGTCAACAGCAAAGCTTCACGCAAAGGCTTCAGTGGACCACAGCAGGGTCGGTTTCCGCAAATTAAAGAGCTGCTCGGCGAGTATGTGCTTGAGCAGCGAGCGGCACAGCGGCCCGTGACGACAGAACTGCTCCAAGTGCGGGCTATGCAGTTAGTCTTAGAAAAAGGTCTAATGCGGAGCCAGTTTAAAGCGAGCAGGTGCTGGCTAACTAACTTTATGAAGAGGAAAGGCTTTTCCCTCCGAAGGGGAACGGGCATATGCAAAAAGTTCTGCGTAGGAGTACGACGAAAAGCTTCACAGTTTTCAGAGGTTCGTCCTAAACTTGCGGCGCAACAACGGCTACCTGCTTGGGCAAATCGGGAATGCCGATCAGACGCCTCTTTACTTCGTCATGCCTGGCACCGCAACCGTCGAGAAGAAGGGGGCGAAGAAAGTTCGCGTGCTGACATCGGTCCACGGTAAAACTGCAGTGACGCCAATGCTCTGTTACACGTCAGATGGGCACAAGCTTCCCCCGTACCTCATATTTAAACGGAAGACGCTCCCGGAAGGAGTCGTTTTTACGAGTGGTGTGATCGTGCAGGCCGTCGAGAAAAATGGCTGCGCGTTGCAATCAATGTCTTAATTTTTTTTTCATCGTGGAAATCGTGTGCGCGTTACCATCGAGGGCGCGGTAGAATCGAGTAAATACAGTACTCTTCCATTCAGAAAGAAGCACACAAGAAGCAAATGCTTGATGGTCATTCTGAGGCCTCTGCATGGCCACGCCCACCATGGTGCTCCAGCTCACCTCGCCATTGGTACAATGCTCGCTCGGCGTTCATCTGCTGCTTGCATACTTCAAGGTCTAGGCTGTCCAAAATTCAGCTGCTTCGTGACGTGTTCACAGCACCACAGTCCCTCATAATATAATTACCGTATTTACTCGATTCTACCGCGCCCTCTATTGTAACACGCACCCGATTTCCACCGCGAAAAAAAAAAACGTAAGACATCGATTGCAACGCGCACTCATTTTTCTCGCTGGCCCGCACGATCACACCACTCGAAAAAACGACTCCTTTCGGGAGCGTCTTCCATTTAAATATGAGGTACGGGCGAAGCTTGTGCCCATTTGACGTGTAACAGAGCATTGCCGTCACTGTAGTTTTACCGTAGACCGATGTCAGCACGCGAACTTTCTTCGCCACCTTCTTCTCGACGGTTGTGGTGCCATGCATGACGAAGTAAAGAGGCGTCTGATCGGCATTCCCGATTTGCCCAAGCAGGTAGCCGTTGTTGCGCCGCAAGTTTAGGACGAACCTCTGAAAACTGTGAAGCTTTTCGTCGTACTCCTACGCAGAACTTTTTGCATATGCCCGTTCCCCTTCGGAGGGAAAAGCCTTTCCTCTTCATAAAGTTAGTTAGCCAGCACCTGCTCGCTTTAAACTGGCTTCGCATTAGACCTTTTTCTAAGACTAACTGCATAGCCCGCACTTGGAGCAGTTCTGTCGTCATGGGCCGCTGTGCCGCTCGCTGCTCAAGCACATACTCGCCGAGCAGCTCTTTAATTTGCGGAAACCGACCCTGCTATAGTCCACTGAAGCCTTTGCGTGAAGGTTTGCTGTCGACAATCTTCTGCTTTTGTTTCCGCCGATTTCGCACGCACGTTTCGGGTACTCCGAACGACCTCGTTGCGGTCCGATTTCCGTCCGTTTCTGCACAAGCGATGACTTTTCTTTTAAAAGCGGCATCGTGGTGCACTCGAGTTTTTGGAGTCGGCCCTTCCACGCCGTCGATGCTAATGCACTACTAGATGACGAACTCCTCAGCACACGTACGAGGTGCCGCACATGAGAAACACATAGGCAGAAATGGCCGACGCGCCATGCCGACACACGTAGGGGGCGGCCATTTTGGATTTGCCGATGGCAATAGATTCACCGTAATTTTTTCGTTCGCACTCAATTCTAACGCGCATGCGATTTATGAACTCGCTTAACCGGAAAAAAGGTGCGCGTTAGATTCGAGTAATTACGGTACACTTTAGTTTGGGGCTGTAAGCGGATACTCGATCAGATTGTGATGGTGCGCCGTGGTCGTAGACCACACATCTGATGCTTGGTTTTGTCACTAGGGCTAACTTCACTGACGACGAGATGAACTTTGAACTTTGCGAGCAAAAACAGCAGGATAGCGCACCCGGGATGTCTTTTTTCACAAGCAATGAAACACATCGCTCGCTGTCTCCTCAGAATTACGAATGGCCATTTTACGCATTGCCAGCGGACCCTACAGTCAAGCTCATCGGACCTCACAGCCACGGACTGCTCAGTGCAGCAGATAGCAAGTGGCGAGCTAACCACGTCCTGCCACCCCACGAAAAATAACTCCACCTTTAGCTTACACACATCTTGGTTTATACTAGCCTGGACTATAAGTTTTTATAACTTTTGGGATGTTGCTCGATTTTGGCAATGTTACTTATGGTTTTGCAGGTGCTGCGGGGTCATGAGGACCATGTCATCACATGCCTACAGTTCTCGGGCAACCGCATTGTGAGTGGCTCGGACGACAATACCCTCAAGGTGTGGTCGGCAACATCGGGGCGCTGCTTGCGCACTCTCATTGGTCACACGGGTGGTGTGTGGTCGTCCCAAATGGCTGGCTCCTTGGTAGTGAGCGGCTCCACTGACCGCACCCTCCGCGTCTGGAATGCTGACTCGGGCATGTGCCTGCACACTCTGTACGGGCACACGTCAACCGTGCGGTGCATGCACCTGTACGGAAATAAGTGAGTGTCTTCCATCTCTCAATTGCTGCGACAGAGATAAAGCAGGTCAAGGAACTGATTTACGGCTTACTAGTATAGAGCTACGCAAATTGTTTTGCATTGTTTTGTCCCTGACAGGTACTGTCACTACACTCAAATCTTGATGTAACGAATCTGGATATAAGGAAATATTGATCACAACGAAGTAAATTAAAAATAGTCTTGCAGCAGATTTAGTGTTAGAAATAAACCTTTATAACGAATTTTGGATATAACAAACTTATTTTCATGTGAGATGCAAGTTTTTATAATGAGGTTCAAGTGTATTGTGGAAACCTTTACTTTCTCACACTGTAAACTTCTAAACATTGTTAATGAAGGAGGTGTTTTTGGGAAGAAATTCATTTAAAAGTATGCAGGCAGCTTTGATTCATAAAATGTGTATGTGTGTGTGTGGAGAGGGGGAAGCCGGCACTGGGTGACCCTTTCATTAAGCATAATTTTTCAGTGAAGAACAAGAACAGTGTTCATCACTACGTTTGCAATTGGAGCTTGATGATGTTCCAGGTGAAAGAGACCTCAGTTACAGAAGCATTGGCCAGCCTTGATGTGTTGCTTGCATCAAGTGACCCTTCTGTAGGGGTTATGAATGCATCTTCGACTTCAAAGTTCAAAGCTCAAAATCTTCAAAGTTCAAAATCAAAGTTCAAAGCTACAAAGTCAGAAATCATCAGTTTATTTTAGTTGTTTGCTCATACTAATGTTGGCTGATCTACATCAGTGTTTTGCTCATTAGTTGCATCATTCAAGATTGCTTTCCTTTCATTCTTGCAGGGTGGTGAGCGGTTCTCGAGATGCAACGTTGAGAGTTTGGGACCTCGAAACCGGACAATGCTTGCACGTGCTCGTGGGCCATGTTGCAGCAGTGAGGTGTGTTCAGTACAATGGGCGCCTGGTGGTCAGTGGAGCGTACGACTACATGGTCAAAGTTTGGGACCCACGGAGAGAGGAATGCCTCCACACATTGCAGGTGGGCACACTTGCTTTCTGCATGTGCATCTTTTCATTTTCACAGCAACAGACTTCTCCTCTAGAGGCCAGCTGCAATGAATTTTCGCACCAAATGCAATGAAGCCTAGCTTCACATTGTGCAAATATACGGCAGTTTCGCTGCAAGCTTTTGTGTTTAAAACGAGAGTGGATGAGTAGAGATCAACTAACAAAAGTTGTTGATTGCTTATACAGGTACAGTTGACGTCCGATTTCTCGGACGTCCCAAAATTCCGGACATGCCCGATTTCCCGGACTCATCTGTAGCACCGTCAAGTTTCCCACAGTGTCAATGTATTAAAAAGTCTGAAATTCCCGACGCTTATAGCTTTCGGCATCCGATTTCCCGGACTTTTCACTGTTAACCGCCGACCCAAAGTCTCCTCCGCCTCCGCCATTTTGATTGTTTTCGATTTCTCGAACTCGTCATACTCACATCGCTGGTATGGTCAGCAGCACCGCCGCCAACCGCACACAGCGCCGCGGCTGCCGTAACCACGAAACCGCACATGTCAATCTGTTGCCAGCCATAGCTTATCGGCTTAGTCAAGCCGAACCTCACTGTGTTCATTCACGCGTTGTTTTGTCAGCTCTGCAGTCGTGTCTGCGGTTGATCATTTGCTGCTGTGCGTTATCTTCAGTGATCACGTTTTCCGACCTTCAGCATCCACCGAGTTCCTAGCTGCTTCGTGCTGCCCTTTTCGTCGGAAAATGCGGACTTGACTGATGACGATATCGTTGGTCAGGTTACGGAGGATTATGACGACTCCGAGAACGAAGAGCCATCTCCTACGCGGACAAAGAGCTCAGAGTTGACGCGAGAACTGATGACACTGTCATCGGTTTACAACGGCAACATGTTGTTGACTGAAATTGAGGCAGACATGATCGCGGGCAAGTGGAACGCCATGCGAAAGAAAATAGGCGACTTCTTTGTGCCCAAGTGCTGACCTATGTGGTAGCGCCGGCCAAGTCGGATTTTAATTTTTTTTGTAAACTGCTCTTTTTAGAGCCACCTAAACGATGCATTGACTGAATTGCAATGGGAATCTTGTACTCCGGCCGTTGGCCTCTCTTTCAGCCAAAAATACCTACAAAAAAAAAAAAAGGCGCGTTTTCACATGCATTCGTTTTTCCGACTGCCTGATTTTCCAGATGTTTTCGGGGTCCCTTTAGGGTCTGGGAAATTGGAAGTCGACTGTAAACATGCTTATAAAGCACCTCCATATAAAGAGTTTTTCAATATTACGAAATTTTTTATTCTCCACTGTTGCTCCATAGAAGTGCAGGTATTTGCGACCTCTATGTAACAAAGTAACAGAGGGGGACATCCTCGTCATAGCATAGTTTCGCCGCGGACGATCTACAAATTTCTATTCGAATTTTGTTACTTTGGTACTAGCCTGCATTTTACGCTGACAAAGCGTGAAGCGGTGGCACGCTCGTGCTCCCTGGCTACTCCCAGGCAAGAGCGAGCACTCATTATTGTGCGCGGGTGTGCGCAAGGTGGGCACATGGGCTTGCTCCACTCGAGCCGGCGTTGGCGCTGTTCTTGCCGTAACGAGCACATGTGCGGATGTACTCTCCCCTTCCCTCTAAACCAAAAACAAACAAAAAACAACTTTTGCTGTGGCAGTACCACTCTTCGATTGCTTCGACCCTTCCTCTGCCCCAGTGAGATGAAAGTGGGGGTGCAGATTATATGCTGGGGCGGGTTATATGGTAAATGCAAGGTGGAAATTCGGAGCGCTAGTATGAGGAAAACAACCATGTATTATATGCAGGTTTTTACGGTAGTCCTGAGGGCTTGCCGTGGGTTGATAATAGTTATGTGTGATGTATTGTTTTTTAGTGGTGCGTTATGGAGTGTTTTGAATTTCTTCCACAATTGCAGGGCCACACAAACCGGGTGTACTCACTGCAGTTTGACGGAGTACACGTGGTCAGTGGCTCCCTGGACACATCGATCCGAGTGTGGGATGTGGAAACAGGTGCCTGCCGGCACCAGCTCATGGGTCACCAGTCGCTTACATCTGGCATGGAGCTTCGAAACAACATTCTTGTCTCGGGAAATGCTGACTCAACGGTCAAAGTCTGGGACATCGTGACCGGCCAGTGCCTGCAAACTCTGGCTGGTGGGTAGACCGTCGTGGCACTTGAAAGCCTCGGGCGGAAATATTTTGCATGAGCTTTAAAAAAAAAAATAAAGAGAGACCATCAGATGTTCATAATAATTCACAATTGTATATGAAAACAAAAAATCAGTACTCTGGCTGTTTTATTGGCATTTGATGTTGAGCAAGCAAGGTGGACGTGGCTGCAAAACCCCAAAACCCCTTGATTACTTTGCAGCCGCATGTTTTAAGACCAAAATTGGGTCTTCAAAGATATCTGTAAATATTTACATGCGGAAGACTCTCCTTAGACAGTTATTGTTTACCATCAGCGTGATAGCGGGGGTTATGTGAATAGCGTTACCGTGCAGCAAACATACGTTGGAGACAGCGCCTTATAGTTTAAAGAGACAGCATTTGCGGGGTTAACGTGCCGCAGCAGGGATGGTGGCGCCACCTATTAGAGGTTTAATAAGTTAAATAGCATTGAAAAAGGAAAGAAAATGTTTGCCTGTGTCATCGTGTGAAGCAATGTTACAAGTTTATTTTAGTAATAACAAAACTAAATATGAACCTCGCATAAAACGCGAGAACATTTATGTTGCTGATTTGTTTACATCGATCTTCTAGTTAAGCCTAGAGATGTTGGAAATGGGAAGCTATCTCAAAATTTGCGCTAACCTATCTGTCATCGAAGCTAACTGAAGGCAAGCGAAGCTATTTTAAACAGTCGTTTGCTTTGAACGAAGTGAATCTTTCAACAACTACGCCAAAATTACTTCAGAGCGGGTGTCCGAAAACGCCGCTATGTTTACAGACACTACGTGCCCTGCGCTAACACGGTAACACTAAATTTGGAAAATGGCATGCGTACATACATTACTGCGCATGCACACTTCGATCCTGCTATCCCGGTTAACTATAACTGTCTATTAATTCAAACGCCAAGCATCCACATACATTTTAATGATCATCAGTCGAACATTCGACAGTCTATACAATACTGACAATCTACATTCGACAATCTAAACAATCCTTCAAGAAGGTTATGTCACGATTCGGAGTCCTGCAATTGTAGCCCAGAGATCCTGCTAACTGGGCGAGCTGAGCATTTTAATAGCATTACAGAGAGGGGCCTTCAAATGCTAAAAAAGAGCATTGATATAAATTTTATCTTGCTATAATTTTCGCACCACCTTAGTGCCATGAAACAGGTAAGCGTGGCATTTTACGATGAGTGTTCAAGGATACATAACCACATTTTTTCCAGCCAAACAAAGATAGTAGGTGCACCATGTACCACATTAAGGTGTATTGCAGAAAGCACACTGACTGCACAGTAGATGAATATTCTTTTTGAGAGGCACACACCGGAGAGCAGTTTTTGTTTCTAAATGTGTATTAGGTGTATCTTATAATGAGCAAGGTGCCATTTTCTCATTTTCTGACAAACACCTTTTTCAGTGTAGGCACACTGTTGGCTCTTGTACCCAGTTGGTCTGTTACATCAGTCCCTCTCATAAACTGGTTCAACTCTAAATACCTTTGCATTGATATTGTTACAAGGTAGTGGGCATGACCCCGCTGTACAAAAAAAAATTGACGCAAAAAAAGTGGACTCGCCGCGCGAGGTGCTGACCTCCTTTGGGTGGCACATCTACTTCTAAATAATTTAAATACCGCAATCACTGGCGTAATGAACCCACTCGCATAATCAACCCAACCTCCAACCTTGGTTCTTGAAGAAAAGAAAAAAGAACTTTATATTGTATCTGTTCATTTTATTTCAGTATGGTAACCAGTGCTATGGCAATTGAAACAACATTAAGTTAAGCCATTATATAACAAAATAACAATGCATGAAAAGTCAAAGCCTAGTTTCGCAACCATGGTAAACAGTTGCGAACATTGCGAGCGCGGGCATTGTCAATCAAAATTTGAAAGTCGTGTCTTTTGCGGCAAAGGGCTATCTGTCGAATGCAGGAGAAACCTCTTTGCTGATAGCGCCATGCAAGCACAGCGGCACAAAAACAAAGCAATAAAACAACGCGTGACCTCCTAACAGGCAGGTGTGCGGTGTTGAAACGATGCCGCGCACCCGCCATCTAGTAGTTTATGCAAAGCGCAACCGCGCCCACTGCGCCGGCGGCGCGTCGTGCACCCGCAACGTTTGTGCGCCTCCATCCGACACTGCGTTTTTCTTGTCGGGTTTGATCTTGTGAACTTAGTTGGGACACTTGCTGCGCAGAGCACATTCGGCCGATACGTTACTACACGGCTGGTTAGAAACAGCATGCGCAGGAGCATTGGAACCGAGCGGCTGGACGACACTTCGGCGTCGACCTGTGCGCTTTCGTTATAGAAGGAAACAAAAAGAGCTTCGGACTACAAAAAAAGAGTCGTCACGCATTTCACGGGCCAAAACAAGCAAAGCCGTCACGCGAAATTTTCGCTGTTGTAACTCTTGTGACGTTTTTCTCCCGCGTAAGGAACTCTCCACCCAAATTGCGGTCAACTTTTTTGAAAAAAAAAAAAAAAAATGTGGGTTCATTACGCGAGTAAACACGGTATACTTGCTTTTGTCTCCTGCGTATTCGTGATCCCCGTGACAATATTATGCACCATAGCTCGCATCTGAAAAGTTAGGTATTAAGACAGTTTCAGCACTCTTTTGCTGTTTTTAAAGCTGATAAAAATGCACTTGGACACGTGTCTTGCCTGTTCATCCTAGGCTCACTGACATTAGATGGCCTGCAAAGAGCGCACACTCGTGTTTTACGAGCACAGACTGCCTTCCTTGTTCAGTAATACTGTGGCACTCTGCTGTTGTACTTCTTTGAGAACACAGAGGAATAACACATGACCTGTGAAAATGTAGCGCCAGGCTGGTAAACGTTTGACTTTTATAACTTCCTTTTCAGGAGCCCACAAGCACCAAAGTGCGGTGACATGTCTTCAGTTCAACTCCAAGTTTGTGGTCACCTCATCGGATGATGGCACCGTGAAACTTTGGGACCTTCGCACTGGTGAATTCTTGCGCAACCTTGTGGCCCTGGAGTCCGGTGGATCGGGGGGCGTCGTGTGGCGCCTTCGTGCTTCCTCCACTAAGCTGGTGTGCGCAGTCGGCTCGCGAAATGGCACTGAAGAGACGAAGCTGCTCGTTCTGGACTTTGACGAGCCTAAGTGAAGGGCCGTTCAAAGCACCGCGTTACCTCCCAATGTCCCAGACAAGTGCCAAAGGAAATGGGTCGCATGTGCCGCTTTGCGTGTGCGCCATTTAAGGGCTCTCTGCCATAGGAGATTGCCAAGACCCTCTACCCCCATTGTCCCAGATTTTTTTTGTGCCTGGGAAGAATGTGTTGTGGCAGCAAGACATTTTATTGTGGTGACTCTGCCATGATTCTCCTTGAACTCTCTTTTGTCTCTGCTTCCCTTTCTTTTTCCCCTGAGAAACAGTCTCCGGAAGAACTGTTGCAGTGACTTACAGAGCTGGTTGTGGTGCAGTGCTGCGACCGTGTGTCATGTGCCTGCCTATTGCGTTCTTGCCAGTACAGAACCCATTTCTCACTCGGTGACATTTTACAATGAATCCCTTTTTTTCTCCTCCGTGTACAAGAAGTCACGGACCCGAACAGTGTTCATGTCCAACAGGTCCCAGCTGGCAGCAAGTCTTTTGTGCCATTACTGCTCAAGCTTTGTGTCCAGGCCACTGCAATTAGTTGGTGGGAATCGTCGTCGTATAGCCTGGTGATAGGGGAAGTGGCCTTGCCTTATGGAGTAAAGCACCACGCCCCAAATTCGCATTTTATTTTGTCCCCCCTCGGACACGGGGAACACCTCCTATATTTATTTAATTTTGGCAAGGTGCTGTCCCTTTGGACAACTGTGGCGCAAGTGCCTCAGTGACTGAGAACAATTGGAGGAGCCTTTGGTAAATGTAATTTCCTTTTTGAGTGCTTAGAAATAATAAATGTGAATGTTTTTTTTTCTATTTCTCACAGTCCTCCTTCCAATTTTTTCCCCCTTAAGTGCTCACGGAAAACTTGCTTCTTGAAAGTTCATGCCTCTTGTTTACCTTTTTTTGGCAAGTTGTGCGGTAGCCCCAGTGTGCCACTGTATTCTTAATACTGGTGTACGGACTTGTAGGAGAGGTCAGGTTTGTGGTATTTTGCCCGTGGACTTAGTTTTAGGGGGTTTAGTTCGTCGTACCGGGTGCACTAACTTACGCAAGAAGAACCGGCGCAGGGCGCCGTTACTTTTGACTGCCATGCTTCTTGCTGTACATTTTGTTTGTTCTCCAAACTAATTATTCTTTTTCTTTGCGTTGTACATTGCTGTATATTCTCTGCTTGTCTGCAGGTTTGTTTATAGTTGTTGACTGAAGGCAAAGTAAAACCAATTGTTTCACCTGTACTGCTTGTCTATGGATTCTCTATGGGCTTACTTGACACAAAAGCATCGAAGCACCGTCATGTTCGAAGTCCAGGTAAATTTATACCTTCACCATTTAGGCCGCATTTTAAGGTTACCTTTGGTTATTGGATAAAAAAATTTGAGCAGAGAATTCTGTCTGCCACAGAATTATCCAAAATAGCCACAGTTGGCCGATTTTCGAACCTCGTGTTACGCTCTACGAGACCATTCAACCTAACTGCTTGTGACTGAAAACACCAGTAGTATCTCAAAACGGCGCTCGGCCAGCCGTAGTGCTGGCTATCTTGAAATGTAGCAGAGAGAAAGGTATTTCCCGTTTTCGAGCGGTTACTTTCAGTTTTCCAGGTTGCCTTAAGCTGTGCTGCATCTTTCATGTAAGCTGTTGTCTGATAAGATCAAGAATGGCGTGATTTCGCTGTCTCGCCGGCACTGTGCAAGGCTACGGCGGCTTGAGAAGGGAGCGCCCCAAGGAAAACGTTATCGTTCAAGTGGTGAGGAGGTTCGGACGAGCAGACGCAGGCACTATCTGCGTAGCCGGCGGCGGTCAAATCAAGGCCGGGTGAAACCTTCCGTCTCGTCCAACGAAGAAGCTAAGCCAGTTGAGACGTGTCCTCCGACCTCCAAGCAGTACGGCCCGAAGGTAGGTGAGCGCACTTTTACGTAAGCAGCAACAGGTTGGCTAAACTGTCCCACTTGAACCACTGCAAGACCGCGTCAAGAAAGGTGAGCTCGTGATGAAACGCTCGGTTTATTTCCCTGTTTTGCGTTTCGTGAACGCCCAGGCTAGGCGCACAAATTGAGATCTTGCAGCTGTCGCTTCAGGAGGTCCGAAATGCGATATCTTTATTTGCCGCTGTATCTTATCTGTCGCGTAATCAAATAGTTGCCGGCAGGAAAAAGAAGAAAAAATAATGCCCGAAACAAGCGAAACATCGTTAGGCTACGCTAAGTTGGAAGTGCAGTGCGAACGAGCTACAGCGAAACAATTGAGCGCAATTTTTCATTTGCAGCGCCGTGAACCATAAATTAGCCCGCCTACATTTAATCATTTAATAGCGGAGTGGCAGCGACCCCATTGGGCGGCCATGGGTCGCGTCAGACACGTGACTGCATTCCTCCCGAGGATGGCAGAAGAGGGGCGGTTTGAGGGGTGTGTGTGATTGCTGGCGGCTTCATGCAGCGGTACTCCCGGGGTATGCTTTGCGGCGAGTCGTATTTCAGTGTCATCAAGTCTTGCTGAGCGGACGGGGGGGCTCTTCGCGGGCAGCTGCGTCGTCGACGGTTTGTTCGGCATCGAGAAAGCCGTCCGTAAGAAGTAACGATGCCGCCGGCCAAAGGGGACGGCATGCGTGGCCTGGCCGTGTTTATTTCCGACATCCGCAACTGCAAGAGCAAGGAGGCCGAAACTAAGCGAATCAACAAAGAACTGGCCAACATTCGGTCAAAGTTCAAGGGCGACAAGACGTTGGACGGCTACCAAAAGAAGAAGTATATCTGCAAATTGCTGTTCATCTTCCTTCTTGGGCACGACATAGATTTCGGTCACATGGAAGCGGTGAACCTACTCAGTTCGAACAAATACTCTGAAAAGCAGATCGGCTACCTCTTCATACTGGTGCTCATGAATGCCAAAGACGAACTCATGCGCCTCATCGTGCAGTCCATCAAGAACGACTTGGCGTCTCGCAACCCCGTTCACGCCAATCTCGCCCTCCAGTGCGTCGCCAACATGGGCAACCTGGAGATGGCCGAAGCGTTCGGCCGCGACATCCCCAAACTCTTGGTCTCTCCCGACACCATGGACCAGGTGAAGCAGAGCGCCGCGCTATGCCTCTTACGCCTTCTCCGCACTCTGCCCGACGTCGTGCCGGGGGGCGAGTGGACTTCGCGAATCATCCACCTACTCAACGACCAACACCTGGGTGTTGTCACGGCCTCCGTTAGCCTTATCGACGCCCTGGTGAAGAAAAACCCGGAGGAGTACAAAGGATGCATACCGCTTGCAGTGTCGCGGTTAAGTCGCATCGTGAACGCCTCCTACACTGACCTGCAGGACTACACCTACTACTTCGTACCGGCGCCCTGGCTGTGTATGAAACTGCTGCGTCTCCTACAGAACTACCCACCTCCGGAGGAGCCCAGCGTACGCGGTAGGCTCAACGAGTGCCTCGAGTCCCTGCTCAACAAAGCCCAGGAACCGGCGAAGTCGAAGAAAGTGCAACACTCGAACGCTCGCCATGCTGTGCTGTTTGAAGCCATCTCACTCATTCTGCATATGGACCGGCTTGGAGCGCTGCCTGAGCCACACCTCCTCATTCGCGCCTGCAGCCAGCTCGGTCATTTCCTGCAGCACCGAGAAACAAACTTACGTTACATGGCTCTGGAAGGGCTCTGTCTTCTGGCCACCTCAGATTCGTCGCACGAAGCCGTGAAGAAACACCAGGAGACCGTGGTGGCTGCTTTGAAGATGGAGCGTGACGTCAGTGTCCGGCAGAAGGCAGTGGATCTGCTTTACGCCATGTGCGATCGCACCAATGCTCAGCTCATTGTAGGCGAAATGTTAAACTACCTCGAGACTGCCGACTATGCCATTCGTGAGGAGATGGTGCTTAAGGTAGCTATCCTGGCTGAGAAGTATGCATCAGACTATACGTGGTATGTTGATGTAGTGCTCAATCTCATCCGTGTCGCTGGTGATCACGTCAGTGAAGAAGTTTGGTATCGTGTCGTGCAGATTGTAGCCAATCGTGAAGATGTCCAAGGTTATGCAGCCAAAGTCTGCTTTCAAGCACTTCAGGCACCAGCCTGCCACGAAAATATGGTGAAAGTTGCCGGCTACGTGCTTGGAGAGTTTGGCAACCTTGTTGCTGGAGACCAGCGCTCTGCACCAGCAACTCAGTTCCGCCTCTTACATTCCAAGTACCACCTGTGTAGTGCTCCAACACGTGCCCTCTTGTTGACCACTTACATCAAGTTTATCAACCTTTTCCCTGAAATAAAAGCTGAAATCCAAGAGGTGCTGCGGAGCGACAACAATCTTCGCTGTGCCGATGCTGAGCTACAACAGCGTTCGGTTGAGTACCTCGGTCTGAGTCGCATTGCATCACCTGACGTGCTGGCCACTGTGCTAGAAGAAATGCCGCCTTTTCCAGAGAGAGAGTCTTCCATACTTGCAATGCTGAAGCGTAGAAAGCCTGGTCTTAAAGAAGCTACAAGTGAAGCTGTGCCGCCGCCTACACCACCACGATCTGCAGAGAGCAGTACAAAGTTGCCGGTGACCAATGGAGGAGGTGTGGAGGCTGACCTTTTGGGACTTTCTTTGCAACCGTCTGAGGACGAAGCACTGCCTGTTGCTGCACCTGTTACTGCTGAGGATGGTCTTCGGAAAATGGTGTTACGCAACACGGGTGTGCTATTTGAAAATGACATCATTCAAGTCGGTGTGAGAGCGGAGTTCAAGCAGAACCTTGGTCGTCTGAGCCTCTTCTATGGCAACAAGAGCACCTTTCAGTTGCAGGGTGTCGCAGCTACCGTGTCCTGCCGAGGTGACCAGGCGACCAAGCTTTTTGTGCAGGCCAAGCCAGTAGAAAAAGTGATTGATGCTGGCTCCCAAATTCAACAGATCGTCAGCGTAGAGTGCCTTCAAGAATTTCAAGAACCTCCAGAACTTTTGGTTCATTTTCTTTATGTTGGTAGTGCTCAGTCTGTGTCTATTAAGCTTCCCGTCTTTCTGAACAAATTTTTCGAGCCAACGGTTATGAATGCCGAAAGCTTTTTTGCTCGCTGGAAAAACCTTACGGGGCCACAACAAGAAGAACAAAAAGTTTTTCGGGCACGGTTTCCCATGGAAGCTGCTGCCATCAGAACAAAGTTGGAAGGCTTTGGCATGCAGCTGCTTGAGGCAATTGACCCAAACCCCAACAACTACGTCTGTGCTGGTATTGTGTGCACACGTGGCCAACAGGTTGGGTGCCTCATGCGGCTGGAGCCTAATGTCGAAGCTCGCATGTTCCGTCTGACCATTCGTGCCAGCAAAAGCCATGTTGCTAAGATCATGGTTGACCTTTTGTATGAGCATTTGTAAATGGCACCACTCGTTGTGCTCACTGTTGGCTAAGATAAATACACATATTCTTTATAATATATGCTGCTGATCATTTTTCACTAAGATGCTCCAAGGTGCCTTGTTAGCAAATAAATCCCTTTTGTTACAACTTTTGCCTCTAATTGTGCATTCCTGCTGTTGGCAAAGCATGCTAAAGCATCAAGGCTTTGAAACAAACTTGCAACATGCTGTTTTGTCTTGCGTCAAGGCAAGTCCAGTTGTAATTGACATGCCTTGATGCTGCAACACAAGGGCAGTAGTTGGCAGCACAGCCAAGGTCAAGTTCAAGGTGACATTCTTCATGCACCAAGCTGAGACTTTATAATGCTTCTCATAACTTGAAATGTGGCTTTGTAGCTGTAGTCCATATTGTACCCTTGAATCGTCCTAAATTGCTGTGAATATATCCCATGGCTCTCCGTACATCAAACGGCAGTAAAAATTTGACCCTGCCCACTGCACCAGTGGTGTAGCCAGGGGGTAGCACACAGAGCCCGTGCCCCCATCTCCCTCGATCTTTTTTTTTTTTTTTACTAGATATATATAGTCGGGAATGACAATTTCAAAAAAATTTTTGCCCCTCCTAAAAAAAAATTTTGACTACGGCCTTGCACTGCATCACTTCACTGCTCTCTCCTGAGGAATCGATTAGCAACTATGTGCGTGCGATTCCAATATATTGTGCATTGTGTGAAGAGGTGTCTGAGCAGGTTTAAATGATCTGCAGCTCTGGTTGAAGTGCTGGAACATGAGTGTGCCTGCTTTCACTTGATATGCAAATGCACTACTTGAAATGTCGATCATGTCAAAAAGGGAAAGTTTGAAAATCTGAAATGATTAAACTTGATATATAGCCTCAGTCCCTCACTCTCTAAATGTTTACCCCTGGAAGTTTCTGGAGAGGGCCCTAGCTCTTATTGCGCCATGCTGAATGGCAGTATATTGAGAAATGCGAGTTACGAACTAGTGTGTACAATCTTTGTAATAGCTACAATTGTTTGAGTTTAATGAGGTGCTGTACTTGCATGAGACTGACCTATTTTGAAGTCTAAAGTTTTCTACTACTGGGAGTATATTATATGCCATAATCCTCAATGCTTGCTCATCATAACAATAGTTATGTTCAATGTTACCCTTTTTGTACTGGCTTTGTTTATTAATTTGTGTACAACGCACACTTGCCTATTCACCTTTGTTCTCGCTGCTTGCCCTTTGCAAGCACTTGTGGACCATGTCATCTGCAATGCCGTACAAGGTGTTGGGAATTCCCATTAAATTAAACGTAGAATGCACATGTGCACAGCACATTGAGATCTTCTGAGATGCAGCACTGGTGCACCAACTGCAATTGCTCTTCGTGTGGAAATTTTTTCACCAAATTTTCGAGCTGCCATTTTGGGGAGTGCAGCCTTTGTGTAAGTCTATTAGCGTTAGTGCTACACATGATTTGCTGAAAAGATTACGTCGAAATAAAACTTGATAAGTGTAATTGTGAGGTTTAGCAAAGCCTGCTAGTGGTGTATTGTGTGCTGGCTTTATCATGGAAGCTGTAAACGGATGTTCAAAGCATGCCTTTAAAATTCAATGTATTAATACACAGGTTGCATTACAAAGATGCAAGCTGTGTAGACCGGATATTGTAAGGCAGTTTGTACATAGATGTGTGGCAGCTTGGGCTAGTTGGTATGGCATGACGATAGTTATAGCGGGAGAACAAAACGACGACACAGACACAAGAAGGACACGAAAGACACTTTCGTGTCCTTCTTGTCTCTGTGTCGTCGTTTTGTTCTCACGCTATAACTATCGTCTTGTACACGGGGTTGTGCACATTTGGAACTATCAGTTTTCCCAGAACAATATCCGCACACTTTCTTGTCCAGTCATTTCTTCACATACTTTCAAGTATACTTCACAGTATGATTATTGGATTGAGGCAAATGAATTGGTGAGTAGGGTACAATGATCCCCATTTCCATTAGGATTCTCTATGCTGTTGTCACAGTCATGCACATGTGATAGGAAATGAGGGGTTGCACATAGTAAAATGGTAATATCTCTTCCTTGTGTCGTTGCAGACTCATAGCTTTTAGCAGAATGCCACATGAGGCTGTACAAAAAAAAAGGGAGGGGTATTTTGCAAAAAGCACTTTGTGCTCTAAAAACTGCACTTGCCCCCACAGAAACGATGGCTATCCTTCGCTTCTACCAGTCGCCTGCCCTTTCAGACAGTGCTCTGAAGGGCAAGCTAGCTGCCATCAATGGGGCCCTTGGGCAAGATGCTGCCAAAGAACTGCTGACTGAATACTGCTACTACGTTCAACTGCAAGGACAGCAGGCACTTAATCAAGAGCAACTGAAGCACCTCATCTGGCTCCTAACACCTGGATTTAAGATTCACCTTGACCAGCAAACAACCCTGCAAGAAAACACACCAGCGAGCCTTCTTGTTGAAATTGGTCCAAGGTGAGATAAATTGGATGTAGCACCCTTGGGTTCTGCCGATATAGGATGGCTGCTATATATATATATATATATATATATATATATATATATATATATATATAAGGCTATGTAAAAAGCGGTGTGACAGGTCTCTCAAAAGAAAAATTAATATGTAAAGAAAAACATTGATACGTTCCACGTCATCCTTGTTTTTCTTCAGCAGCAAACCTGACAATATGTTGACGGGAACTAAACAGCGTGAAAGATGGGGCTTATAGTGTAGATAACAGATGCAGCATCATTCAGTTTCCTTAAACATGTACCAACCAGCACAGTTTAATGTCATGCTGTTATAAATGCAAAATTAGTACCAAAGCTCTTTTTTTTTTCTAAAAATGCCATTAAGTACACACTTTGTTGTGTCATTCTTTCACTCTTTTCCTATTCCTGATACCTATTTAGTTTGAAGCTAATTGCACCATTAACACATTAAGTGGGTTAAGTGAGGTTTCGTGCAAATTCATTTCTTGAAGAAAATAGAACACAAAAAACGAGGACAAACTTTAACAGCGTGTATTCCCTATCCTTTGTACTAATTCTCTCTGTATGTTTTCTTCAACAAATGAACTGCAATTAGGTTACTCATGTTTCTCTACAAAGAACTGCACATTTACATAACTAAAATGTGTCGAGCAGCAAGCCATGTAGATAAAGGAAAGGTACTACAGCTGTTGCTTGTCTTTCTTCCAGGCTCAACTTCTCTACACCTTCATCAACACAGTCTGTAGCCATCTGCCAAACAATTGGGCTTGACTGCATCGACCGCATAGAGCGTTCCACACGTTATCTGATAAAGTTTAAAGATGGTTTTGCGTTTTCAAAAAAGAATGAGGACAAGGTATGTTTTAGGTGCCCATTAATAAAAAAAATATTTCAGCCTGTAACGTAGTATGAAACTCTCTTTACAGAGGGACAAGAAGCACAGGTGGCTTAATTCACCTATTTTATTTGGCATCTTCTTATCTATAATAGCCCCCTATTTTCTTTATGTGCATTATCTATGCTGTGCACAATAGATAACATGACAATTTATTAGATAGTGCACTCTTGAGTGCTGTATTTTGCTGTAAGTGAAGCCAGCTCCATTTCTATGATGCATATCAGGCAGTTCTAGAGTGCTTTATTGCTTTATCTAGTTTAAATGAAGTAAAAAGTTTTTTAATCACAGGCAGAACTTGTGTTGCTTTGTGTCAACAATGGATTTTGTATGAGGTGCCATAATACAGGCAGTGAATATGAAAGGCACCGGGTCAATGCCTTCTGTTAATTTTGTTGTGCCCTATATACAAAGACACAAATCAGTAAAAACTTGCACTAGATAATGCCAGTATCCTGATGGCCAAATAACTTGCAGTTTAAATGTAAGCAGATGATTCTTTTGTGACCAGGTAGTGGATGTGCTGCATGATCGCATGACAGAGACCCGCTACCTGACACCTGTGACAACGTTCGAGCTGCCCGCTAGCACTCACTCCTGGGAAGAGGTGGACATACTTCAGCATGGAAGGAAAGCCCTGGAACGAGTTAGCACTGAACTAGGTGCAACGCACACTTTTTTTTAATACATTAAAGCCACGGTGATTAAAGTGCACACAAAAGGCTTGCCGCACTTTATGGTTGAATAACACTCTCATTGATGCAAATAGGCCCATCTAATTGCCACCAGTTGAGATTCGGTAACACGTGACAAAGTACAAAGACAAAAATATCGGTTTGATTTTCTTGCTCCTTGCGAATTGTGGACATTGAAATATTGTCTCCTAAATGTAGTTCATTATTTATTAACAATGCAATGCCTAATTGCCTAGATGAAGCATTTAATAACAATTGTTTTATAGCTAAAACCATCAAGAGACAGCTTTCTCAGAAACCATATAGAAAAGCATAAAATGCAAAACTATTAATATACATAAAAAGCTCTGCAAAGTACTTTAATTTAACAATTTATTCAACAATGTTAAAATACCTTGTCAATTCATGCTGACCTTCCTTCTTTTTGATGTTATGAAAGCTTTCAGCAAGGTTAAAAAAAGTCAGTGCTAGTTTCCTCACTCAACTTAGCACTTGCTATAAAATTCGATATCTTGTCCATTGCTGCGAGTATGGAGCTGTATTTAGGCTGGTACACCAGAACATAAAGCTATGAGTTTCAGAAATATTAGTGAAATCTCATTTCTGCTTTTACCTAATTTTGGCAAAAAAAAAAGAATTCGCATTAATTGTATGGAGATTCGAAGATTCGTTGCTTCTGTGGGATGCTGGTTGAGAAAAGAAGGGAAAAAGCATGTTATCTCACAAAACTTATTTTGCAGAATTATATCAATCAGGTTATTGAGCATAGCCAAGGAAGTGGGGTGCCCCCTCCACCAAAATGTTTTTCAATTTTGCTTGCTTATACATATGTGCACACATACAAATGCATGCACAAACATAATATGATTGAACCCCCCCCCCCCCCCCCCCCCGCTTTCCCGAAAAAATTTCTGGCTAGATACTGATGAGGTTCGATTGTATTTCTTGCTTAACATGCGTGCAGCGTGGTTTTAAACTTTGGGATGTCACTGTTCTCCAGTGAGGCTTGCTTCAAAATATGACAAAGCAGCGGTTCGAACAAGTCTGTTGTGCATTATGGGAAAGTGTTATATAAGGCGAAAGACACGCGAAGTGCTAACGAAAATTTGATTGCTTTTTCAGGTTAGTTCTTGCGAGTGTAGTTGTACCAATCACTAAGGAAGTATGTAATGGGGACTAATGAATTTTAACTAATAAATGCCAATTTTTTCATTGCCAGGCCTGTCATTTGATAACTGGGACTTGGATTTCTACACGGATTTGTTCAAGAACAAGCTCAGGAGGAATCCAACCACTGTTGAGTGCTTCGACTTGGCCCAGTCCAACAGGTATGACATTTATAATTTTGTTTACAATGTAATTTTATTTCATTATTTTTTAGGAAAAGGAGTATAGAGAAGAATTACTTGCATCTATTTGCTGCATAGGATTACTTTATTGCAACCACTTTTTATGTTTGTCGTTACGGTGACAACGTTTATACATTTTGGCTGCCTTGAGAGCGTATGAAACTGTACTATAAAAACTTCCATTGGCACAGTGATGGCGAAATAAATTACTGAAGCACGGACAACAAGTACCTCATGCTGTGTGAGTGCAGCGCTACCTTTTTGTTTCGCAGAATGTGCATTGATATTTCGCGTGTGACACTGAGAGCTTTTAAGCACCGACATGTGTTAGTGAAAGTGCTTCTGTATTTGACACACGCAGCGAGCACAGCCGGCACTGGTTCTTCAAGGGCCGACTGGTGGTAGATGGGAAAGAAGTGCCGCACTCACTGTTCTCGCTCATTACGGCCACCCAGAACACCAGCAACGACAACAATGTCATCAAGTTCTCGGACAATAGCAGGTAACTTGTTGGCTGACGTCTTCTCAAACACAGCATCATTGTCTCTTCGTAGCGCAGGTATTTCAGTTCCTAGCCGAAGCCGTCTGAAATATTACCAAGTACTAACTGCCAGAAACATCTCGATGGCTTTGTTCTCGCTATGTTCACAAGGTCATGGGTTAAATTTTGAGCTGCAATGGCCAGACTTCAAAGAGAGAGAAATGCAAAAACACTCATACACTTAGAATTAAGTGCATGCTTCAAAGAACTTACAGAGGTAAAATTAAACCTGAAAGCCCACATTTATGGAATATTGATGTATAAATCAACTTGCTATTCAAATTAGTACTTTAAACACTCTACTGAAGCACTGCACTTAAAACGGCCCTGCAACACTTTTGCAGCGTGGTTAGCAAATGCTGAAAATCGGTAGTCAAAGCTCCTGAGAACACGTGAGCTAAATAATATGGCACAGCACACAGCCTCGAATTTACAATTAATTCTCATAGTCATCTCAAAATAATTCTTTTCTTAGAAAATGATGCCATAAACCCAAATAACCGCTCTATGAATCCAAGTCCAGGGCCATTGGCTGATTTGAGCACCCCTAGCAGCATAGTTACCGTAAACACTATGGAATGCCGCCACGTGTCCTTGTGTGCACTCAGGATCACACACAATGTGAAAAAAAAAACAAAAAGGTGTGCTGAACGCCATGACACATGCTGATGAACGCATGCATCTTTTAGACCCATTGTTTCTCTTCTTCTGGGACAAAAAAAAAAATCAAGGTTGTAGTTGAAATCGAAGTAGATTAAAATAGCTTTTAAAAAGCACAAGATGGCTATTAGAAACTAAAAAGAGCTCACTGTATGCATTCCCCAGGAAACTATCACCTGGCTGCTTGCCATTGCATTTCGCATGAGTAGCTTACCAAAGCCACATGCTCGATATTTTGAGCGCGTAGCTTTGGTGAAAGCTTATCTATTTGGCTAAGATATACTTATTAAAATGATTTCTCCTATCACAAGAGCTTCGGAACCATTTTAAAAAGCATATCTTTGCCTCATAGATGATCTTTTATATGTGTTTAAAATGCATTTTTCTCAACATGCTATTATTGGCAACGTTTTGAGTTTAGACATCATGTTTTTGGCACTTGTGATCGCAAGATTGGTATGATTAACATGTAAAGAGTGCAATTATCTTCTTTATAACCCGTTGTCACTCATATAATCATTATAAACTTAAAGTAAGCAACTCGTATGAACTGAGCATTTTAAGACTTCTCATATATTTTTCTTATTGATTAAAATTATCTTATAGATGATTTCCTGTTAGTAATTTGCATTCCACAGTTAATGTGGAGCAATATTAGCTATTAATGGCTCATAACCAGAAAAGTCTTGTGGCAGGAAAAGTTTTTTTCAAGAAGAGCTATATTTTGCACATTGTCATGGCACAAAACAAAAACTATGCAACTTACTGTAAACTCATTACATGATTGAAACCAGCGTAAAAACCTACGTAAACAGCAAAACTTTCATTACCCTCGGCTACAGATCAAAGAAGCTTTTTTTCGAGTAGCATCACCCCTTTGAGCATATTACTGAAGCAATGTTGGAGGAATAATGCACGATTGTGTGCTTTGTGCAGTGCGATTCGAGGATATCAAGTCAGGGCACTGCAGCCTAAAGACACCACAACAGGCAGTGCATTCAAGGTTTTCAATGCACATCGTCACATCATATTCACTGCAGAAACACACAATTTTCCGACAGGTAAGTTCACTAATAGATTGTTGTTTTAAAGGTGTACTAACACAAAACTTTAGTTGTTTTTCTGTGATGAATGAACGGCCAAGCTGTCAAGAGCCTAAGAAATTCACTGCTAGGCTTGAGTGCACCCTAAAAAGGTAATTACAATATCTTTTAAAAGCCAGTTTTCATTTTTACCGTACCCAAACGTCACAACATGGTACGAGCTTCTCGTTGTGTGCCCGCGCAAAATATTGTGACATTTCCACGGCCACTCCGTACCGTGACTCTGTTGGCGACGCACAAGCTGCCATTTTGGAAGCTTTGGTAGTTGACGCCATCAAAAGTAAAGCTGGCCAGACTCATGGTCGTCGGCAGGATTTTCTCTTGGGAGGTGCAAACGAGTGTTTCATTGTGACCGGGGGAAGGGGGGAGAACTGGGTGAGGGCAAGTACTGGTGGGGCACGAGGAGGGCAAGTGCCCCTTTTGCATCCCACCTGCCGACTCGGACGGGCATACTGTCACGTGAAATCATCAGGATTAGTACTGTGGCTTGTCGTCGAGCTAGTGTCGATGTCCGTAGGAGTGCCATGGAGACAATTAAATTTACAAAATTAAAATATTTCATTAGCCTTTGTTTAACTTCACACTTGGCTATGGAGCTGTTTCTGTATAGATAAGGATATCATGGCAGAGTAAACTCATCTCGGAAAATATTTTCCATTCAATTACACTCAAACCTCAATATAATAAATATAGATATAACAAAATATCGGTTGTAACAAAGCAAATGAAAAGATAGTCTTGATATAGATACAGTGTTAGGAATAACTTTTATAACAAATTTTTGGATTTAACAAACTTATTTTCTTGTAAGAGGCAACTGTTTTATAATGAGGTTAGAGTGTATTTCTATTTTTATTAATATTAAACATGAACGTGATAGTTCATTGAGGAGGAGACAGCTTGCTGATGGCAACCAGGCACATATCCAAGGTAATTTTTCCGTGCTAATTAAAGTGTGGGGGTAGGGGGGCCATCATGTTAATTGTACTATTTCAGTTGTATTGCAGCAATTACAATATGTTTGAAGTAAGTAAAGTGGATGCAAAATGACAACTTACCTCCGACAGGGGCTGTATCTGCTACCTCGGATAACACACCTGACGTTAACCAACTGAGCTACAACGGAAGTGGTCCTCTCGTATGAACTACAGGAACCACCACCGTAGCTCATTCCAGCAAAAACAGCAAAACTGTGTCGAATGCATTATTTGAAGGCTGCGGGTTTCGTTGGGATGATTAACATATAAAGAGTGCAATAACCTTCTTTAAAACCTCTTGTCACTCATATAATCGTTATGAACTTAAAGAAAGCTATTAGTATAGGCAGAGAATTTTAAGACTTCTCACATTATAATTTGTTATATATGTTACTATTATTAATGTGCTACTAGATATGCACCTTTTTATAACATACTCTAATTACTCGGATGAAACGATTGCTAAAAATAAGCACCAAGAGAGTCGCACATACAGATATGCAGTTGAACTGTTCAATAAACTACGATGCATTGCACAGGCAGAATGCAAGCTCTGAATCCTATATTTTTAAAAGGGTATAACTTAGTTGTTTTTTACAGCAGTGCATCAAGATTTTGACAGAAATATCAGAATAGAGAGACAAAAATGTTTCAATTCTATTTTTATGTTGTGCTTTAGGAATGTGTATGAAGGGTGGCAGTGGCCGTGTGGGCTAGGGGTGTGCCACTTGAATTAGGAGGTGGGGGAGGTGGGGGATACAAATCTTCACTCTGGTTACATGCTTGGTTGTAACAAAGATAGTAACTTAATTTTGAATGTACAAGTTTGTTTAGACTTAATTTTGAATGTACAAGTTTGTTTAGACATATCAGCTCACCGTCAACTTTTTTTGCTCATGTAATTAAAGTGCAGATAGAAGCCCTAAAGTCAGCTCAACTTTATATTAATGAAGTCGTTTATTTAATGAACCTGAGATGAAGCATAACGTATGTCACCATCTTTTGCTTTAATACCTGTAGCGCAAAATTGTCATATGTATGTTATCCTATAGAGCAAAATTTATTAGTTGCATGCTTATACACTGTGGAACAAAGCTTCACTTGTGGGTGTATCATAAAACCAATTGATAATTAATAATCACTACAGAAATGGAGATATTACTTTCGGTGTTTATTTTTGTGTTTTAATGCACATAAATGGCTCACATGATGACACCTTTGTGCCAGTTATTGAGTGACAATTGAAAATAACTACTGAAACCACTGAACTGTCACTTAAGGAAGAAATGCTGCTGCTTTAATTGATTTGTGAAAGTATTTTCTGCCAACCTTTCTTTTTAACTGCATGTGTATATAACTTATTGCTAGTCAGACATGCTGTAATCTTACAGTTTATTTACAGGAATAGGAGAGGCATCAGATGTGATCGTGAAAAAAAAAAAGAAGAGCACAGTCATTCTCGAGATGTTTAGATCAAAGCTTGGACAAAAAACATCCAACTACACCAAAGTTTATTCACGCAGTGCTTTACTTTATGTAGGTTTTAAACATGATTCGTCTTATGTGATGCAATTATATCTTCTTCCAGGGGTTGCGCCGTTCAGTGGGGCCACTACAGGAACTGGTGGACGGATTCGTGACGTTCACGCCGCTGGCCGTGGAGCACATGAGATTGCAGCCACAGCCGGATATTGCTTTGGCAATCTTCACATTCCTGGTCAGTGTATATCAATGGGATGTTTCAGCTGCTGACGAAAAGTAATACTTTCACGTTTTCTGTCGAATACTGGGCTGAGACTATGTGCAGAACAGCTTCCAGGAAACTGGCAATGATGTAGAGAAATATATATGTATTTTTTGAACAATTTATTTTTGCTTGTAAAATGCCCATGCCAAATGGGTTGTATGTAACATAATGTTATGATTTCTTTGTGGATAAGACCATCATTTTGTTGAACATCTTCATGATATACTGTTACTTCTTTTATTCTTTCTTGCAAGCATGAAGGAAAGCGAAAATTTAAGTGATAACTTTTATATGTTATACACACAGTGTTAATATAACAAACAGGCAAATGTGAAGAAAGAAAAGTGAACGACAAGGTAACTTGCGGCTGGCAGGGAGGAAACCTGTGACCTCCGAATTACGTGTCAACCAAGCTATAGCGGCAGCCATACCCCGTCCACTTTATGGGGCATATATGTGCATTTTAAACGTGGAAATGTCAGTCAGCACCACTAGTAGTCATGACGGCGAGTGTGAAACACTTTTTGTCTGCTTGTTGGCATCACGCAGCATGCGATCTTATAACGTGCTTGCTGCTGACCAGTAATCCTTCGCATATTACCTGAACGCATCAAATGAGCACTGACACAAACATTTTGTGCCTTGCTTTTTCTTTTTTTTTTGCAATAGGTAGCTTACGACCCACTTCACTACAGGAAACATCATTTGTGTGAATGCACGATGGTTATTTATTTAGAGATGTTTCTATAGCACCCAGTTGCAGTTTTAGCTTCGAATAGCACAGATCTAGGCAGGAACAGTTGTGGGGGCAAAGTAAACACAGCTGGTTATGTGACCAGGCAAAACTATGATGCAAGTGGACATCACACTGACAGCCAGAGCACTTCGGAGTACCGGTTTTCGGAAGTTAACAAACAACCGGGACTCAGGGACTCATGTACATTCTCACCTCCCTACCACTTCCTTATTTTCTTTTTATTCATAGAATACCTGTTCCTTTTTCACTCATAGAATTCGTCACAGCACCCACCCTCTCCGCTCTCTCACATCTGCGTATCCAATGTTGCCCCTCCCCCTCCTTTGTTAGGATGAAGGAGAAGGCACAAAGGGTAGACACACTAGTGCTTAAGAAATAAGTTTCGTTGCAGCCTTGAAGAAGACAAGTCCGCTTGTCCAAATGCTGGCTTGACACAACCCCTGTTTACGGATTTTTCATTGCAAGCTTCCATCTTCTTCTTCCGACCGTCATTTGAATATACTAAATCTATATCGCTCATTATCTCGCCTTAAAAATTTTGTGTCAGTGCTCCTTCGAGTCTGCCATAACGAAACCCTCGCTATGAATGAAAGAAAGAAGTAGAAATTTAAGGACTCGTTTTCTTTTTTTTTTTAATGTCAGTTTACGCAAGTTATCTTTTGGTCCACTTTTCTTACCTCACGTTTACATTAAAGTTACTACTAATGACGTCCCCTGTACCTTCATTGGTATCATTGTGTGTGAGTTGATATTAACATTTTGTGTAATGAAGAAAAACAAGACTTTAAATTTCCACTTTCCTTCATTCATAGTGAGTGTCTCATTCTAGCAGACTTGATTCCTTTACGTGATATGCAAGGGGTTATTGGTCAGCTGCGAACTTGTTATAAGATCACATGCCACGTGATGCTAACAAGAAGAAATACAGTTATCCTCACTCACTGTCAAGGCTGCTAGTAGCACTGGCTAACACTTTTAGGTATAAAATGCATATTTATGTGCCATAAAGTGGACAGGGAATGACCATGGATGTAGCTTAGTTGGTATAGCATTGAATTCGTTATGCAAATGTTGCAGGTTTAGTTTCTGAATGCAGCAAGTTAATCTTTTCGTCCACTTTGCGTTCTTTACATTTATATTAGAATTACCATAATAACATCCCCAATACTTTCATTGGCATCTTTGTCTGTTAGTTCATGTTATCATCCCATAAGCATGTATGGCAGTGTATATACTTTAAGTTTGGCATCACTTAATCTTAACTGTTTTCTTGTTTGATAATCTTTGAAGTGTCCATTCCTTTTAGACTCTAGTAATATTACGTATGATCTAATAATTTAAAAATTATTTCTGCTTGTGTTGTTACAACTGAAATAATCGAAGTGGGCTGTACAATTTGAAAGGATATTTGCTGTTCTTTTTCTCAATGTACTTAACTTTTATAATGCATAGTAGTTAAAATAAGTCAACTGTGGTGAGTTTAGATTAAAATCTAATTAAATTTTATCATAATAAATCGAAAGTAAAAGGGCTGAAAAATATTTTTTGGGATTTCACTTAGAAAAGTCAGGTGCCTGTTTTGTCTACACTTTTGGAAAAATGAGGAGCAAACAGTATTTTGACTACTTTATTTTAATATTGAATTAGGGGCATGCTGCAATTTTTTTTGTTCATTACAGCTGTTCATTTTCACTAATATTTTTGTAATATATAGAATGTTTTTACAACTTCTGTCCATCTAGGATACAATCTACCCTGGGAAGAACCCCAGCAGTACCCCAACAACTTTGCCCCACCCTTGGAAGTCGCCGTGGAGGCCAGTAACGGAGCATCCGACTATGGCAACAAGTTTGGCGAGCCTGTGCTCTCTGGTTTCTCTCGTTCCTTCGGAATGGTGCTACCTGGTGGGGAACGGCGGGAATGGATCAAGCCCATCATGTTCTCCGGTGGGATCGGCAGCATTGACAGCGATCAGATCACCAAAGACAAGCCTGAAAAGGGCAAGTTCACAAATATCGACTAACTTTGCAATGTTACAAATTAATGATGTCTACTGTACTTCCTGCCTATCGAATTGAGCAGCTGCATCAAAATTTTGAGTCAAGTAAAGCATATTCCTGCTGGTAATAATGTTGGACACTCCTTTCTCTGGGACACTAAAGTGAAACATTGTATCAGCTGAGGTTGATAAATTGTACAATAAGGACATTAACATAGCGAATATCACCAAAAGAGGAGAAAACTATGGTCAATGTTTCATTTTGAAATTCCATGCTGCAATTGCCAAATGGGACATCATGGATTTCGAAGGGAATTTCTTGTAGTTTGACCATATCAGCTCAATGATTATTATGGAAACATGGTATGTTAAGTCTATGGCCTCCTGAGAGGACAATGTACTTACAGTTTTACTGAACAGAAACTGTTTAGGACTTAGCAGATGCAGTCAGAATCTATGACGTCACAGCATTTTCTGTGGGAATCTCAAGGTGGTGTTGCCACCCAAATTTTCTTTTTGAGTGCTTTCTCTCTTACCAAGCATCTTCTCCCGGCAAGCATGGTGATTTGAAACTCTAAAAGAGTTATTTACCAATATGAAAAACTCTTTTCCATTTAGTGTCCCTTTAATTGCTTGAAATTGTAATTTATGATTGTGGAATTATCAAGTTCTTTATGCTCTATAGCCCCAAAGATAAACTTGTTATAACAAAACTCACCAGTGTCACATGCACTGGCAGATCTGACACCTTTGTAGTTTTCCATGCGCTTGCACTTCTTTGAGAAGTAATAATCATGAATTGCATAACAGCATTGCGAATTTCTACTTCAGTGTCCATCGACTTGGCGTAACAATCATCATGCAGTATTTCATGAGTCGAGCCAATATGCTTTGTCCTTGCAGGCATGCTCGTGGTCAAGATCGGTGGTCCTGTGTACCGCATCGGTGTTGGTGGTGGTGCTGCTTCCTCTGTGACTGTTCAGGGAGACCAAGAGGCAGAACTAGACTTCGGCGCTGTGCAGCGTGGAGATGCTGAGATGGAACAGAAGTTGCACCGCCTGGTGCGAGCTTGTGTGGAGCGTGGGGCAGCTAAGAACCCTATAAGGAGCATTCACGACCAGGGTGCAGGAGGAAATGGTTGGTTTGAGCTTTTAGATGCGAGGCAGCTCTTTGACTAGCTTGTGTAACTCTGTCTCTTTGAACGAACGCACCGCAGGCGTTGGCACAGTGCCAAGTAGGTCACACCGCTGCAGCACGTTGACGTCGCACTCCCCTCGCAGTGCGCTCTGACGTCACTCTCTCCCTCGCCTGCTGCACGTTCGCCGCGGCGCCCGCAACGCACAATAAACCTGACGCGTGCCTAACGTACACGTTGAAACATGTCTTTACGCATCACCTACTAGACCTATGCCAGCCATCGCTTCAAACAAATCTTCCAGTGCTCACTGCAGCATCTGTGTTAGCGCCGTTCAACCAGCGACTCCACCCATGCGAAATGCCGCTGCTTCGCATCCCAAGGGTTCCCTTCGGGGAGATGGTCCAAATTTTTTGTTTGTTTATTTATTTCTCATTCATTTGGCAAGGATATATTTTAGCGGCTGGTTGATAGCAATAGCAGGATAACAGAAGTGATCAGGTTAGAATGAAATGTAAAAAGAAATGTGCATTTAGGTATGGGTACACATTAGAGAACTCCAGGTGGTTAGAATTAGGAGCTCCTCTCTACCGTGCCGTTTATAATACACTTTCAATATGTTAAACCTCATAACTTCCACTTGAATGTTTGCTGCATGATGTGCGGAGATACATATGTCATCCGCAGATCTTACTTGTTCCTCAGGAAGAGGTGCCAACTTTTTCCTGCTCTGCTCACAAAATGCCTCTTGTTTGACAACTGTGATGATGAAGCTTGAGAGCTGTGGCAACGAACATGGAAAAAAAGCTAAGCACATGTTTTTGTACATGACAGGCAATGTGCTGAAAGAGATAGTAGAGCCTGCCGGAGCTGTCATCTGGACCAAGAACTTTCAGCTTGGTGACCCTACCATCACCACTATGGAGCTGTGGGGTGCAGAGTACCAGGAGAGCGATGCCATTTTGGTTCGGCCAGAGGACAAGGACGTACTGCTGCGCATCGCAGCGCGAGAGCGTTGCCCCGTTTGCATTGTTGGAGAAGTGACGGGAGATGGTCACGTCGTCCTCAAGGAAGACAAGACCCCCGGTAAAAGGGACCCTGTTGACCTCGACTTGGAGTCTGTACTTGGAGACATGCCACGCAAGGTGTGCAGCATCATATTGAATAACAGTATTAGGTTAACTGTTCATAATGCATTCATTGCAATTGCATTGCCTGTTTATTAACTATTAGTGACATTCTGAGTGCTATGGGACTCTCATTTAGAAAAATCTTTTCTTGGATTGCTTTGCCAAGTCTGCTGCAGCCTTTCTAATCAGGGAAACCTAGACTGAGCTGAATATGACCTCCAGTTACAAAAAATCTCTAAAGATACGGTAGCTCTTTCCTTATTGAGAAAATAGGGACAAGCCAAGCTTGGCATGTGTGCACCTGGCTTGCTATTTCGCTTTCGTTACTTCTTTTTTTTTTCTTTTTTTTTCTCCATTCTAACATCATCTCCTTTCCTCCATTCTGGCCATGGGAGCTTGGCCCACATGACTAGCGATGCAACACTTCTGTTGGTACAGCCTGTGATAACGGTTATGGTTGAAACGATGAAATGCAACTGAAAATGTGTCAACACAAAATTACAAGTGACCGCAATAATAGATCAGATTAACGTATAAGAAACGTCTGACTGCGGACAAGCCGACAATCACAGAGCAACACTGTTTCAAATGTAGTGGACTCGCGTTAAACAGAACCTGACGGGACTAAAAAAATATGATCTATTTCACAGAAGTTCTATTTACAAAGAGACAAATAGTGCCGCACAGTTCAGGTACAAAGCAAAAATGTCAAAGGCAACAGTTTCATTCAGGCGGCAGTTTCGTTCAACAGATTTCTGTTTATTCAGAGTCTACTATAGCCATGTGACTGGCACATCTTCAAAGCCTCATTTTTGTGCACCTGAATTTCCGTACACTCACAGGTGTCAGGCTTTTGGCTAATTATGCCACCGCCGCCACCACGGATATGTGTAACTCGTGGAAGCTTCACTTAAAACACAGCGTAAATATTTGCAACGATCAAACCATTAGAAAGACTTTGTGCTTGCACACAAGACTACCAGCCTGTACATGTATGTGCATGAATATTTAATTGCTCTCAATGCTGTTCTAGAAAGAAAGAGTGGAGTTGGGGCCAGAAGCTGAAGGGTGCATTGAAAGAAGCACTCAAAATAAGTCCACCATTGTAATGATCACAGTTGGCCTTGGCCTAAGCCTTTGCTGATTAGCAATGAAGCTCTCTATTTGATAAGGTTCATTCCAGCAGTACACTACATGTACATAAAAAATTGCGGCTGGTAACTGAAACCACTAATGTGTGGGAGAGAAAAAAGGGCGAGGGAAGGGTAAGGAAAGTGCACGCTTTCCACCTGTGTAGACAGACAAAGGCTGTCTAGCGTCAGGGTTATGTGAGCCAGGTTGCAAGGTCCAACTTGGCCAACACAAGGGATTTAAAAAATTTGTGTTAATTTGCTCATACTTCCACCTTACCATTTGTTTTTCTATTACAGGTGTTTAAGTTGAACACGGAAACGCCAATTCTGAAGCCTCTGAATTTGCCGGCTAGCCTTCAGGTCACGGAAGCACTTCAGCGAGTACTCCGTCTGCCATCTGTGGCCAGCAAGCGTTTTCTCACAAACAAGGCAAGTCGGCTGTTGGGTTTGTTCTGCCATTCTATCTATAGATTTGTGAATGTATGTTGACAAGCGTTGACATTAAATAATGTTGATGCGGCACTTGTCTCTGTGACCTTCTCAGGTTGATCGTTGCGTGACGGGACTTGTAGCTCAGCAACAGTGTGTTGGACCGCTGCATACACCACTTGCCGATGTAGCTGTGGTGTCTCTCTCGTACTTTGACAAGGTGAACACTTATTTCTGCTTCTTTCAATTGCAGATGATGTGTTAAGCACATTGTCTGCCCATGCCTATATGCCATTCAGCTTTTGTGGAAGTACTTGGCCAGCATTTGGATCTCGATTTCTCGCTGCTAGTGTAGCCAACCAAACCGTTAATCTAAGCTGGTATCCTGGTTTACTCCCTGCCTTCGTCGTTTTTCTTTTATTTCTCTTTCTTTCTTCCCCTAGCTCTGTTAAATCATCCATGCAGCTTAAAGGGGCCCACAAACACTTTTCAAACAAATGGCTTCAATTAAGCAGTTCATTGCTTCACAAATTGACCGCTGCAAGAATTTTTAGAATGCATCAACTACAAGAAGAGTGACGGAGGTTTGTTGCATGCTTCAACTGCTTTCTCTCTTCTCTCATCCCAATGAGCGTGCTGAAGATGAGCAGGGAGGGATTGCATGGGGAAAGAAGTTACTTCACATGCACATCATGACCTTGAGCACTTCTTTTTTTCTTTGAATGCGCTGCTTACCTTCAGTGTGATCACGAGCATGTGGGGGCACATGGCGGCCATTGTAACTACGCAGCCTATGATTCTCAAATCGGCCAGTAGCCATGAATTTGGGTATGCGGCATGGTCATTCAGGTACATGGAGTCATTTGTAGAGAGACGAGGTAGCGATTTTTCTCGATGATTTTGAGAATCGATTGTAAATTTCGGGCCGCTTGCTGCTCTGTAATGTTTGGCTTACGTGTTCTCCGGAGCCTAGACTACTGATTGGCAGTGTCTTCTGACCATGCTGATAAAGTGTTGCAGGGCCCCTTTAATGGAAAACACTTGCTTTCTGTTAGACGAGTCACACTGCATTTGCAATTGCGCTGTGCCACAGGTTGGATCCGCAACTGCCATTGGAGAGCAGCCAATAAAGGGCCTTCTGAGTGCTGCTGCAGGAGCCAGGATGTCCGTTGCCGAGTCTGTGACGAACCTCATGTTTGCTCAAGTGACATCACTTCAGGTAAAGCATTCAGGTTCAGGTACTGCTCCAGAACTGCTCACGATATACGCCAGCAAGAAAGTGACATTTTGTTTTCTTTTGTGCGTGTGTGGTTTGTAATATACATGCTGTTTACAGTGAGTGTGTACACTATACGGGGCACGTGTGCCATGTCAGATTGCTGTCACAGATGAGAAAAGCGATTTTAACCTGGATTTTATCTTATTTTTACAAAATATGAAGAAAGCCACGGAGAATATTAATTTTTGTTTGTAGAACTATGTATAATTATCTAAACATATGCTTTTTCTGAGTGACATTATTAGAAAAAAAAAGTGAGAAAAGTTAAAACTGAGCAATCTTAACTATGTGGTGGGAGTGACACTCTCCACACAACACTTATCTGTTGCTCTCATGACTGACATGTGAGAGCGGCTGTCCCTGCGTACACCTTAGTAAGTGTTCATGTAAAGCATTTATAAAATTATGACCCAGTTCCAAGAACATGTCTTCTGGCACTATGAGTGCTCAATGTGGCAGAAAGCAAAAGCAATTGAAGTGCTGATAAATTTCTTCAACTTGAAGACACAATTCAAATGCTATTTTATGCAGCCTATGTGATAAAAATGGGTGAAATGGGTAAAAAGATTACATTGATATTTTATGCAGAAAAACTGCTTGATAGCTTACTGTATGAATCTGTTCTTTACAATTTGTATTCTAATCCACTTCATCTACTTTGCATACTTTCTTGCAGCAAAATATCGAAGTTGTACATAAGTAATAAATTGAAAAACCACTGCGTGTGTGTCAAGTGGTGGAATGAACTGTGAGCAAGTAGTGTCAACTAAAAGCCAACTGTGCTCATTAGAAACTGGTCAGCTGGCCATCAAAGGCATGCCAGTTTAAAACCTGTTGTGTGCAGAGCTACCAAACTGGCATCTTTGTGCATGTGCTGTATTACAACACCGCCCAATGCATTTTGCAGGATGTGAAGTGCAGCGGCAACTGGATGTGGGCCGCTAAGCTCCCTGGAGAAGGTGCTGCCCTGCACGAAGCATGTCAGGCTATGTGCAGTTCCATGGCTGCCTTGGGCATTGCTGTAGACGGTGGCAAAGACTCACTCAGCATGGCTGCACGTGTGGGCAAGGACACTGTCAAGGCTCCTGGTAAGCCACATTTAGTGGATTGGGACGTTTGGTCTCGCACCTTTCACAAGAGCAGCTTTGAAATAGTCTGTAGATAGATTGAAACAGTGTGTAGAAGCTTTGCCTTTAAGAGCTGTACGTGATAGTGACGTTTTGTTCCTAGTGCATACTTGAACCACATGGTGCATCCTTATTATTGTATGATGCTACTCGAGAAGTTTCAGTTGTGAATTACTCTAATGTAATCGAAAGAGTGGAAAGTGACTTCTGTCAGTGAAGCTTTGTATGGCTGCATTCTGTGTAATGTGTAGCATGCTTTAAACCATGAGCAATTATGCAGGTGAGATGTTGTTGAACTTGCTATGCACCTTCTACGTGGTTTTTAAAAGGATACACACAGTAACGTGTGTGCCTTTTGTATTATATAGCTGGCTTTGAACCACAAAGTTGTTATGATACTAATCGCATGTTCTGATACCTGTTGGCAATGTATGCTTGTTATTACTGTGATATTACATGTTGTATTGTGAAGCCTGTATACAGCTTGCCACACAAACGACTTAGGTTCGACCCTCACTTGGAACTGGAAATGTTTTATCTATTTATTTTATTGGCACCTCTCTTTATCTTATTTCTTTTTTGTCATGGACAAAATGATAAATTCTTACTCACAACCAACAATGCCAACGCTGAAATTTCTGCAAAGCGAGCTCTTCAACACTATCACATTAACCGTCTGTGCCAAGCATCGTAAGATGCTTGGCACAGACGGTTCATTGTCTTGCGAAATAAGAACCTTTATGTGTTGTATCTAGAGCAGTGCCAATAGCATGACATTTTGTGCGAAGTGAACTTGAATATTAATGTTGGAGTACAAATTGAATAGAATATTTATCCAATATTTTATAGCGCTGTCAAGCTAATTTACGAAATGCATGTTCTGTGAAACATGAAGAGAGAAAATTATTGCGCAACTGGTATTGTACTAGCACATTTTCAGATAGGGCGGGGGGGGGGGGGTAGTAAAAGAACAGTCCAATTTAGCTGTTCAGTTGAGTGTTTTCATGGCTACAAGCTGCATCACCAAACACTTGCATGGAGCATACGGACAGGCATGTTTTTCTCTTTCTTAACAACTGCATCAGATATTGAGAAAAGGCAAGTAATTTGGAAGGGCTACGTTTCACTCCATATGAAACCATTATTTTTATTTTGTGGGGCCCTGAAACCTTCAGTAATAAATATTTATTGTGAATACAACCAAACCCCTTCAAAGAGACTCTGATGTAACAGACAAATGGGCGTAAGAGGTACCAGTGTGCCTGCATTGAAATAGGGGTTGATAAGAAAACGTATGGTACACTGTTTATGAGAGACACCTCATGCAAAGGGCGAGAATCGCTGCCCAGTGCATGTCAAAAGCTGTCTGCCACACACGTGGTGTTCAGAGAAAAGGAGGAATTATTGTGCAATAGACGCATGATGTAAATTTCTTTCCATAGCATACTTACATATGCTGTGTATGCCTAGAGAAAAATTATATGCCGACTTCAATTTTTTTTCCTGGTACATATTTTGTCCAGCTACGTATGATTAGATTCATGTGTACATGTGGTTACCAGCAGGAGCGCCACTTAAAAATTTTTCTTCTGTGCAACCATGATGCGTCTTTCTTACAGGAGCCATCGTCGTGTCCACCTATGCACCGTGCCCCGATATCACAACTACAGTGACCCCTGACCTGAAGCTTCCATCAGTAAGAAAAGAAGGTAACTGCGATCATTAACTAACTTAAGATATATCTTCTGTGGATCAGTTATTGTTTATATGATTGTGTATTATAAATTTGGGTCCACTCAATTAAGTAAACGTGAATTATCACCAATCTGCAATTTTTTTCGCAATGTAATGGGCTTTAAAATTTTGTTTTCTCACTTTAGGACTGCTGCTTTATGTCAGCCTGAGTGCCGGAAAGAAGCGCTTAGGAGGCACAGCTTTAGCTCAGTGCTTCAAGCAGCTAGGAGATGATGTGCCCGACTTGGATGAACCTGTCAAGCTTCGCAAGGCCTTCGCTGCCACACAAGAACTGCTGAAGGGTATGTTGTCTCGCCTCATCAAAAGGGTTGGATAGATTACAGATCAAACGTTAGAATATGATATTCTGGTTGTGACAAGAAGAAATAAATCTAGTTAGCCAAGCTTTTTAATGCGTGTAGCAGATGATCATTGGTCTGGCAGAGTAACAAAATGGACGTTGAAGAACATAAAGGAATGAAAATGGAGTGATAGGATTAAGATAGTTGTAGGCAAGAGAGTTTTTTTGCCCGGTGGTAAACAGCACTAATAAAATACGTGGGTCATGCATTTGTGCTATTGTGACCAGTCCATAGAACTAGCCATTCTGCAAATGTTGTAGCATCACTCTTGCAATTTCTCACATTACTTGATGACTAGCCGTATTTAGTGTGCTGCAGTTGACTTCTATGATGAGGTTATAATGTTGACCAGTTGCAACATCGTAACTTGTCTCAACACACACCCAATCGTAGATTGAGAATGTGCAATATTAGTACAGACACAGGAATGTACGGTTATGACAATAATGTTTCCCGACTTTCCACCATATCGCATACTAGCCGTTTTCATCTTCTCTGTTTAAGCAAAAGAAGGAACACATTTGTAAACAGAAACAGGAGAGTGCCGAGCTTTATTTATTTCATGGGGTACTAGTGTTAGAGTGCCAAGCTTTATTTATTTTTGGGGTACTAGAGTTGCCTTTCAAAAGTAAAACATAATAGCTGGAACGATGGATCAGGTTAACTGGTAACAAGTATTTTTAGTCAAAGTGTGGCAAAAAAAAGTGTAATCTGACTTGAGTATTACAAACAAAATAAGATGGTAATTACGAAAAGCATTGTTTTTAAAAGTATTTTACAAACAAGTCTCACTGCTGTGGTTTTTATCCAATGAAAGCTTTTCAGACTTGACACTTCTTTCTGTATTTGCAGTGGTATAAGTGCTATTGCATTTTGCAGGTGGTCTGTTGAAGGCCGGGCACGATATCAGTGATGGTGGCCTTATAACTTGCCTCCTGGAAATGGCATTTGCGGGCAACTGTGGCTTGGAAGTGAATGTGCCCACAGGAGGTGCTGGTAACATCCTCGAAGCTCTCTTTCACGAGGAGGTTGGCTGGCTGCTTGAGACTGATCCAGTGAATGAAAAGCGCATCGTTGAAGCTTACCAGAAGGTTGGGGTGTACTGTGTTCCCATTGGCCATAGTAAAGTCTTCGGTCCTCAAGCCAAGGTAACAAAAGCATGAGCATCATTCTTTTCATTTGAACTAGATTTGAACTAGTCAAGACATGAAAGTGTCCATAAATATTGTGTCCAAATGTTTGTCAATTGAAATCCAAGAGTTGTATTTTTTTATTGAAAAAAAAAATGGTTATTTGAATGCACTTGTTACTAAGAAATGTAGCTGTATTATACCAGCTCAAGTAATAACTACACAGAAGTGATCATTAGGCAATGCAGACATTTTTGATGTGCATCTGGCATGCCTCACATAAGTTTGTGATAACTGTTATATTTGTAACTTAAATAACTGGCTTATCATTCATGGTATCTTTTTACTACTTTACATGTGACTACTGCTGTAGCCTAAAGCTTTTCTTCAATGCAACTACATGAGACAATAGCCAGTACTGCTACACTCTCTTATAAATGACTGCCACATCAGACATTGTAGAATAAATGTGTTTTTACAACTAGAGAAGAACCTTATTGTGGGATACAGTGTTTGAATTATTTGAACGTGCTCATTATGAAGATTTGAAGCAGTGAAACGTGTTTCTACGCTGTAAAAGTATTTTTAGTAACGCAGAGTATGGGATACTGGTGTAACTTAGGTGGAAATGTTTGCCAGGCTCGATAGGAAAAGCGAGTTTTGAGGCAGAGTGACAGGACTTGAAAAAGTGTCGGCTCTGTTGCAGGTCTCTGTGAAGGTTGATGGCACAGAAGTGATCAATGGAAAGGTGTGTGAGCTGCGTGACAGCTGGGAGGAGACCAGCTACAAGTTGGAGCTTCACCAGTGTGACCCTAAGTGTGCCACCCAAGAAAGACAGGGTCTTCTGAAACGCACAGCACCTCCTTACAAGCTGACTTTCAGCCTAGACATCCCACGACGCAACCCTGGCAAGTGTAGAAATTTCTAAAGTTGCTCTTTTCTGCTGTAGTGTGTAATTATTAACAATGCCTCAGAGTGTACTCTGAAAATAAGTTTCCTAAGCACATTTTATTGAGTGAAACTTGATTGCAATGACATATTACTCCATTTTTTGTTGAGAAATGCTTGACAATCAAAAGCCATCATGTGGCTGGCAAGTGTTTCTCTTGTGGACTTAATGTTAGCATTTAAACAGTCCCACTTGTCATTGTTATCGAAATGTCATTTTTCACAGCTGAGATGCCAACAGAATTGCCGCTAAGCTAGTTTATTCATGCTGCACAGCTATGGCCATCTGACTCACGCACAAACATACGCGATGCATGCTGTCAAAATGTTACATTTGTTTGAAACAGATATCAAGTCTTTTATGTCATAGACAAATTTTGACACACAGAAGAACTACATAAAATTGCAACTAGCAAAGTTATTGGGAAGGCCCAAAGAAGAGTATAAGGTGCATCTATTGATGTACCAATTTTGTTTTTTTTGTGCACTTCAATTCAATGAAAAACATCTTCATTTTCGACATTTTTTCTATTGTAGTTACTAAAGTAGAACAGCATTGTGATTTTAATTAATTGTGTGCACCCCACAGCAAAAGTTTACGAGATGTTGGGTCCACACCAAATGGTTATTTCTCCTCTATTAGCGTGGGGTGTTTCTAATCTAGCTGGTGACACTATAGTTTGCGATGCTAACTACCATCTGGAACATTCATTTGAAGGTTATGTGTCCTGAGAAAGCAAGAATATAGCTTTCTTGAACATTTACCATCACGCAAGCCAGGTGTACAGCAGCATGTTCACATTATCTAGTAATAATGAACGAGTTCATCTTGGCTTTCAGATCCAATGATGAGGGTCGCAGTGCTTAGAGAGGAAGGTGTGAACAGTGACAGGGAAATGGCAGCGTCATTTTACATGGCTGGCTTTGAAGCGTGGGACATCACCATGACTGACCTTTTGGAGGGAACCGTTACGCTGGATGGCTTCCGTGGCCTGGTCTTCCCTGGTGGATTTAGTTACGCCGATGTGCTTGGCTCTGCTAGAGGTTAGACTGTTTTTCTTTTCTTATCTCCTTGTGTGTCTCCATTAAAGTTTCCTATATAAGAAAAAGTGAGAGAACAAACAAGAATGATAGGGCAACCTTGTCACTCTTAATTCTAGTCATTTTAGAATATTCTTTGTTACCAGCTGGGCACAGTACTAGTGCTCTGTACTAGACGGTTTTATGCATAAATACTGCCATAAAGTGGAGGACTTCAGATTGATTTTATCCTAAATTTAATGTCATGGCCATTTTTTAGATTTCAGCCTCATCAAAATGTCACTTCTATGGCCAGGAAGTGAACCAATCTGGTTGGTGATCAAAAGTGCTGCTTCATAGGCTTTCATTAACGCTTAGTGTACAAGACTATGTTATGGTATAAAACAGGCAGGGGTTGCCACAGGGTGTGAAAAAAAAATGGCAATCTGAGCACCCTTTTGAGAACAATGAACATTCATGTTATTCGGCCTGTCAAAAGTGTTCACTTCCCATATATTTTATACTGCAGTGGACTCCCACCACCAAGCTAAGCTTGAAAGCTTCTTCTGGGAAAGGCAGACACAAAGATATCTTCAAACAGTATTTCAATAGGATGGATAGGTGAATTAGTTGGTACTACATTAAGGTATTACAAAACTAAAGGGTGCTAGAAATGCTCAAGATGAAAGAAAAGTGCAAATGGTGTGCATTCCTTTTCCATTTTCATGTGTTCTTCTTGTACTCCTAAGTTTTGCTATAATATTATTTGAGTGTCAGACAATACTAAGACTTCTTCTTATACTGTTTGTATTGGGCAACGCAGCATCACATTGTAATTCTTGCGTATGAGGGCCTGATATGAATTATCGTCTCCGCCACCCTAGAGTCAAGCATGTGTTAGTGTGCCAGTGCATTTCAATGGAGCTTTACTTTGACTGTCTGATAACGTACTGATAACCTACAAAGGTGAATGACTATTGTTCAGTCCAGCTGAGAAAAGATCAGTGTGCAGTTGGGTAGGTGCTAAAGTTGTATCAATGAACTTGAATGTTATGCCCCGGTTCCAGTCATGAAAGGAATGGACGTGCAAACACAAACACAGGAGGAGAGAATAAGAAAACACAAACACGGGCTATTGGTGAGACAATGCTAGCACTAACTATTATTGAGTTGATAGTTGGCATTTGTGCTCATGTTCTCTTCTATTGTATTCATGTCTTCACACCTGCCTTTTTTTTACGATGGATACTTGCCAACAACATCAACAGTTTCTGTGCATTTATACGACAAATTTATTGTGGTCTCGTGGAATACATTGAAGTCATTTGTGAGGAATTTTAATGCATTTTACTTGGATGAAATTCACAATTTTCAATTATCGGTATCATACTCTAATCTCTCCGTACTTCAGAATTTCATCAAAATCGCAAACTGGATGACTTGGTGAGCGCATCTCAATTTGCAAAGCTAGAATTGGCAAAGGCAGCAGATAAAGACGGGACATGCACTCATCCTGTCTTCATTTTTTGTCCTTGTTTGTTTGTGCTTTTCATATTGATGAAATACAAACTCAAGAAGACGCATACTAGGTAGCAACGTTTGTCTATGCTCGTGCTTGTGATCTGCTTCATCATTCAGCATGCTTATTCAAATGCATATTACTATGCTAATATCTGTACAAAAAATATATATGTAGCACACTAAGTAGTATTGATAATTGTTACTGAGAGGTGATATAAACACCTTTTATATCTCGTGTTTGCTAGCTATAGAAGGAGACAGAGGGATCTTGCAGTGGGCAAAGCGCACTCTATGCTTTGCTTTATTCATTGGTTTTAGTCATTAAATCATAATGTGAAGCTCCACACAGCTGCTGTTTAAATAAACTTGTGACTGTTTGTATACTGAGACATTTAAGAATATATAAATAAGTATGCGTAAAATTAAGTTACGAGTGTTTTTTTCCTTATCACTTCTGTTTGTGCTTGTTTCTTACTGTTAATAATTACATCTAAAAGATGAACAGCTGTTTTACAGGAAACATAACCTCCGTGTGTTCAAGTGTTTCGTCCTGTATTCTGCACTGCACAATTCTATATGTTATGAACATAACCATAACTCCCTGCTTGTATCTCATTTTAATCTCTCTCTCTCCTCAGAATATGTAGTCCCAATAAACCAAATACTAACCTAAACAGAGGTTTATGATACATTTAAATCATCATAAGGGTTATTTAGGTAACCAAGTCTAAAATTGTTCAGTTTTCTGACTTGAAGTCCTCAAAACTGTTTTAAACTAAACGAGTTGTTTCGCGGTTAATTCTTGTTCGAGCTGCGTAACTGAAAAATAGAGAAACAAACGAAGAATAGATGAGGACATCGCTGTCGAAGAGAGAAATGGCGATGTCCTTGCTGTCCTCCCTGCGTCCCTCGTTTTTCCAGCTCCGCCGCCCGAACCAGTAAATATCCTCCCTTGAATAATTATGTGGAAGACTTTACATCTTGCAATAGTACTGCACCTAGGAAACATTCAGTTGATGAAAAAGTTGGCTGTTATAAAATTGTAGAAGTGTTTGTTTCCTGCACTGACGTTTAGTTTTCCAATATAGGTTGGGCTGCAAGTCTCATGTTCCACCAAAAGCTGGCTGCACAGTTGGCTGCTTTCAAGAGCAACCCTCTCACATTCAGTTTGGGAATCTGCAACGGTTGTCAACTCATGGCTTTGTTGGGCTGGGTGGCCCCATACACCTCTTGTAAGACCTTGAGCATTTTGCAGATTTTTATTCGTTTTCTATTCTTTTATTACAATACAGCCACTGACCACCTCCAAAAAGAAATGATGCACCATCATTCATGAATATTTTGTACAATAGCATGATTTACTTGTAAATTAGACAAATGATTAGTTTTATTCAATGAGTTTTACAGTACTTAACTGAATGAGTGTGCTTAACTCGCTCATCGTTCTTTTTTCTATTCTAGCAGGCACTATGTGTTCCTGTTGTTTTATTTGAGAAAATAGTTTTTCTGGCAGTTACCTAAGAACAGTGCAACAGGAAGATATAGAGGTCCATTCGATTTTCCAGCACAGCTCTGAATGGGTTCTAATGGTGCTGGTAAATCAAATGGACTTGGGCTATAATGATGTATTGCCATCTGCACCTGTGTGTATGTGTCAGTTCTCAGTGCTTCATCATTGTTCTTGTTCTGAGCATAGTTTTAAAATCACTTGTAAGTGTGCTAGCCTGAACAAGGATTATTGAGTTGGTGACAGAGGCTATCCTTAATTGACCATACTAGTATATTATCCAGCATCACTGCTTCCTTACAATAAAGTTGCTAAATCTCATATCGACACTTTTCTTGCTTTATTATCTGTTCCTTTATACCAGCATCTGGATCAGTTGAACCTGGAACCCAGCTTCTACACAACAAGTCTGGACGTTTCGAGTGTCGTTTCAGCACAGTGAAGATCGAGTCATCTCCAGCTGTCATGCTCAAGGGAATGGAAGGCTCCATACTGGGAGTCTGGGTTGCGCATGGAGAAGGTAAATATTTCAGTTTGAGCTGTAACGGAGCTAAAATTCGCAAATTAGCAATGCAGACGCCTGAGAAATAGAGGAAGAGTCATGAAAGCGAAAAGTTGGCATCCGCCAGTTTGTAGCATGAAGCAGCTAAAAAAAATAATCTGAATAGATTGATCAGAAAGAAAGCTTCTTGGTTGGCAGGAAATTCATCCTGACCTGCGATTGAAACCTAGAGCCCATGCCTTTATGTGGTGGTTGGTACGTCATTAGAGCTTGCCTTGGAAGCTATCTGAACTCGATACGAATGTGAACCGATCAACTACTCAATACGGCAACTCGATTCCATGTAAGCCTGCTAGATTCAGCAAACCATCGCTGCAATAGTTTCGAACTCTTTTGTATAAGTGATCCTTGTAACCACAGTTGATATTCAGCATGAGGTCACAGGTTCACTTTTTAACTAGAGCAGTTGCCTTGTACTCTAATATGGTTTAAAACTTCAAATATACCCCATACTTAGATTCAGGTGCATGTTGAAGTGCCCCAAGTATTCAAGATTAACCATGATATCTTCACAGTTACATTTATTGTACTTCATTTCATACATCAGCTACAACACCGTGGAAGCTATACAAGGACTTTGGTCAGCAAAATGTATAAGTTCGCATGGGTTTGGTTGTTGTATATGTGGCCTCCATGATGGGCTCCAGCTACGTGCTGCCGGAGCTGATCGTGGAGGACAAAATATGAAAAAAATACAGACGCTCAGAGATACTGAAAAACCTATTACAACCACATAAATAATCGGATTTGTTTCTCAGATACAAAAGATCTACACTGATTACTGAGTCTAAAAAAGAAAGAAAAACACATTATGGGTAGTAAAATCATTGAACTATTTCTTGCTGCAGCAAGTCTCGCTAGCTTCCGTAGCGTTCCACTTCATATATGAAGTGGAGTATAGTCTTGTGTGTCTTTGAGGCATCAATACCATAGATTAATATCCTTTAGGTAGTCTTTGTTATGCACCATGCATGAGAAGCATTTCTTTGTGCATGCATTTTTAAATTTTGAGATAAAAAATGCCTACTTGTTTTTGCAACAAAGATTAATATTTATTATGAGAAGTTACTGGTAACATTTAAAAGGTTTTCTAAAAATTACTGCTTGGTACACTTTCTGACAACTTGATGAAAACACCATCTGTTTAACTGACACAGCTGCCAAGGGGACACTGATGCAGAAAATGGAATATGCTCAGTCATCAACAGCCAGTAATATGCCTTGAGAATCAAGTTGAATAGCTATGCAAAAAAGTAAATCCATAACGGAAATACAATTAAAGGGGCCTTGAAATACCTTTTCAAGTAACCACGAAATGAATTCACTGGAAAAGCTTATTGCCTCATGAATTCAACGCCGCAAAAATTTCAAGAATCCGTCCAGTGCGAGTGGAGTTAAAAGGTTCATCGCATGCTGCAATTGCATTTTCTCTTCTCTCGTCGCGACGAAAGCGCTGGAAGCTTGGCAGAGAGGGATGGTAGGGCCGCAGAAAAACGTCACACGTGCCTCGTGGCCTTGAGTGCTTTTTTTTTTTTCTTCGAATGCGCCACTTTTTCGGTGTGATCGCGCGTGCGGGCGGGTGGACAAGTCGTGGCCTCCCGCGACGATCTCTCTAACAAGCGAGCGTGCCATGTTCAAATCAGCCAATGGCTGATAGGTGGATAATTCCTGTGTGATTTTTGTGCATATTCCACCATTTGTCAAGAAAAGAGAAAGCAATTTTTAGCTTAATTTGATAATTTATTGTGAATTGCAGGCCGCGTGCTGTGCTATAATATTTAGCTTGCGTGTTGTCGGGAGCCTCTACTACCGATCGGCAGCGTTTTCTGACCTTGCTCAAAAAGTGTTGCAGGGCCCCTTTAAGAGGGCTGATAAGGACTGTACACATTTTATGTGACTTGGCATGCATAAAAAAATTATCTACCCTGCAAGTATGGCTAATGCACAGATGGGTTGTGCACTTTTGCAAGTTTGCAGCCTAATGTGCCCTTGTTTTCATTAAGCATTTGCTGTTTCCTTTTCCATCAACTAAAACATGTTTCTTGACGTACTTGCAAACTGGTCCATTAAAGTTAATTAGAATTATAACAATAGTGACTATCTTGCAATTTGTGGGTGAATCTCGACTAAAACAATCACTGTCACACAAGGTGTGTGTGTGTACTAATCACGCAGCCAGCTGAACAGCTAATAGCACATCTGCCTCCGCAACCTGTCATTCAGAGATTCTGCGTGGCAGCTTTCAGATTATCTGCTGACATAAAGGTGCCTGTACAATCTAAACACATAATCCATTTTCTGCATCATAATTCTCTGTATAATAAACCACCTGTTGTAAAATGGCTTCTTATACGCTATTATATCTATCGAGCCTCTTATTCTTTTCATTCATCATCCCGTTTCTCTTAGAATGTTCTCACTCCCGTGGCCTACTTTTCGTTGCAAAGGAGCACAGGTTACGTTGCTGCTTGAACAGATTGTGGTCCAGCTGTCTCCATAAGTGTGTGACAGTTGACGTGCAAGCAGCTTTTTTCTTGCCGGCAGCTGCTGCATAGCACAATGCATTGACATAAATGTACCTCTACATGACACCAATACGAGATGGCATATAGTTGCACGCTTCACGTTCCCAACTGAAGGGCTAAAGTAGAACTGTATTTCCCGTTATCTTTTTCTTGCTTGAAAGCAGCTATATGGTAGTTCGCACCAAGATTAAAGTTCCTGCACATAACACGCATAGCTCCATAACTCTGTCACTTTGGTTCCTTGCTTTCAAACCTAAAAATTATAAATATAGAGTCTTCTGTCAACATAGGCTGTATCATTTATTCATTTTTTAGAGATCTGTATAACATCTTCAGCCATCTGGCTCTTATAGCGTCACTATATAGCATCAACCTGAACACTAAAACGTTAGCCCTAGTATAACTACCTACAGTGACCAAATGTTTTTCTTTTCTGAGATAGTTAAATAGGTACAAAATCTGTCCAGCTTTTAAAAAATTTTCATATATTTGTATCACTGTAAGAGGCTAATGTTCGTTTCATAAACCTGCTATGTCACGCTTGTACAGAACGCTTGTCTTTGTAATATTGCTTGTCATTTGAATCATGACTGCTGGTGTGTACTATACTATTCAAATGCACAAGTCTATTTTATATGCCCGCTATGAAGCTGCCCCATGTGTGAGGTTCACATCAAGCTGGTGATATCAGCTTTTGTTACTTGGCCATCCTCGCAACCCAGTTACAAAAGAACTCAACTCGATGTATTTCGCAGGTCGATTTGAGTTCCGGCAGGATGCCTTACTAGAGCAACTGGAGGCACAGCAGTTGGTGGGCATGCGCTACGTGGATGACGAAGGCCACGCGACTGAGGAGTACCCACTGAACCCGAATGGAAGCCCCCGAGGCATCGCTGCTCTCTGCTCAGACGATGGCCGACACCTAGCCGTCATGCCCCATCCCGAGCGCTGCTCCCTTCCGTGGCAATGGGCCTACGTGCCACAGGAATGGCAGAAAGGCCAAGGATTCCGCACCTCGCCGTGGGCCAAGCTCTTTGCGAATGCTCACGACTGGTGCACCAAGACCAAGGCTCACTAGTGTGTAGCATGTGTAGACGCGGCAGTTCTGTCACTCGCAGAGACATGCAATTCTCAGGGCAGCTTAAACACAAGAAGTGCCAAACCATTATGAAAATAACACCTTACATTTCCACCACAATTATCTTGTCTTTTTCGAGACTTCTGGCTCTCACGCTGTCCCCCACACTTTTTTTGTTCAATACTTTCAAGGGCATTTATCAACTTTCTGGCATTTATCTGTGGTGCTTTTTCTCCACTGTTAGTAGCAAAACTTCCGTAAGGAACTGTGAAGGGCAGGTTATGCTCATTATAGCTTTGTTGCCCACGTTACAAAGAGATCTCGATCTTTAATTTTTTTTTTTTGTCGAAGTCACATAACACAACACTCATTTCAGCCCTGTAGGACATTTGTATGCCATTCATTTTGGAATTCAATATTACCTTGTCCACAAGCCTAAAAAAAATGATGAAGGCATTTACTGAGTTGAACAAAGGATGACAAAATGCTGCATTTGACTTACTAGAACATGTGTTATATATTTTAAGTGGGCATTATTTGCTTGCTACATAAACAGCTACAGACAGTAAATTCATAGAAAAGTGGCATACCACAGCTGCTCACATAACATAGAACTAGATCTTTTATACAGTAAACAGCACAATTCATTAATCTCTTACAGTCTATGCTAAAAAATAAGTTGTGTTCAGTGCTGTCTGAAAGAGAACATGTAAGATCAAACTGGTCTTTCAGAATGCTTGCTGATGCCATGAGTAGCTTGAATTATCAAGATGAAGTGTGCAATGTACAAATAAATAAATTGCTGGTGTGAAAAATATAGTGGATGTCTGGATGCAGGAAATTGTGCTTATAGGTTTGCTATGTTAACAGTTGGTGCCATGGTCAGCTGATGCAACATCGGGCCACAGAGCACTCTCAACATGTAACTCTGGTATAACTGTCAGGTCAAGCGCACGAATAAACAGAAAGGAACAGAAACAGAAAGGACAGTTATACCATAAATATCCAACAAGCCCAACTTTCGATTCTGTAACATGTAACTCGTAGGTGCCTTTGAAAATTGGTACTTTTGAATGTTGAAATCAGTGGTTACCCATAATTTGCGAGTGAAAATAAAGTTGTTTGTGAAAGAGTGCCTTGCATTTTTTAATCCAGTAGCCCAACCTCTTGAAAACAAATGGAGCCAATGTATTATGGCTACCATGCAACTCTAAAGAAAAGATAAAATGTTTTTTTTCTATCGAAACAAGTGACTTGAAAACAATGATAACACACTGCTGTATTACAGCAAATTTGCACCCAATGAATCTTTTAACCTACGTGTGCAGGGTCACCAACAGTTAGCAATTCAGCATTGAAGCCCCCAGCACTCTTTATTTGCTTCAGCTGGAAAGGTATCTAATACGCCTAGTTCTTGGTGGTCACTCATGAAAATTTATATATCATTCATCGGCTGCCCAAGCAAGTTATTCTGTCAATGGCTAGCCTGAAGCCACGACGTTCGCATAGTATTGTCAACTACTGCTGAAAAACTTTAGCTTTAGCTGCACCTTCAAGAGCAGAACGCAATATCATAATTGGTGTGCATAGCATTGGCTGTTTTAAAATATCCTATAATGGCTAACGCAAAATTCAAATTGTTCTTTATGCCATAATTCATCACTCTGCAAATTAGCAATGAACCCACTAAACGTCCGCAAGAAATACGCACACCAACACAATTTTTCAATGTTGCTGCTGATGATAATTATTATGCCTGAGCACTTTGTAATGTGTGGGTCTTAAAACCAACCACTCAATGCATTCTCTGTACAAGGTGATGCCCGGTGCAATTCTGCACTTCTGATGCACAACATTACATGTGTTAATGTTACTTCTCTCACTATGTAACACATGTACAGCACTTTTTGTTTTCTAAGGGACTTAAAAGCACTGGCACAGTTTGGTGGTAAAATGCTTGCCATGTAGAATGCATGGGTTCGATTCTAGCATGAACCCACGATTTTTATTATTTGCATGCATCCCGATTTTATTATGGCTAGTGATGCGCCAAAGTTGAAAACCATTGCGACTTTTTTGCCTACAATTAATAATGCTGATACAGACACTGGAACGCTGGCACAGACAAAAAAGAACCTCTTTGACGCTATCACATAAAAATTATGGCTTCTCTTAGTAGCTACAGTATTCCTCATTCAGACAGAAAGTGACCATGTGTATGTGCCAAAAAGGCAAGGCAAACACACACAGTTTCATATACATACTTATATTCGTGCTTCACTATATCTACCGCAAAAACTTCGCTTTTATTTCTGAATAATCTCTGTATTGTTCATATAGCACCGAGCCTTGAATATGACATGTGTAAAATAAATACTGATTCAGCCTAATTAGTAAATAGCAAGTATTTTTAACCAGGAGCAAAAAAACAAAAAAAGTGAACAATACTTTGTAAATTTTAAAGCATGTTCTGCAAGAGCCTGTGCCATTGAGACTGCGTCGGTCAGAATGGAACACGATGCGCGTGCCTCCCTCTTCGCATGAGTGGGCGGGTTGAGGTCGGCTACAGGAGAGACACATGCACATGGGAGCCATCCAACTAACTCTACTGTTGCAACGAAATGTCTGACAAAGGTGTGTTGCCACGCACATCGCTGTGCCATCACGTGATTGCCAAGAGAGTGCAAGGGGAGGCGAGAGCCTTAATACTCTCACCACTCAAGCATATCGTACAGACGATTAACCAGCAAAGCTGCAACATGTGGGAACATGTGCCATGCATGCCAGCATCCACTGCACCAACGGATGCAGTTGCCACGCCGCGGTGGTCTAGTGGCTAAGGTACTCAGCTGCTAACCCGCAGGTTGCGGGATCGAATCCCGGCTGCGGCGGCTGCATTTCCGATGGAGGCGGAAATGCTGTAGGCCCGTGTGCTCAGATTTGGGTGCACGTTAAAGAACCCCAGGTGGTCGAAATTTCTGGAGCCCTTCACTACGGCGTCTCTCATAATCATATGGTGGTTTTCGGACGTTTAACCCCACACATCAATCGACGGATGCAGCCGGTCATCGCGAGTATGATGCATTAAAGGCTTTCACGTCCAAATGCACACCCAGCACCCATGCCCATAGCTCGAAGTGTTTGTCGGGCTGTGTCCACGAGATTCCAGCATTAGCCTCATGCGAGGTTTCTCTGCACTGAGAAGGGACACTATAGCTTTGCAAAACACATAGCTCTTCCTTCCATGCAGATTTTTGAGGGACCCTTTATACACGTCTCGCAACTCACTTTCTTGAAACAGCACTTGGGCATTCCCTCATCTTCGTTATCAGCTTCTCCTCCAGTGTCTCTAAACAACTAAACTCGTATGGTATATCCACTGTGGTGTATTGTTTTCAAGAAAACGCATTGCTAGACCCCTTTAATTAAGAGGACACTAAAGAGCGAAATGGTTTTTCACATATTAATTAAGTACAATTTCACAATCCCGAAAACTTTACCATTACCACGAAATAACCCTTGGTAAGTGAGCAAATGCGGGAAAAGAAGGCGCAGGGGGAGACGCCGTCGTCAGATTCTCGCACCAAACACTACGACATAGTAAATTTTGAAAGCATCTACTGGGCCCCGCATAGTTTCTCCTCAATAAAAATGCAGTAAATCGTCATCTGTGGGTGCCATAGAATATAAATATAGCACACAAAGTTTAAGAAAATATTATTGAGCAAATGTCGGGAGAATGTGAAATATACATTTTGCAATTTGTTACGTCAAGCATGAAGACCTCGGCGCGAAATGTAAAAATGAAACTTGAACCACGATTTTCTCTGCTAATAATGAACTTATGACAGTGAAACTTATGGCGTTAGATTTCCAAAAGAGTAGTTCATCAATGTGAACCAAGTAATTGTTTCTCTTTACTGTCCCTTCAATGCAAACCTTCTTTTAACCAATGAATAACAATTCTGAATGGCAGCATGTAACAGCAGCAAAATTGTGCCCAGGGTACCAGTGTTCTCTGTCACTGTTTCACAGCTTACGACTAGCCCAACATTAGGTTTTGACCACATTGTATAAATGGCTACTGCAGACTGTGCGAAGGATAGGCAGACTGTTGCTAAATAATTGCAGAAATAAGAATGAATAAAATAATGGCACAAAGGGAAAATGTGCTCCATCCTGCCTTACATCTACATTTAGTCTTTTGAATATGTATCCTTCGTATTCTGTGCCTCGAAATCTGTTTATGTATACAGAATGAAACACTTTATTCATCGCTCCTTGCTTTCTTCTCTGTGCATGGCAAGAAAGAGAAAAGCAATGAAGGCAATCATAGTGTGTGCAACCAGTGTTTAAAGAAAGGCTGCAACAATACGCTCCAGGCATTTATTTGCAAAACTTCAGTGAAGTTTTGATATACATACAACACCCAGTCATCTAATTTAGCAACCAGGATAGCAGCCACACAATGACTATAGAAAACAAAACTTTGCTCAGTAGTGCATCTTGAGTACTTGAGCAAAAAAATAAAAAAAAAAATCTCTCAGCTTGCACGCAAACGGGCCGGCCAGCTGTGCGATGCATTCAGACTATATTGCAACTACCGTGAACTTGAATGCCCAGAAATTGGCCACAGGTAAAAATCCCTACACAAGTCTTGGTGCACACTACTCTTCTCTCTATAAAACCTCCCTGCATCAAGGTGTGCTCAGGTCAGTTCATCCTAAACTGCTGAATATTTTTGTGCCATTCCTGGAGTGCTAGATCTCAGGCATGCAATGAGTTGGATGCTTGTGCTTTGTTCTATCATGCATGCTTCTTTGGACAGGACACAGTCCTTTTTTTTGTTCTTGCTTAAACTCAAGCCGTGCATAGGCTGGCCAGCCAGCCCAGCATCTTTGGCGCCTGCTTATAGTGCTGTGAATGCCAATGTAGCATGGCTTGTTGCACTTACTTGCAATCCTAGTAAAGACGACACTAAAAGCGGCATATAACAAATAACTTAGTGCACAAAAACAATCATTCTTAGATTAGTAAAAAAAAAGCAACAAGGAGGCTCACAACACGTGAACAAGCACGATAGACCAGGTCATCTGGAAAGCTCATACATTGATGGGGCGTTCGAGCTGTTTTGAAACTACATAAAAGCGATGCTTCTTGCCGAAGCATCCCCAGAGGACAGCCACATTCTCGATGGCCACATTGAAAGGTATGGTGGACAGAGCTCCCAGCAAACAGAGAAAGAAGCGCACAGGTCCCATGCGGTATAAGCTGAAGGACTTGATGACACCAAATATGTACATGTACAAATTCATCGCCCCGACGAAGGCACACAGGAAGTTGAGCACCACGGGGCATGGGATGGGCCAAAAGGCTGCAAGGACAAGGTTGGACGTGCTTAGTGGAATCGTTGCCCATGAATAGAGAGCAAGGGCCAGGAACAACTTGTGGCGCAAGGGAATGGCGCTGCTGTGAACCACGAGGAAGATGCCTTGCAGCCAGCGCTTGCGCTGCTGCAGGAAATCCCAGAAGGAAAAGGGGCTTTTCTCCCACATTTCGCCAGGAATGAAGTCAAAGGTGTAGCCCTCACGGTATGCCACCATGCTGAAGAAGCAGTCCTCAGCAATGGAGCCATCTGGGCCGTGGTCAAAGGACACCTTGCGCTCGGCACCAGCCCGGGTCACAACGTACGAGCCTTTCCAGCTAAACAGAGGCCTGTGGAAGGCCCAAAACTGGAAACGCAGCTTACCCATGTCATCAGCCACACGGAAGCTGTCCGCAAGGGTAGTAACCCAGTTGACCACACGCTCATTGGCATACGTGATGAGGCCTTGGCCAAAAGCATGCTTGCCATCTAGGGCAAAGTTGAGGATACCTCGTACAGAGTCCTCTGTCATTAGGGTCTCCTCGTCTAAGTGCACAATCCAGTCGTCGTCACCCAGGATGCTTACGTCGTCTTCGAGGCAGTACTGCAGGGCCCGCGCCTTGAACAGGGCACCACTTTTGGGCCGGTAGGAGGACGGCACCACCACTTCACGAATGCGGGGGTGTTTGGCCAGTCCGAGGGGCTTGTCGGTGACGATTTCCACGATGAAGTTCTCCAAACCAACTTCAGCACAGGTTTCAATGTTCC